AATTCACCCAAAATCAATAGGCTTCTGGTCCGAGATAAGATGAATGCACATGCAAAATCTGGAGCAGATTCAATCTCGCTTTCGTGAGATATCGCGTGCATCTAACAGACATACAGACAGACAAACACCTATCAACATACTTACCGATTAAAATCGATAAGTAATACTAACAGGGCTATGGTAAGGCTACCCAACTCAACGCAAGATCGAGCAGTAATAACTAAAAATTCATCCGCTCGCTAACAGCTGATTCAATTGTTACGTCATGCAGAAGTAATTGTTCATTGCCGGAAATGTCGAGAATATAGGACAGATCGTAGCACATATTTCTTGTAGTGAAAGCGTTTTTTCCGTCAAACGTGCAACTTTTGGAAGTGGGAACAAGGCATTATTTGTTACTAAATTTCCAAGGAAAATTTTAGATTTATATCCAGGTAGTTTCCTTATGTGCGCGACGAAACTCATTTTCTAGGTGTTTTTCAGTCAGGGCCTCGTCTCAGGTCTACAGCAATTAAACTATATAAGGAGACAAAATATTCATTGAGTTATTTGATTTGTATTGAAATTTCCGAATCACAACCAAAAACAAACAAATAGCATGCGAAGACGAAGTAATGTTCACAACCATGCCAGAAAATCTGTCTGTCTGGCTGCTAAAACGTCTAGGGGAGAGGCAGGTAAGTTGATACATAATTTAGTTTTACTGATCCATAAAAGATACCGCTTGAGTAATCGCCGTTCTGGATTGTCCTATTTATTCATTTATAGGTCCCTCACATATGACCACTAAATGGGGCTCTCAGTCATTTCCTAACTTAGCGCTTACAGTCGCTAAAATGTCCTTGTCAAACGTATCAAGTATCCTGCCTGGTAAGGTTACTTGATGCGAATTATTCTGCAGATAATTCAATCTTCATCAGTCGTGTCATTTGGGATTTTTTGAATCTCGCTTGGCGATACGTACGATGAGCAAGAATTTGATAGGTCGGGATCTGGGTTGCCCGTTTTCTGGAACTGAAATGATAAAACTGAACTAGATAAACGAGAAAAAGTTATTCATTAATCCAGCCAGACTTTGTTGCTTTTTCAGTGTAGCCCGGTGGCCTTTCAATGATAAAGTGGTTGTGGAAGTTTACGCGCGGAAATATAAACATAGGTGGAAGCACGTTTCCAGAGGCGCAGATGGTGTAGTAGACTTCATTGAGTTATTTGATTTGTATTGAAATTTCCGAATCACAACCAAAAACAAACAAATAGCATGCGAAGACGAAGTAATGTTCACAACCATGCCAGAAAATCTGTCTGTCTGGCTGCTAAAACGTCTAGGGGAGAGGCAGGTAAGTTGATACATAATTTAGTTTTACTGATCCATAAAAGATACCGCTTGAGTAATCGCCGTTCTGGATTGTCCTATTTATTCATTTATAGGTCCCTCACATATGACCACTAAATGGGGCTCTCAGTCATTTCCTAACTTAGCGCTTACAGTCGCTAAAATGTCCTTGTCAAACGTATCAAGTATCCTGCCTGGTAAGGTTACTTGATGCGCAGTAGTAGTTTTGTTGATACACTCTGCATAAGGTTTCTCAAAATCACGCAATTACTCCAAGAATGGAATGGAACGAGGCACAAACATCACTTATAACTTGTTTTAAAAGAAGGAGAGAGAAAGTTTCAACAGGAACGGCGGCAAAAAAAATAACTCATTCAACGAAATGTTTGCTGGATGGTGGTAGACAATCCCTAATTTACATTCCATTTACTCAAATTGCAATCAAATTTAAGTCGAACACATCTCTGAGCTGATCCTGCAAGAATTGTTGGCTGAGGTAGTCTGCATATTATATCCTCTTGAGAGAATGAAGCCCCATCATCTTCATTTGGAACAAATAGAAAACCAGTGTGCTCTACTTCGACAGAAACTCGACTAGAAACCTTCTTTAGAAAAACTCCCTCATACTCATTATCTTCTAGCAAATCTATACGAGCAATGTAATGTACATTTCTAGATCTCCCGTCTACTTTGACAACCACGTAATCACCTCCCATGATTTATTCTGCAGATAATTCAATCTTCATCAGTCGTGTCATTTGGGATTTTTTGAATCTCGCTTGGCGATACGTACGATGAGCAAGAATTTGATAGGTCGGGATCTGGGTTGCCCGTTTTCTGGAACTGAAATGATAAAACTGAACTAGATAAACGAGAAAAAGTTATTCATTAATCCAGCCAGACTTTGTTGCTTTTTCAGTGTAGCCCGGTGGCCTTTCAATGATAAAGTGGTTGTGGAAGTTTACGCGCGGAAATATAAACATAGGTGGAAGCACGTTTCCAGAGGCGCAGATGGTGTAGTAGACTACCGTAACCAGTTCACCACTTTCAGCAGACGTAGCTGCACCCACTTGTTTTTTACCCTTGGCTGTAACAATCTCAGGTGGGGTTTGAACAGTAGTGCACCCGGTTTCATCGAGATTGTAAATATATTCAGGGTGAAAATCGTCCACATCCATGACCTGTGCTAAGTTGTCGAAAAATTCATCAACTGTGTGACGATTAAATGCAGTCGCCCTTCCGAGTCACCAAGCCACCAAGCTTTTCCCGCTTTTTTTATTGATCTTCTCTAAGATAATGGCATAACAGCTGGTTTTGAAATGCAAATTCATAAGCTAGTTTACAACACTGTTCAAGGGAGATTCCAAAAAATATGTCGGCCAATCGTTTGACATGATTTCCCAAATCGTCTTCCATTTGCTGAGGTATAATATAATGTGCATGGGCAACAGCAGCGTAACCTGTAGTCGCGTTAGGATTATTTTTGAGCCTGGCTATAAAACGCGACAAAGTCATTTTATCGATGCCAAATGCTTCAGCTACACACCTACACTCCTCAATGATCGCCCGCGAACAACATCGTCAGCCGCCCTCGACATCACATCCGGGGGAGTACTTATGGCTCTGTTTATTTTTCTTCTATAGAACTGAGGCATCGCCTAATATACGTTGAAAACAATATTGGCAGCGTAAAAATATTGGCAATGCCGCAAACCATAAAACTAGGTTAAAAGAAAGTCTGAAAACATATGTGCTGAAAAATAGGCTTAAAAAAGTACATGGAATAAATAGCAGGATTAGTCGATACACGTATCAACTAATGTAACCACGATTGTATCAACTAGTCAACCTGTGGCCATTTTGAAAAAAGGGTCCGTAGTGGGAAGAAATCAAATCAGTATCCAGAAACATGTATGCTATTATGTTAAGCAATATCCTACACTACTGCAAGGAAATACTCGCTTGCATCACTCAGTTACAATGCCTGAAAAAATAATCAATTTACCTTGATTTGACGTTTTCACTTCGGATCTTGAAAATTGATTTTTTTCGAAAATTTTAAACGTGCTGCAACCAACAACGTCAGACGAGTTGCAGAAAAGAAGATCATATTTTGGCCAAACACCAGGTGGCGCATCAGTTTCTTACAGTGCATTGCACGGTCGTAAGAAGCGCTGTATCAACTAAACTACAGCATCAACTAACCTGCCTCTCCCCCTGTTACGTCGCTTTTCCGAAGTGGTAACAGAGATTTTCCAAAAAATGCTACAGATTTTCTTGCTTCGTTGGTTGACCTTGGCTGGGATGTTTTTCCAACTTTGTACATTGCATATTGTTTATTACTCACAACTGGCTACTCAATTGCTAGTTGCCAACGTTATTTCTCAAAGTTGAAACTGATAAAAACATGTTTGAGGTCTTCGATGTCAAAATAACGCCTGTCAAGTTTAATTTTGATTAGCATTGAAAAGAAATTCCTGACGAGCGGGGTGGAAGAGTCTATCGTTCAGACATTAGTTGACAGCAAAGTAGCGATTGGACATAAAAATAGGTGACTTGCTTTTTGTTAATAAATCAGTTCGATCTTATACATGTTAGTTTGATGATTTATTTAATAAAATAAACGTTTCTATCTTAATTGACCTTATTTATTCTCATGTATAACAATATCTATAATCTGTTTATCCCCCGAAACATTTTTAAGTTAGGGACAAGGGGCATCATTATCATAAACTCGCCCCGGGCAGCAGAAAAGTTTGGCACGCCCCTATATCCATCCCTTTTTCCAACCTGGCAAAGTTGTAGTTAGAGTATAGGTATAAGTTTATTTCGACTCCATAATCAGCATAACAATACATTTGACAGATAAAAACAAATCAATAAAAACTGATTATGAAATCAGGGGAGCAAACGAAACCTTAGATAAGGTTTATAACGTACAAAATATAAGATGGAAGGTTTTGCTAAGAGGAAGTGGTACGTGTTTACTCACCTAAAATTATTAAGTTATTTCACACACGCTCACATGCACCCTCCAGCCCGACACACACACACAACCACTGAGAAGTTATTTAGGTAAGAATGAAACGCGATAAATTTAGAGTATACTATACAGTAAACAAAAAAAAATAATAAATACTAGAAAAAAAAAATTTATTTGCCACACCATATTGATATTTTTGTAATGGTTGCCATTGCCAAATTGATCGATCTTGTAATCGTTAATTAAAATATAAAAGGAAGATTCTATTGAAAACATATTGCCAAGCTGATTATAGTTGGAGTCAAATGCCAAGTTGCCCTACCAAAGTTGCCAGAATTGGGTGCATGGAGAGGTGGGCGAGACCATTTCATTCCCCAAATTAGAGCCTATTATTGCCAAATTATAGTGCGAATTGTAATAAGTAATTAAAGTTACCGGTAACTGTAACATTACTATAATTAAGTAAAGTAGGATATGGAAATAAATTGGTTACAAAGGGTGTAAGTGAGGTTTTTCATTCTTGGGTATTGATAAAATAATTGTTTAATTAAATGGGATGTATTGTCATTATATAGCGATGGATAGATGATCTATGATGACATTCTGCTTGGGACAGAGAAAAATTCATCACACCAAAGAGTAATATAATATGCACGTGAAAATCGCAACATCGTCATTGGAGCAGCATTGCCGGCGTAATGGCATACCGAAGATGAATCGTAAACACTTTCAAGCCACAAAACAGGCATACGTCATTTTATTTTTAGAAATTACGCCTGGTTAGTGTGGCTTCGAGGCATAAGATGAAGGCCAAAGAACGTCACACGTGACCACACTTGCGCAAACGTGCGTATACTTAGGGGAATCACCGAACATTATTTTGTTTACTGTCTTTCATCCAGAACGCACGGGAAAATACGAGGAAGTGTCTTGGTATATATTGGATATAATTTTGTGTAAATCTCGACTTCTTCTCTAGCTAATGCCCAATTAATAGGAGTTAATAGCTCTGATCAAAAATGAATATATTCAAATCAAGTAAAAATGAGGCAAAGCGACACAAGAAACACAGACCAATTTTTTCATTCCATCCCAGCACTTTTGCGTTTGAAATTGACAACCAAGACGAGAATTTCAAGAGAGGACTCAGGTATTTGCCGTAACTGTTTTTAATACTTTATAGCTTACTCTTTAATGGTACCATTTGCATGTAATACATAGCATAGGGTTAGTATAAATACCGGTACTGCAATATATGAATATTACTGTATTACAATATTATCTATCAATTTCTCTAGTTCTTATAAAGTGTTACCCTGTTCTTCTTCTGATCAGTGTTTGCAGAATTGAATCGATTTATTTGAAGTTATTGCTGTTTCTGTATAGTGTATTTTTATTTTATTGTCATATTTGACCGTTTTTGATAGACGGGCGCGTATTTTTACATTTTTAACTTTGTCTTTAAGTTATACTTGCCTCCAGGTCCTCTGCGTTTTGTTTGTTGTTGTTTTGTTTTATACCAGAGAGACCAAAATAAAATTGATTGATTGATTGATTGATGTAACATTGTTAAACAGTATACAGTTATAGGCATATTTTACTGTTTTATATCTGGAATTTCTGATTTTTAACTCGAAGCAAGAGTAATTATAATGAAGTTGCAAGTGAAGACAGACAAGTTAAGAGCTAGGGTGGTTTAGACACTATAAAGCAGATGTTATTAACTTCAATATTCTAAATAATATTGAAAAAAAAATGAAAACTGAGTGTCATATCTTCGATCAATCAATCCAGTACTGGCCAAGGATATTTCCACAAAGACTCGATAAAGTTGAAGCATAAAAGCCCACTGCAAGCAAAATATTACATCGGAACTTTCCTTTACGAATTTGTTAAAAAAACGAAAAGAATAAGGAACACACAACCATTGTAATATATCTTTTAACCATCTGAAAAGTTTTGTCTATTTGGGCGGGCGAAGGAGGGAACGTTGTTCCAAGTCTCTAGTTGTGTCTAGTTCCGAAGTCCAACTTATGTTAAATCATAGACGGTATTCAGTCAAGATTTGTCAAATTGTTTCATGTGCGTCTGCGTATGACAAATACATTAGAAGTCTTGATGCAGCAGAGGGATTATTGGAGCCTCAAAATGCTAGACCTCCAATCCGTTGTTCAATCGCAAATACATTGTTTTATTGGTTGACTTTGAGGAGGCATTTAGTGTTAACCCTCGGACGAAGGAAATTTATTCTGAAAGTACATCATGTAGTAAACATTTTGACTATTTATAGTGTGAAAATTATGGGGTTAGTATCCCCCTTCCCCCCTGTAGCATTGTCAGAGAACCATGCGGAGTTTTACAGTTCCACAGTCTCATAGACCAGCAAGAACGCTAAATTGTATCATGTATTACAACACAGTAGCCATCATTTATTTGGCTTGGCTGTCTCCAAGTCTGGTACAGTATTGGGCATTAGATGTTTAGTAGATGAATCTAGAGCAGGGGTGAGCGACATACGGCCCGCGGGCCTGGTCCAACCCGCGACGAGATTTTGACCGGCCCGCTGACTGTATCCAACCACACTCTGTAATGTGGTCTGACGCATTATTCTTGAAAGTTGCCAATTGCTCTATTCTCACCCTCGCACACTTGTTAAACAAACAATATAAGGTCAAAACAGAGAGCGTTGTGAACATTCCCCACTACTGTTATCAGTTATATTTAGATTCTGAATATAAATAGATTTTATATTAAGTTTTATTAACCATGGAATATCCCAAGAAAAGTAAAATTGACAGAGATTGGATACCGAAGTATTTTTGTAATAATCCGGCCCGCCGAGGACTTCATCTTCCCACATTTGGCCCACCGACTAGAGAAGTTGCCCACCCCTGATCTAGAGGCAGTAAAAAAAGATAGTGAAAATGTTAAAAATAGCAGCTTTGGATAATGACTGATTAGAAGAAATTATTCTGATCGGTCACATTTCAATGATGGATTTAGTACTTGAGTAAAAACCTTCGCAGCTGAATTGAGGGACTTATTTTTGATCATACAGTTGTCCTGCCGCATGCACCTATAATTTTCAACCTACCATGTTGTGTGATATTTTTATACAACTTTTATTTACACTTTTTACTCTGAACAAGGCTCTGTATAAGAAGTTAATTAACATCTAATGATATGTAAGGAGCTATCATATTTAGTATGTCCGCAATCTTTTCTGTTCGACATTTTCTGCCCAATTTATTACACTCTTGGCGAGGTGGTGATCATGGGACTTGAACGCAAGATGTGTTAACCTTGAGATATCAAAGTTTTTGAATCTGATTCTTTGAGTAATTTTCGTGTTATTATCAAGCGTAGTGATTTGAATGACTTATTATATAAATTTTTATCAATTTATTATGCATAATTTTTACTTAACCATTCTTCATGCCAGCCAAGATATAAAATAATGCTGACTGTGATGTTCTTTTTTATATGAAAATTCACTTAAGATATTATGTGAAGTTGCAACTGATTTTATTTTCAGGAGAAAATCTCTCACAGGGCAAGCTCCTCATTCCATATCGCGACAAATATCTGGGGGTAAAGTAAATATTCCTGTTGAAAAATTTGAAGACCCCATCAGTGAACAAATACGTGAAACAGAAAGAGTAACAGTTCCTGAATCTATCGAATGTGAAAATAATGCCAAGCGGGATAAACACCCACCTTCTGCACCAAAAAAGAGTCAAACACAACGGCCCAGCACACAAAAACGCATCCCTATTCCGGTTCAACATGAGCCTGGTCCTTATGGCAAGCTACATGCTTCACTTCATGAAGGAACGCAAACTAATACTAGAATTTCCACACAGAAAAATTCCCATGCTTCTGTTACACCTGTTGCTTCTCAAGGCCTCGGAAAGTTTCCATATGATCCAAAAAAATACGAGGAACAAAAGTCAGTGAAAGACAAAGTTCCTTCTAACAATAAGGATAATGTTCAAACAGCTGAAAAAGAAAGTAAACACAATGTTGAAGAAAGCTTAAAGAACTTAGCAATACAGAAAAATACCACAAGTGAACAAAAGGAAGAAAAGAGTGCAAATCATGCTTTACAACAAGAACATGAAATTGAAATTCTGGATCAAGATAAATTCATTGCAAAAGAATATAAACTTCACAGGTCAGTATCATTCATATTTAGTCAATTTATAGGTTATTATACCAAACTATATTATGTACTGGTTTTCAGCAGGTCTGTCAAATTTTCAAATTCCTGTTTCAGTCTAAGTAGTATCAGCAAATACATTATGGGAGTGAGAGCGTTTGCATCATTTTTGACAATATTGGAAAAAGAGGAGGAGGGAGGGGGGGGAGGAGGATATGTTAAATTTCAGTTAAGAAGCACAATTTGACATGATGAACTGGGTGCATGAACCACTCCACTGTTGTTAGTTTAAACCCATGTCAGCTGGTGCTCTAATTATGACATATATTTTTATCTGGCTAGTTTTGGGGCCAAGAAAGTTAATGAAATTGGGTAATAGAAACATGCACTATGTGATTACTTTTTAATTTAACAATCTTTATTTTCAGTACGGTAATTATGAATTCAATAATTATTTCAGAATCTTGTTTTGAGCTTTTGATATTGTTAGATATACTGATCCCAGCTGTTACTGGCATAACTTGAATTGCTGTGCGTACAATGTGTAACCTAAAAAAATCTTCTTTTTCAATTTTGTAACTGTATTGGAACTAAATTTAATTCACAGATTTCTGATCATACCAGATGGAAATTGCCTATATCGGGCAGTAGCACAAGCTATATTATTAGACCAAAGTCAACATATGTTGCTACGGCAATTGACTGTCGACCACATTCGTGAACATCAAGATGTTTTTGAGGTAATTTCTCTATAGAAAATTGATCTGTGCCGAACGTTTTGAAATTGATTTAATTATAAACCATGCTTGGACGAGTATAATAATATATCTATTATAAATGGCACCATTATCTCTCCTATGTAAACATATTTATGAAGTTTGAATGTCTGATTTATCATTTTTGAACAACAAAGGTCTGCTGACAGAAAAATATATCTTTTGTTTGATCAGTTTTATTGCTTTTACGGTCATTTGATTGAGAAAGTTGTAATTACGTAAAAACATTCAATTTTATCATAGGCCTATTGGGAATAATCATCCTTTTTTATTAGTTTCTCTGTCATGAGATTTGTTAATTTGGCTTTATTTTTTGGAAATTCAGAATATCATCGAAGGGAATGTGGATGAATTTCTAATGACAGCAATGCTGGAAGGAGAGTGGGCTGGATATCCTGAAATTTTGGCATTGACTTGCCTACTTGATATTAATATCAATATTACAACAGGTAACATGTTCTATCACAATATCAAATCTTGAATTTTTCATCTAATTCTAGTTCATTGAATGATTGCTTAATAGCTATTTTCATATTAAATAGATCAGAATCTCAATTTTATGCATGCAATTTAGAGATTCAATATCTGTAATTATGTCAATTAGATGTCATTTTTGTATTGGATGGGTATTAGGGTATAACTATAATAACATATTTATGTGGCCTAAAAATAGCTATGATGAATTATCTATATAATGCTGTGCTTGTGTTTATTTGTTCTTGTAGAGTGAAACCTATGATTTTACGATTTGTCTGAAATTTGAATACAATGAAAAAAAAAAAATACAGTATGTAATACAGTTTATTTTATGTTGAAATTATCCCTTGCCATACTTGGGGATTATATGTATGTGTGAATAAGCCAGTTGTTTGTATTTATAGTAGGGTTGTGCAACCTTCCATATGGGAGGGCCAGATACAAATAAGTGGGTTTAACTGAAAATTTATTAATAGATAAATTGCTATATGAGAAATAATACTACTGTAATAATAATGATAATACAAGGCAATACAGGGGATATAATTAAATTAAATTTTGATTTATGAGGTATGCAATAAATGATATACATTCAAAAGTAAATGTTAAACTAAAAGGAGAGCCTCTTGTGAAAAAATGAAAATTTAGTATTTTTTACTGATTTTTCAAAAGATTTTATTAATTGACCAATGAATCTTGTTATATTATTAGTATTTCTTACACACGTTTTTAGATAAAGGTAGATTTTAAACTTAGTCAAAAAATTTTCATCTGAAGATAGTATTGAAATATATAGTATTTATCCCCTAAATATACATTGCTGAATGATCCATCAATAAAATTTTAAATATCTTTTAGGTGGAACAAAAAGTAATCCTACTGTTCATACAACATTGCATTACTTCGAGCCGGATCATCAGAAAGAAGCTGATCATAAAAAATTAAAAAAAGAAAAGAGTGATAAATACACGGAAAGGCAATCAATATGGCTGTCGTGGCTAAGCAACGGTCATTATGACACATTCACAGATGCTCAAATAGAAAATCCATGTTATGAAGAATGGCTTAAATCTCGAGAAACTCGGCTAGAAAATGACGCTGCAATGGCAAACCAAATGTATGATGCCGATATTAACAAACGTGACTATGAAAATTTGATGCGATACAGACAATCTGAAGGCTCGAGTTGTCCAGCATATTCTAATACTGCTGGAAATTCACAGACTCTCCCTTCCACATCGTACCAAAATAATGATTTTTCAAACATTGATCTTTCTAATATCAATAATGTGCTGACTAATTCATTAGACTCGACCTTACCCCCACACAGATACCCTTCTGCTACCTATAGTACGAGCCCCAGAAATGTCAGTCCGAATAGGAATGAAGAAGCTCCACCCCCTTATTCATCCCTAGGTATCACAACAGAGCTGGATGAAGCTATTGCGAGATCCCTTCAAGCTGAAGAAGATGAACACCAAGATTTCTTATATGCTTAAATTTGTGAAGTACCGGTATTAACCTGGATGCAACTTTTGAGGACGATATTCTGACAAGATAACATAAATCAAGTTTCTTTATCACTTTTGGTCGCTTTCAATTTATGTCTTTTTGTAAACGATAAAATTTTAACATTTTCATTTGACGCTCACTCAAGCTATTCTCATCGTACCCAGTACAAGCACCTACTGATATGTGAATAGCTACTATTTTTTCGATTCGGCTTTGCCTAGCTAATTTGGTACACCCTTGATAAGGTGGGCATTTGATTTTAAAACTGGATGCTCATTTTCCTAATTAACTTCACAATTTTGTTTGTTGTTTGGAGATCTTATTGTTGTCAAACCTGTGTAATATAAACATGGAGAATGAATTGCTGCTGTGCTGTGTGAACAGACACACTGCCGTTTCTTGTTGCAAGACATTATTTGGATTCTGAACCAATCATTGTTATAAAATACCCGCATTCAGGTTGTGCCTGTTTCTATTTGAATTTCAGTTTCAATATCATATCAAACATAAGTGTCACCACTCGATTTTATTGCTAGAGTATATTTAATTTATCACTGTAATTGTACAAATATCCGAATATTGTTTATTAGTGTTTTCACATTCATGTGAATCAGAGGTTCTGGAACTTTTAGTGTTACGGAGACGGAGAAGAGGTTGACTCTTATTTAACGAGCCCCACAATAAATTTATAAAAACAAGAACAAAAAACACATTGTTATTTACCGATTAATATTCCTGAGTAAACTAAAATTACTTTATATAATGACTCTGATTATTTGCTGCTTTGTATTTAAAAAATATTCAGTATTGCAATGAGTAAACGAATAGCCTGTGGAGCGCCTATGTTTCTCGTACAAATCCTTGGGGCCCTGTATGGATCACCTCGATTATATGAATCATTGGCTGTCTATCGTATCAAGATTTGTTGACCAAATCCACATGAAATGGCAATAAAATGCATCTATATGATATACCGGTATGTCATATATCATAATATGCTATATGACTAAGCCATCTTATCGGCTTTTCTCTCACCAGGATAAATATGAAAAATCCTACGCTTTCTACTCTCTGATTTGGCAAAGTGTATTCAATTCCTTCCACTTCTTGTGATGTACTTGGATTAAGCAAACTATTTAAAACGTTCATCATGCATTCGGTTATTTTTCCAAACATTTCCCTTAAATGAACACAACATTTATATATTAAAATTTAAAATAAGAATCTAGAATCTAAATTTAAAATACATCTAGAAATACATCAGTAAAACAATGGCTCATTATACTGTGCCTGATACACAAGTATGCATTATCATCTGCCTTGAAATATAGTGACCTCTGACTCCCGCCCATTCGTGCCTAAAGGTGATCTCAAGTCAGCATTGGTTGGTATCATGTGTACCAGTTGTCATTGTGATATAATAAGGGTACCTTTGACTGTTAAAGCTTCTATCTGGAATGGGCTCTGATATTCGTGGCAAACAATATGGTTGTGAATGCAAGGCACCGCCCCCTGCATGCTGTTTTTTAAATGATTTATCAATTTTGAATGACACTTTCTCAAATTTTGAGAACAAGATAGTTGAATGTTATACATTTAGATTCTTTTTATTTCCATTATAATTTGAATTATAGTGTAAGTGTATTAGATTGCAACATAATTTTTATGAAATTTCTGTCATTTTTGTTGCTTACTTTAAAAGCATGTTTTTAGGTGATTTTTTGTCACACAAAGCTATGAGTCGATAATCCTGCCTGCTTGTGCACAGCCTTGTTTACAGCAAAAGCCTGAATACGCCATGTAAAATGGTCTAACTTCTTAAATTTCCTCAATTTGTAGAATACGTCCGCTATATTTATTCACTCTGTAACGTCCAAATTTTTTAGATTACTCCTTTTTAGAAGAAATCTAATGCGGTATGTGTTACCTGACCTTAATGTTAAATTTAGTTTTCAGAAATGTATTATAGCACAGCGTGAGGAAAAGTTATGACAAATCTACAAAACCGATGTGAGAATTTAATTTGGGCGAAGCTGTATATTTTCAACATCCAGAACGGCGGGCAAAGAAAATAGATGAACTATTATTGTGAAAAGAATTGCTACACGATCTTACATTGTCAAAATGTATTTTTTCTTATTATGCAGTAACAGATGTATATTTGATTTATTAGTGTTTTGAAATTTTCAATTATACAACATATGATTCAATATTTATTCGGAGTAAAGGGCAACGAGTCGCCAGTTATTAGTTTTGCGTTTAGTTCACCACATTCCTCTCGAAGCCAAACTCTAACCGAATCCTAGGGATCTCCCAAAACTCACGGCACCCAAGCAAGAGTTTCACTCTTGGAAAGCGCTGAGAGGGCCAGTTTAGTTTGTTGCTATGCATGCATGAACTCGATCTGAATGACAAAGAATTGTATATATTGTGAATTGTTGAAACCTCGTAGGGATCTCCCAAATCTCACGGCACACAAGCAAGAGTTTCACTCTTGGAAAGCGCTGAGAGGACCAGTTTAGTTTGTTGCTATGCATGCATGAACTCGGTCTGAATGACAAAGAATTATATATATTGTGACCAGTGTTCCCTCTAAGGTGTGCGCGTGTTCGCGCGTACACAGCTTTCAGAGGCTGCGCACACGCATTGATTTACTGCGCACTGGCGTATTTCGATGTAATGTAACAATGTTCTCGGTTGGCAGGTTGAGAAAGTTTGTTGTTGGCCCACTTATCACCCGGTTAGAACGCCAAAATTTTTCATTGGTTTTTGCACAAATATTAGTCATTTCAAAAAAAGTGCGCACACACAAAAATTTCTGCGCACACATATTACAAAAAATTAGAGGGAACATTGATTGTGACCATTACGTGATTGGAACTATATTCCTCCCCGTGTGATAATTGCGGTTGCGTGATTTTTTTCTAACGCCAAACCAACAGCAATAGGCTGTCGATATAATGTTACGCTCACCCAAGCAAAATCAGTGCTTCGTGTGCCTAGAGCTACTACAATTATCCAATAGGCTATAGAAACTACATTATTAGCAGTTCCGGGTATCCATGTCACGACGAAAGGGTTTTACCATCCCTCAACATAGATACTCAGTTTCAATAGTTGATCGTCACCAATCGTTTTTGATAGAGGAAGATATGATGAGTTTCATGATAAAGACAATGAGACAAAAATACATAATTTAAAGTTGTCCTCCAAGTCCATCGTGCGGAATTGTAAACCCTTTATTTAACTGGACTGGCCAGGACGAAAAGTTGAAGATAGCTATGTGATTACGTCGCTAACTTTTCTCTTCCGCATCAAAAACATTTAAAGAAAAATTCATGAGCGACGTTATATGGCGTTAAACGTTACGATAGGGCCCTGCGCGGGGAATGACAAGGGGAGAAGTCTAACAGGTTGGCTACGTAACTACTGGATCTCGCCGTTAACAGTTTTGCAAATGGTTATATATTGAGCTATCATCTCCCCTCTCGTCATACATGAATATTTTCAAACCAACAGGTAAAGAGTACCTTAATGATTTAAAGTTTGGAGTGAATTCTGCATTCTTTTGACCATCCATTATTATCCGCATTAATACTAGTCACCAGTGCGTTAACGAAACGATAAAAATATTTTATTTTAATACAGTACAATTAACATAATGTGCAAGATAAACAATCACACTCACAAGTTTAAGTAATTGAGTTCAACAGATTCTTTTAATAAAAATTGAGATAGTTCTTAAAAACATGCGTTTGTATTTACATTTAGTGTGCTCAGCTGAAAACAAACAATTTGGGTAGTTTCTGTACAGCCGGGCAAAGGTTGTATACACAAGACGCCAATTCTATTTCCGACTTTTTAAATCGGCGTCATCTTTTCCACAATAGTTGTATAGATATAAAGTGAGAACAGGCGTGTGCATAAAAATGGTAATGAAATGGAGTAAAACTATAAGATTTAATTCAGTCCTATGTGATACACAAAATTTCATTCATTAGATGAGACATCTATAGGCTCTATTCCAGCGGTTCCCAAACTATGGATCGCGATCCACTGGTGGGTCCCAAAAAGAATCTTAGTGGGTCTTGAAAAGATGTAGAAAGCTTTGAATAAGTATACTGGTTATTAAGATCGGTGGCGACTCGAATACGTAAAGCTTCAAAAAACAAAAGAAATTAAATTGAATTTAAATTCTAATCTGTGAAAGTTTCCTTTTTACGATCTTGTCAAAAAAACAAAAATTTGCTAAACAAAGAATGACCATGTGGCTTTTGTACGTATAGCAGTTTTGTACACTGTGCATCACTTTATACAATGTTTCCCCGAAATTTAGATAGGATTTAGATTTATTTTCTTTTGAAGAATAACACTATGGTTTATTTTGGTCTTTTGTGTTCATTTATCAAAAATAAAATTACATTGTAGAAAATCACGAGATTTTTAAGTAAACATTAAATAAAAACCGACATCCATTGTTTTTAAAGTTAAATGGGTCGCCATAAGCTGTGGTAATAAATAGTGGGTTCCAACTCCAAAAATTTTGTCTATTCTATACTATGCAGTTTGTCTTCCGAGTCGCCCCCGCGGGAAAGTAAGTTGTCAAATCGGCACGAATGCTTATATCTTCACACGAACTTGTATTTCATTGTGTAAATGAACGAATACTTGAAAATAGAAAAGCCTTGTCCTGGTTTTTGCTGTGAATCCATTTCACATGAAACTCTTGTGTCAGCTTAACATAAATTCTGATTGAAAGAATAATATTAGAGGCCTTCCGAAAGTATTCAGATGCATTCACGCTCGCAGGTAACGCATCGCAGTAATAACACATCTAATATCATAACACTTATTATGAAATTCGACGACATACCCACACTGAACTCACCGAAAGCAAAAAAACACCTTATGCAACAATTGGGAAAGAGATGCCCTTAAACTTGGAAAATACTTCAGTATTAGAAACGGGCACATGACCATGTATAAATACAAACAGATGCCGGAGATTATTTTTGCCGGAGCCAGATTTGCGTCTGCCTTGAATGCATCCACTAAGATTGACAAAGCAGTTGGAACAAAAGCGGCCGTAAGGAAAGAAGTGATTATAATAGCGAATCGAAATCTCGGGTTCGACCACGCGGGACTTGCACGCAGAGATGTCGTTTCTCTCGTTAACCCAATCTCTCGATTGTTCTTTTCGGGATCTTGCTCTGTCGTGGTGGCGTCGTTTGCTGGCATTCCATGATCGGTTACACGTTTTGTTGAGTTTTTGAAAGCGATATACTTCTTCACTATCATACCGATCAACAATATAATCTGTTAGAGAATATAGTGATCAGATAATATTAAATAGAGCAGCACATAACTATCATCAATATTTTAAGGCTCAAAATATGTTATGTTCTTACAGTGAAAATCAATTCACATTTAAAAGATAGTATTTAACTTCCCTCTGAGTGAACTATCAAAATAGATCTCGCGTTCACTTGATTGATCCAACTTTCGCTTTCAGTCACATTAATTACATCAGACGCTTTTGAATCGCACTAGTCATTTGTTAGAGTTAGAAGGAAGAATGACTCGTGCCAATACGTGAAGCGGCTACAAATACTTCATTGTTATTTTTTTTTTGCAAATCTTATTGTATTCAAATTTCAAATCGTTAAATATCTTGTATTATATTCTCCTACTGCCGAGAAGGCCAAGATTGGCGCGGTGGTATATCTGTCTTGACTTCGTTTTATAAAATATGTTATTTTTCTATTCATTTAGTTCAATCAAAAAGACCAAATTTGCAAAAGGTCTCGATTGGTCGTGAGTCGTGACATAACGGATAATTTTACATATGTATACGTAAAGGCAGCTTGTAACTATACGCGGAAAATAACTTTACCATATTGAACTTTTGCAAAACAGAAGAAAACACCAAAAATAATCAGCTAGACGGTTGTTAGACGTCAAGCGACAGTCAGACATCTTGAGTTAACAAATATATCACATGCACATCACGCACAACGATTATAACAAGTGCTTGACCTCTATGCCAAGAAAAGACGTTTTCACAAAAAAAAGTTTGTGCTGCACTCGGCATTTAGTTAGCTACTAAAGCATTGAATATATATCTAATCAAAGCATTCAATTTTACATGAACATTACAGGTTTTTGCGTGGTCTTCCAATTCCTTGAAAACGAAATCAATACTTTGCATAGCTTTTTTTTTTCTTAGTTTTCTCTATTTTCCCAATAACGAGAGTAACAACAACAAAAAATCAGCTAAAGGATCCATAGTTTCACTCCGTATCCGATACCTTTTTACGGTTTTTATTAATAACACTGTGACTTTATATCCAGAGACAAACTTGTGTCAGATATTCGTACTAATTTATTTACCTGTACCGTCCAAAGCCCAATGTTCACTAGAAGAAATGAAGAGGTCATGGGTGTCAAAAATCTCGAGCATCTGAAATCATGAGGACAGACTTCTCCGACAAAACTGCTTGATGGACACCAGCAGTCTTGGGAGCAATTCCATTTCAGAGTAGCTGCGGTTATGAAGATTATTGGAACTATCCAAGATACAGCCATAAGAATGATTGAGATTCCTCGTTTCTTCGGTAATTTTCTGTGAATATAAAGTAAACACCGTTGAGCAATATTGGGCAATAAATTTATACGCTTTGCGATTTGAATGTAATATTCAGTGACGTATCTATGGCATGGCGGCCATGGACGCGGTTTACGAGACGTTGCCGCCGTTTGGAAAGGGTCGCAAAAAGGGCGAAAAGTTTTACGCGTAAAATGTTTCGATAAAATAATTTAAAATTGGAAATAATTGAAACTCGTATTTTTTCTCAAATAATAACGTACAAGTATATCAATTCAACAACTGTCCTTAAAAATTGTCAACCAGAGATCAAAGGGGCACATTTTATCTAGATGCGCCACTGGTAATATTCAAATATTATCACTTGTTGTTGAAAATAACATTTGCTGAAACTTATTTTATGTATTAGGTTTTTGTAACATCCACACTGATGATTTAATATACAGTAACTTATTGTGAACTTAGTAGTGTTTCGTTACTGACTATAACTGAATTCCCAGTTCGTCTTTGGCTAGTCTTATATAGCTTGAGTTACAGTACTTTGATTACATTTTGATTACGGTACAGACACATTGTTTACAAAATTGTTTGATTTGTAATTAAAAGGTGAAGTATATAATTTTCGCAAAATAGTCGGTTCTGACGCCAATGTGGATATCAATTTCGTTTTAAATTTCAAATTCGTGAAGAAACGAACGAACGAAAGCTGGATTAAAAGTGCATATTGGTTCAGCATTTTCATGACAGCCAATATTTAAATTAATTATGCATCAGGATCGGCAATTTGAGCTTTAAACACAGGTTAATCCGGTCTGATATTGATAATTAGGATTCTATATTCAAATGAGCAAATGAAAGTAAACACCAGGTACATGGAAATAATGTAATACTGGAATAGTTGATATAAAGAAATATTTCTGATGCATTTACCCATTGAATTTCCATTACGTACTTGATCAAACTTAAACAGGATTTTATTTTATTTAAAATGAGTATTACAAATTGTGTTTGTGTAATGGTACAAAATATACGAAATAGAAAAACGTAAACAAAAAAAACCTTATTGGATAGTGGAAAATTATCGCAATATCGCAAAATATGTATATTCAATCATACCATGCATATTTAAATATATCAATTTTGTGACGCTCATGTTGTTCACCATATTGTCTTATCCAGAATATGATGTGCATTAAACATTTCACATTGAACGTATATATACTTATTATTAATACTGACACAGATATCCACAAAACATTTACTGCCTTTTTAAAACAAAATCATGTATATCTACTTACGACTTTTTATCGTCTTTCAATTGAGCTTTTGTATCAACAACAAATCTTGGTGCAACGAAAGTGCTATCAATTGTGACATAAACCAGAGAAGAAGCGTTTGCGACAACGCCGAATCCAATGGATGCAACTCCTGCCTCACACACTGTCCACATTACCTATATGAACAAGATTGAAATACATTTAAGATGGTTAAAGAAAGTGAAGTATTTACGATCAATAATAACAATATGAGTTAAATAATAGATATGTAAACCATTTGAAGTAAATAGCCGTTCAGATTAAAAGTTTCATATTATATATTATTTGTTTCGCAAGTTCACTACCCGAAGTAAGATATAATACTATTTGGTAAACTGGAAGACTTCCAGGTAATGTCAGCCATGTAAAACGTCTTCGTTCATTACCTCAGTACGATGGTATAATACTTAAATAGGCAGGGGTTCACCCTTTAAATCGAAGTTTGATTTTATAAACTTTATGTGTGTGTGATGAGAATTTTGTAAAATAAAATTTAAGATACAATAAATTTTCACAACAAATCACTTACTTTTGGAATCCCTAAAACGTTTGGTGCATCCTGGGCCATCACATTTGCGGCTGCCCCCCATATATTTAAAGCCAGGTAAACAACGTGACTTAAAAGTGCACTGTTTACACTGGCAAACATGTAATTCTGTCGCTGTAGCTTTTCTCTATCCAACATCGAAGCTAATAAGACAATCAGATTGATGATTATTCCTATTGAATTTAGAGGCAAAAACGCCACCATAAACCAATTTCTTTCGGCAATACACGTTAATTCCATTGACGTTGTGTTTTCATTGTTTCCGTGAAGTAACTCCTTGTTGAATTCGGGGAAAGCTGCCATTTTGTAGCAAATTGGGTTATTCTATACACTGTATGAATAAAATCCAATAAATGAAAGTAAAATATGAAGTCGGTAGAGAATGTTCCACTCATCGCAAGTGAAAAATGTTATGCCACTTTCAAAACGCGATGATTCAAAATATTTTCACGACATGTACATTCACATCTATACTATGTGTTAATCACAGTTCACAGGTATGACTTTTGCCTACCTCCGGTAGCTATGCACCTGCATTTTCATCAGTTGGGGTCAAAGTTGTTGGAAGTCAGTGGTGGGTTAAATGAAACAATTTTTACGTTTCCACGAGTACTTTTTTACACCAGCGATTTTCAACTACTGTTCCGCGGAACCCTAAGATTGCACCTGTATATTCCAGGGGTCCTGTGAAGTTACCGAGAAGTCTATATATATCAATATATTATGCATATTGTTTAAATATAATCGAAGGCAGAGGTATAATATGGTCTTTGATTAATATTCAATTACACATAGGTTCCTCGAGCTTCTGTAAAGTTTCATTGGTGTTTCTTCACACCGAAAAGTTTCCACACTATACTCGGTATACAGAGCACCCTATGTGGTTCTGGGTGTTATGTGATCCATTTATTCTTCGGTTGATTTTGTTTCTTTATTCGATACATGTAAAACTGTTGAACATTTATGAGTGGGCAGGCGGTTTAAAATGACAAAATCCTTCCTTATATAAATATACGTGAGTGCAATAAAAGATTCTGCTGACTCCTAATTATTCTATAAATATTTGTGTAAATTGAAATATTTCCGGTGTGATTCCTTTTCCGGTTGAAAATATTACTGAAAAACGTAAAACATGGTGTTTTTTCATCTAATCAAATCTTCGACCTCTCCTCTTTATCGCATGGACAGGAACCACCCAGTATAGGACTACTACATTAGTTAGTCTACAAACAATGGAAAAAAAATGTGTGTACAGCCACACTCCGCATAAATATAAAGAAAATACTGTCTACACTGAACTAATAACAAAGTTACAATTGTCAAAAGTTCGTGTGCTGATCAGACTAAAGTAAACAGAAACGTGGACTCACTACACTACACATAGGAGTCATAGTTTTGCAAAATGCGCCACGATCAGGAAATGATCTATTTTATCACTTGTTATAGCTCCAACATGGGAAATGTGGACAAAAGCACATCAATGCCTGTTCAACATGTATTGTTGGAAGATCAACAACGCCGAAAAAAAAACGCATTCTGCTGAATGCTGACCCGGCTGAAATAATGCGCAATCTGGGGTATAGCCAGCATATTACGTGTACATTAGATGATTTTCAACCATTTACAAAAATATTATTTACATATTTTACAACACAGTGCGACGGGAGTAACTTGCCCGCTTTACAACAAGTTTTGCATACAGCAATCAGTGACAATTTAACCATTTTTACCAGTTGAATGGACTTTGTGAATTGGATTTTCTTGATTAGAAGAATATGCGGCTTTCGTGACAACGGTAATCTTCTACAACTATACTCCAAATTCTAAATAAACTATACAGACCTTTTCAAATATAGACTGCCAAAAGAAGCCTTTTACAAGCTATCTCTTGAAATATTGAACACTTATATAGCGTTACAATATGACGCTTTGATTGATGTCGTAAAAGACAAATCTATTGTCTCAAATACCATTTGCATAGCAACAGATTACGTATATTATCGTGACACTATTGCCTAAATACTTTATACCTATGTAGAACCCACGCATTGAAATACAATGCACATTCAGCTCATTGCTTTGACAGCTGACAAACATACTTTGTGGATTAATGTTGGGTATTGCCAACTATCCCCTGACAGCCAAGATAACGAAAGAAACCGTTTAAAAGTAATGCAAATAAGAGAAAATGGAAATGATTTTTGAATATCGCGCTTTACCGCGTGCTATGTTAAAGCTACTGGTGGTGACGTAACTGATAATTTTACCTATGTATACGTAAAGGCAGCTTGTAGTTACGCAATATGTAAATCTACGCATTTCCTTGACAAGCATAATAATGTTTAATAATATATATATATATGATCTAATAAAATAATACATATCGCTGCAAAAGACTGCTGGCTGCTATCACAAAAGGAAGTAAAACTAATTTGGCAATCTTTCTAATATGCGGTGATAATGAACGGGTATAATAGAATTAAAACAGACTTCAGCTTTTTGACTTGGGCCACATACTCAATAATCCTGTGCACCATAACTTATAACATACCGATTCTATCAATAATAATCTCATCTAAAATTTAATTTCAACGAGGTTAAATTATATCTCGGAAATCATAATCATATAATTGCGAGACATAATTTGATAATCTGAAAATGATCAATATTGAATAATATAATTAAATTGACTAAGTGGTACCCACTGTCTAACTGAATTTGGATACTATATGATAATTTTCTGACTAGCTTTTCAAAACTGAAATTGGTTACATTATAGTTATTCGCCTAGGTTCGCGTCCGAGGGCGTGATTTTCGGAAATAATATTTTGAATTTTTGTTTTGACAACGGAAAATTCAAGGATTGCATTAGGATTACGTTAGATATATATATAAACACCAGAATCAGTAAACTAATTACATAGTACAAACTGTAGGCTGAAATTAGTTTATTTGGACATGTCACGAGTCACGACTTCTAAAATACCAAGGTTGGCGAATATCGTAGAATTGAAAATATTTCTACCCGAACGTTATTCCTTCGCAATGATGTAACAGCATCAGAGAATCAAGTAATCAACGCATTTCACCATAAGTCTTCGTTATTTGTAAAAATAAACAGTTATTGTTGGCGCGACCATATTCTAACGAATATGAAACCAAAACCAACAAAAAATAATTCCGCGATACACTGTCTAATTCCAACTTTTGCTTCATATCGAAACCGATTCACTGCACATGGCAAATAAATACTATGATTTACTGATTTATGATGCTCACTCATCACCTGATCAGTAATTTCCTATGGTATCCTCATCTGCTTACTACAACCGATAATGAACTCATGACCCCTTGGCGTCTGAAGCAAATGAAATTGGCTAAAAATTGTGGGAAACACTTGTCAAAATTAAATGGTGCCTACGCGATAATTCCTGTTCATCAAATCTTTGAAATTTACGCTTTGTTCCATATGATCGAAAGAATAATTCAAAAAATCAAGTTAGAATTGGGGGCTAATTTCAAGTATTCATTTCACAAAGTGTCACAACAACGATTTAAATAAATAAATTATAAATATTATTCTACAATTTGAAATCTATCCCTAATTATTTTAATTTGAAGTTAAATTTCCAATGAATTGCTTTGATCTTGAAAAAGACCAAAAATACAACCACATTGAAACATCGAACTATCCAATCATGAAAAATATATACCTAAGCCAAAACTGATCAATAAATACTCATGCAATATTTTATAAACAGGTTTAACAATAGCACTTTCTCTCAACATTTCTTGTTTGCTTATGTTACAAAGTAACTGTATTTTCTCACAATATACCTAAGCCAAAACTAATCAATAAATACTCATGCAATATTTTATAAACAGGTTTAACAATAGTACTTTTTCTCAACATTTCTTGTTTGCTGATGTTACAAAGTAACTATATGTTCTCACAACGCGCTTTCAGCAGTACCGTATTTCGTCCATATGAAGGTGACGTATAAAAGCGCGGGTTATTTATGCAAATTTGTACGAGAATAGATCGATTACCAAAATATATATTTTCAGCTTCTGTGATAAGCATTAAAACTTATTGATAACTTTGTGTATAAATCGATCGAAGCTCATTCAGAAAAAGCAATGAACGTTGTTATTGTACAGTTTTATTCACAATTGATATTAGGCTATATGTCATGGTCATATTATTACAATTTCGGATAAGATTAGCACGAAGTCGAAGCGTGTGAAATAGGTAAAAACTACATTTATTACTACGTAGAAATGTGATTCCAAAAACATATAGTTCGTGTTGAAGTTGCATGCAAGCTTGTGGTTACAACAGTTATTTCGTACGTTACAGACGATTATATCGTTTAACCTGTTTTAAAAATAAAAATAATTTGAGCAACTTTGCCAACAAAGGTTGAAAACTTTCCTACCAGCTGTTTAAACTTTAGTTGTACTCATTTCCAACTATGTGAAATATTGCAATTTATTGGAAATATATTTAAAGCGGAAAGAAAATTTCCAATAAATATACATTTCCCTTATACAACTCTACATTCTAAATATATTGGTAAAGAATCTAGTTATACGTTATACGACTAGCTATAGTAGAAAAAGTAGAGAATACATACATACAAAAGTAGATAATATATCTCTGCCTTTTCAACTAAAATTTTCGGCGCTCCAGAAGTATGTGCATCAAGATGGCGCACAACCTGAACCCTATCCTGGTACACATACTATGTTCAGGTTGTGCGCCATCTTAGTGCACATACTTCTGGAGGTCTAAATTTTCTTATGAACTGATGTTGAGATACACTAGCTTTCTAGTGGCATAAATGGACCTTTTCCCCGACCTTTGACCCCCGAAAAATTCTTCTTATACTTTACCTTTACGACCGCGCCTGCAAATCCGTCTCAGTGAGAAAATCGTCTGAGCGGATGCGAAATAGGAGCATTATTACGTCACTTTTTGCATCTTGCTGATTGGCCAATGTCAGGAAGTAAACAGGGATGTTGATCGATGCTCGAGGAAAGGTCCATCATCTTCAAGAACGAAAAATTAAAATTGACTGGTGTATTAGTTTCCGAAAAAGGCAATTTTTTCAACATGCTACAACCAATCTCTTGTATGTGAGACTGTTTTAAACATTTTTAGTCAGTAAAATTTAGTATATATGAACATGATGACAACCTTGAGCTAAAATAAAATAAATAAGCACGTGCTGGTTAGTGCACCAATGGAAAGGGGACACTACGGAAATTTGACTGAATTTAGTGTTTAATAATGAAACGATTCAAAGCTCAATGAAACCTATTTTCAAAAAATATCATGTAAATTACTCATATAACTTGACATTTGATCAGTAATGAATACTGAAACTTACTTATTTAATTTAAGATAACATTGAACACCAGTTTTATCAATATAATTTTTTTTTATATAGGGCACCAAATTCTTAGGTGCTTAGGGCGTCTAAAAGGCACGATCCGACTTTGCAGACCGTCGTATATAGTCAAGATTCTTCACGCACACACAACTTAGATTTATTAACATGGAGTATAATCATTAAATACAAATTCAAGCAAATAAAAAGATGTGGCTTTGGCCAAGAACTTGCATTTCGATATCTGGAATTTCCTCAAATCTCAAAGTTAGATTAGGTCAATTCGCTTAGTTCATCAAATTGATTTGAATATTTTATCAATAATTTACATTCTTAACAATCGTGATTGAAAATCTGCCTGAGGGTGAACGTCAAAGCGTTGCTCAAAGTTGTATTGTTACGTCACTATTGAAGCCTGCGATTCATTGTTACGAAAAAATAAACAAGGAAGTCAATGCGCGGGGAAACCACGACTATCCATGTTCGTGCGTTCTTTACAACGTGTAAAACATTTTAGCCGTTTTAAAATAATGATTTCAATCACTGAATCACACTAATAAAATACCGCTATTGAACACGAATTTGATACTACAGCTATGACTCAGGTCATTTAGTATTTCGATTTACGTTGTGGCGGAATGCGTGATCAACATCATCACAGAACCAAGGAAAACAAGGACAGTCCGAGTACCTTTAATATATTTGAGCATTGATCTCTTGTTACGGTAATAAGATTTTTGCTTCTATCGAACATTCGCACGACTGCCACGCTGATTTTGAAGTCTAAATCATTGGTTCCCAACCTCCGGTCCGCGAAGCTTTTTTGCCGGTCCGCGAGCAAATTTCGGTGTTTTGTGGTTTATGCCGTCTAAATCGCTTTACCGAGGACGAGGTTGCGTTGGTTTATTACGCAATTTCTCTTCCGCCGTCATATTGCGACATCTTGGCGCCGAGTAATCATACTTTTCGCTTTTTCGGCTCCGTTTCATCTCGAATGCGCTCCCATCTCTTTACCGAAGACGAGGTTGATTAATTACGCAATTTCTCTTCCGCCGTCATATTGCGACGTCTTTCGTGACATCTTGGCGCCAAGGAATCACACCTTTTGCTTTTTCGGCTACGATTCATCGTGAATGCGCTCCATCATCATCTCGCAAGATTCAGAAACCCAAAAATTGGCACGCGTGCTTTTTCTGTACTGCATGCTTTTCCTGATTAAAATGACCCTCCAAATAAAACTCTATGCATATTTCTTTGTTCAAACCAAAAAACAGTCAAGAAAAGTATAATACTCCCGTAAAATATGGCAGGTGGTCACGAGGAGCGCAAAAAAGCATGGGCCGCTGAGATATTTTCCAGTATCTTGAGCAAACAAAGTAGGATTTTGAGCCTGGTGCCAAATTACCGACGACTTTGTCATTGTAATGCAAATTCATCCTGTTTGAAGCATGTATCAACTGCAGAGGGATTAAAACCCAATGAAAAAGCTTGATTCAAATTGTGATTCTACTTCACAGTCCAGATTTAAAAAAGAATCACTGTCACAATTTTGGATATCTCTTGATAACGAATACCCATCGCTAAGTAATCGAGATATCAAACTGTTGTCCGTATTTTCAACGAGTTACTTATATTTTTATTACTTATATATAAAAATATTTTCATCACTAGCTTTAATTAAAGCGAAGCAAGGAAATTGACTGCACGCCGCTGCAGGGCTACGTGTTGCAGAAACTTCCTTGAGGCATCGTTTGCAATCCTATATTGGAAACTAAACAGCAGCAAAATTTTCACTAGAGTTAATTGCGTTTGTACATGATTTGGCATGTACATGTTTTTTTATGTGAGATGTTTTATGTGTGCCTCTCTTACGCATAATGAGTACCCAGCACTGCATTTCATTACGCAAATATTTTTGGTCGGTACATTATTTGATAGTTTTTCTTCTTGTGAGCTGTTTTTGAGTGTGCCTTTTTTGTCTAGATGCATATTGAGTGCCCGACATTGCATTGTATTACGCAAATATATGTTATTCTTTTATGTTCCGGTCTTTTAAATTTTTGGCCGTCCGCGAGTACATTTAATTTAATTTTACCGGTCCGCCAGGGTAGAAAGGTTGGGAACCACTGGTCTAAATATACTTTTTGAATAGATTTTTTTATATATGATTTCTATGTATGATGATGTTTCCCGTTTACCCTATCACACCTCGCTTTCAACTTCTCTTTAGAGGTCGCTTGGGGAAAACGTTCATATCTCCATATTATGTTAGTCGTTGCTTTGAAATCTTTTTCTACGTTTCTACCTAGATATCAATAAAAATGACATAGAAAATCGTAGCAATAAAATCAGCACTCAAAACTATCAAACATGCATCAATTGAGGTTGAGCGTGGTTTTTCAACTTCCGTGACTAATTTACAAATAAACCTTGATGCGTTTTTGTTTATTAAGATCAAAATTACAAGAAACAGCAACATAATAACAAAAAGAGTCCATTTCATGTCCAATAAATATTTATATTTTTCATCATACGTGTGTATGAACTTGTTAACTATAAATCCCGTCCACGAAATTTTAACTTCCGTCCCTTTTGGTTTGACGAAAACCCCGCCCATTCGCAATGATGCGTAACGGTTAATGTAAACAGAAAGACGAAATCGAAATACAAAAAGAGATTCTGGTTTATTTGTGATGCTTACAAACGAAATCATAGTTAAACTTCGCTCTGTTCTCGGAAGCCTTTTCCTACATTATCCTAAATTGGGAACATTTGTGCAGCTAGGGAAAAACATTTGCCACGGAATGAGCACGAGACGAATGAAATATCTTGTGCTTTTGCTTTTCTTGGTTCTGGTCATTGTGGGTAAGTTTTGAATTTTTTACAATCTTACAGTCATTTGCATAGGCTGGCCCACCGGTTCTGAACCAGTGGGCCCTGGGCCACAGAAACATTTTTAGGTGGGCCACAAATCTCTTAAAAATTGTTAGACTTATTGACAAATTGGTCAAATTTGATTGTATTAGAATTGAATGATAACAGGATAATGCTGTTTTTGCTATCAAATGATAATTTTCATTTTAACTATTAAAGTGGGAGTGTTTATCTTTGTAGAAAGGATTATTTGTTTTTCTTGTAGTCTTTCCATTGCATATGAAAGTTATGGGCCACATTTTTTGTGCAACAAAAGTGGGCCTCGGAAGAAAAAAGGTAGAGAACCACTAGCGCTAGCATATAGGCCTATGTGATATGTGTGTTTACTGGATTGTGTGTTACTGCTCCAGTCCATGCTTCCGAAAACAAATAACTAATCCCATTCCTGACATGGAATGGTACCTGGTAACTGTACGAGAGGACGTTGTTCGCCATATGGTTAAGCCGTCTTATTGGCTTTCCTCTCCCCCGGGATAAATATGTAAATTCTATATATATACAGTAACATGCTGACATGTGTGTTAGGTATATAACTATGTGCAATTACAGAATTATAGAGGCTCATTTTTTAAATTAGGAAACAGAGCTATTGTGCGGCGGTGTGGCTCATCGTGCTGAGGGAGGGAGAGAGAGATTCATTATTTGTCAACCAGAAAAAACATAAATACAATGATGATAATAATAAATATAGAGCTTGATCTTACTCTTCGTAAACCACCTTCTGACCTTCACAGCATCGTGGTGCTGATTAAATTATTGTTCTGATGATATCTAGGGTACCAGACTTACTTCCAACCCAAGTTTGTGTCTCAAAGTTTGAAATTTCAATGGTTCTGATTCAATGACTTTGATACGATCTGTCTTGGCTTCTAAGAATGCTATGCTGGGACATGTAACCAACACCATAACACTGAAAATCTGAACTTGAACTAGATTTAAACTGGCAACCTGATATCAAGCCCCTGTACAATAACAATGATCATTATTACCATTTAAGACAGTATCGCTGGATGGATCATTAAAATGAATGAATGTGAATGGATACTGGATGTCTGACATGAAGTTTCAAGCTATTTATTTTTATTCTTTTCTATTTTAGCTGTTAAAAGTGGAAAACTGAGTAAAGATGGAAAAGCACTCAGTGAGGAAGTGTTGGAACATAAACCAGCTGTGTAAGAACACTCGACTGTTTATTTGTCGTTTTTTAATTCCATTTACCTTGGTTTGCATTAGGGTCAGGGATATATATTAAAATTTGTAATTTCAAATAACCCAAAGCGTTTATTGTAACTAGTGATTACTTATCGAAATTGGAATCTCAAAACGATAATCACAATAATCTGAGGTGAATCTTTTTTGAATTGTAAAAGCTTTGAGTCCCTGATCTCTCTTAGTTTCAATTCAAGGTTTTAACTTAAATATGAATTTTTTAAACAGAATTAATAACAATATATCTCAATCAACTAGTGGGCAGATCTGCATGAAATTCTAAACAGAAATCTGCTATTACTTGATTTTGCGATATTTTCTTCAATTTTTACATTACATATTATATTCGCAGTGCAATATTTCATAGTATTACTGCAGACCTGAACATTGCATTGTTAAATTTTGTTTCAATGTTAAAAATTTTCGGACTATAAAATTTATGGAAGATTTAAAATTTATTTTTACCAGAAACAATGACCATAACGATGACATCGACAAGCAATTAAGAAAGGTTCGATTTTTATATTTTCAGTGGTGTTTTCATGTATTAATACAAAAGAGGGTACACTACAGTAAATGCAACCAACATGACTATAAACCGATATATGTAAACAAAATATGCATGAACTCTTTTTGTTAAAATTTCGACATAGTCAACTTTTTGTATTTACTTCTCTTGTCTTCATTACAAAAATATGATAGAAAACAGTAGCATGTGATATAACTCTATAGTCAATATTTTATGATTTAAGACACATTCTAAAAAAATTGTATCGTTGGTAAATCCTACATCGTCCCATTGAATTACGGTAAAAGGGAATCGAACTTCGAATCGAACAGGGAATTTGAAATGAATGTCACTGGTTTTTGTACAGGGTCTAGGTCAGAGAGAAAGACATAATTAACCATCTTACAAATGAAAATTCTCTGTTTTCTTAGGTAGCTGAAGAGAATTCCTATTTGAAGCTGATGGTAGAAAGCCTACAAAAGAGGTATGAACTTAGTAATTTAGTTTTGAGTTTTAATTGTCAAAGTGTCAAAGAGTTACACATATAATCCTGTAAGTTTCATTTCACTGTACACACAATTTTTGAAACATTTCTAATTTTTATTAACTACAGCACTGGATATATTTTGATTCTTGCATGCACCCAAATAAAAAATTCTTTTTTTTCAGTATAAAGCCAAAACATCCAGAAGTTAAATTTTTACCCGAACAAGAAAGAAAGCGGATTCTTGTTACAGGAGGAGCTGGATTTGTAGGAAGTCATCTTGTGGATAAGTATGCTGATTATTAACAATTTCATTTAAACTGTTCAATGCGTAAGGAACGTATTTTCCTGCTAATGAGCCGATTTCCAGTTCCACCAAGTTTTTAGCCTATTTTCTAGAGTCAGCTCGGCTTATTTTCTGCGGTCAGCTTATTATTAGCTTTGGACCAGAAAATACCCGGAAAAGGGGGACAATAACATGCTTTCCTCATGGCATTCTCACACTGTGAAGTGAATCTGGAATATCTCGATTTTGTTAACAGAAATGGGTTCATTGATTGTCCAAACTCACCATATTGTTCCTAACCATTTGTCTAACCATATAGTTCTTCACAAACATTATGAATTTTTATATGATATGATATAATACATAATCAATTTTAGTTAAAAAATCTTACCTTCATATTAGTAACAAAAAATTTGTGACTGAATTCAAAGTAAAAGAAATTGCATTTCAACTTTTTTAGATTGATGTCTTTGGGACATGAAGTCACAGTTGTTGATAATTTTTTCACCGGTCGAAAACGAAACGTCGAGCATTGGATTGGTCATGAAAATTTTGAGTTGATTCACCACGATGTTGTAACCCCATTGTTCATTGAGGTATTGTTTTTTACTTTTATTATTTTCAGATTCAAGTGTTTGATATTCGAGTAAAACTCTACATGGATAAGTTTATTACGGTAAGTATTACAATATGTACAATCATGCCTTACCAAATTGTTAAATTGTTTGAGCAAATTGAGGTTTTGACAACCTGAGCTAAACTGCTGTAGTTCACTCTCATTATTATTCTATCAACATTTGAAATAGGGTACTCCCGTGGGGTTAGGCCATAATTTTATTCCGATTTTCCTCATTTTAGTGCTATTCAGAGTTCGGGGACTGTCTGTGTTAGCCAAGCGAATATACCCCCTGCCCATAGGTTTCAGTCCCTTTACACAACTTGATGTAAAGTAGACGAACTAAATTAATTACCTCCATATTGGTACACACACTTCTGCTGGAGCGCCTGAAATAGTATGTGAATTTTTAGAGAGAAAAATACTATCACTAAAACATGTGTTTGCTATGTGTTTTTATGTATCTAGGATATATCTTCTTCAATGCTTATATATGTTGAACCATATCTCAGAACCAGTTCCTTACTTTTCAAAGCATTTTTTTTTTCGTTCCATCGAACTTTTTTGGGGCTTCAGTTTAGAGAAAAACATAAACATGCTACACTTGTTTTTCAACTAAAAATAAGTAAAAAGATTTTTACATTACACCCCACTGTTGTTTAGTATACCGTTTTTGGTGTTCTAGTGATGTTTTTACACCGATGACTAACTAGTAATAATTCATTTCTTATATTGTGAAAAATATAACATGTTTTGATAGGAAATGAACGTATGATTCTTGCATTTTTTAAAGAATTAGTTTCAATGTTAATTTCTAATAGCATTATGCTGCGAAATCAAAATTAAATGGGAATTTCTCTTGGAAATATCTCTTTAAATCAAAATTTTGCTGCTTGGTAAAGTGAATGGAATATCATGAAATTTGCTAGTCTCTCTTGGCCTTCAAGAATGGAACACAAAAGATATCATATACTATGCTTGGCCATTGCTTGAGTGTACGTACTGTGATCAGTTATGTACGGTAACCACTTTAATGGGAAAACAACCATTTTGTGAATTATTTATTTTCACAATTCTGGATAATGAGTTCATTTATTGTAATAAGGATAATGCAAATAATACGTAACAGAAAACAAGATGATTATCCTACTAATCTATAAACAACATCCTTATCTAATATCAGCTGTTCGATCAGCATTAAGATGTAGGTTATTATATAAATTGAGTCATTTATTTAGTTCTTTGGGGTTGTTATTTATGCTCTATATTATTTCACGAGGTCACAAATTACATTCCATGGTCTTCACTGAACAAAAAATTAAAAATTTAATTTTCCAACCCAAAAATAGCATAAATGTGTTAATGAATAAACATGAATTTGTTATAAATCGCACATGGGCCTTCAAATCCACTTGTCTTATAGTGTTGTAGATGTTGACTTTGAATTACCACTGAATTTTTTCAGGTTGATGAAATCTACCATTTAGCATGTCCTGCTTCACCTCCGCATTACATGTATAATCCGATTAAAACAATAAAAACATCAAGCATTGGAACTCTCAATATGCTGGGTCTTGCTAAACGTGTCAATGCCAGGTACCTTACATAGTGTTTTGCTGCATTTTTTATATTTGGTTTTGGATGGTTTTAATTTAGAAGGAAACTAAATATTTGTGTTATTTGGAAAACAAATTTTAATTCAGCAATATTTGAAATGATTTTGTATGCAATCAAGCATTAAATGCACTTCTGGCATTGTGTTGTATTTTACATGTTTTTTAGTTTTCCTGTCGAAATAATCTATCAGAATTGATGCTAACCAGGAAATTGCATCTAGCTAATCTCGGCCCATCATAGGGCCCAACTGCTTACAATCAGTAAATGTCTGTCTTAGATCCGGTAAGGTTGCTTTGGGATCTCTCACTTTATTTAGAATTGAGTTAATAATCTTGAATCTGGTAATAATCAAAGTTGTCTTTATGATACCAATTATATGATCACCCAACCAACTCTGTGGATTATTGTAGACACTCATAACGCATTACAATGTTATACCACAGTTTTCATTGCTATAAAAATTGATATCTTACTTCAAGATAAGCAATCTCAAAATGTAAATATCGTGGTTCTAATGTTTGCCGCTCAACGGTCTATTTGGAGCATTACTGCCTTTTTCTTTATTACTTACATTGGCAACTTTTTATAAGCTTGTTTTCAAATTCCGATAAGTTTGTTGACCAACTGCTTACTTGTGTTTGTTACAACTATATCACAGCGTGTATTGTTTACTAAGGATACTTGGAAACCCATGAGAATTTCTATTGTTGTGCAAACAATAATAATATTGAGAAATTATGAACATATACTGTACTGATAATTTTTATACACCTTCACTCCAAACATGGTATATACAAGGCCATATGTAAGGAGTGTCTATTTTTGGAAGTACCATAATTTATTTTCTGCATTGACAATTTATTGAACCATAGGTGTGGTGGTCACAGGGATTTAACCCTAGATCTTTATTAAACCAAGACCATTTATGGATAGACCATTACATCCAATATTATAACCACCGGGCCATCTGTACTATCAAGTATAAGATCCACGTGGGTTGTTCAATATGATGGGTAAGAGGATAGTGCTATTCTTGTGATTTAGCTTACTTGAAGCTACCTACAACATACAGAGTGAAGAAGAACTCATAAATTTATTTAACACTTGAATTTTTGTTTGTGTATGACTACCCAAAAGTTACATTATTTTGAGACGCTTTGCACAAAAGTTGTGTTCTGTCCAGAACAGTGGCTTCCAACATGTTATGGCTCGTGGTGCCCTTCCATGGACTTTTATCACTCGTGACCCTGTGGTACTTGTAGTGTTATTTTGATTGGTAGATTCCAAATCTCATTATGTTCAAATGATTCATGCTCAACAAAGTGAAAACATGCTGTGAAAAAGCCTTATCAAGCAATGAAACTAGGAAAAACAGGGAATTTTTTTGTGTAAAGTGGAAAGTAGAATCGGTTTTACACCTAGCATCGTGACCGCCCTTCAACTGCTCTGGAGCCCCTGGTTGGAACCGCTTCTCAAGAATATGTCTCAAATGACTTGGGTTCTGTTTTGTGGGTCATCATTTTGTCATTTTAGCAATTTTCTTTGAACTTTCTATTTCTTTATGCTAATATTTATGAGATAGCCTTGAATTCATATGAATTGCAACTGTCAATTTCAGACTATTGCTAGCTTCCACATCGGAGGTGTATGGGGATCCAGAAGAACATCCCCAGAAAGAAGAATACTGGGGTCACGTTAACCCTATTGGGCCGAGAGCTTGCTATGATGAGGGAAAGAGAGTTGCTGAAACAATGTGCTATGCATATAAATCACAAGTACGTGTTAATTTTATCTTTACCAACAAAGACATTTGGTTGAATTGTTGTTTCAATATGATTTACTTTAATTTAAGGATAATGTTGAAGTAAGAGTGGCAAGAATATTTAACACTTTCGGTCCACGTATGCATATGGCTGATGGCAGGGTGGTGTCAAATTTTGTACTTCAAGCTTTAAAAGGAGAAGATATTACAGTATGTGTTATTTTATTCAAATTTTCCATGCTATATTTAGTAACCATTCAATAATTTTCTTGATTCATTTACCAGATGTGTTTTAGAGCAGTTTTGTTCAAATTATATTTAGCTTAAAATACCTAAAGTACACTACTAAATGGGTAATCAGAAGTTAGCCTTCAGTTTATTACATTTCTTATCATTTCTTATTCTTATTGAATCAATTGCTGCAATATTTTTACTTGTTAGAGAGAAATTCATAAATTAATACTTTAAAAATCTGACAACTGGGGTTCAGTTTTCTTGTAAAAATTGACTATAATTTTATTTAGTAAATTTACCATTTTTTTAGATTTATGGTAATGGGAAACAGACAAGATCATTTCAATATGTGAGGTAACTTAAATTTTTACACATAATCTTATTTCATTCTGCCATAAACGAAATAATAAAGATGTCAATTACATGGTTAACTTATGGTTAACATCGTTAACTTTTTTAATAGTATTTAAAATAATTTGGATGTTATTTGGCTTGTTGTGGCTTCTATTTGATGAGTGAAGCAGGTCTAGCCCACCTCTTCATACATCCAACTTGGCAATTCTGATTGTGCAATTTGGCATTAGGTGACTCCAATTATAATCAGCTTGACGATATCTTCTGAGGAATACTTTTCTATCCACAGTACATTACTCTTGTTGACTAATTCGGTATCCAATTTGGCAATCCTCATAAAATTATTAATTTGGTGTGGCAAAAGAATTTATTCATTTTTTTTTTCATTTGTTTGTATATTTTCCTCTTTACTGAGTAATTTATTTGATTTTAAGTCTCGCATTTTTTTTATCTTCCGACAATATCATGTCTCGATGATTGTGTGTATGTGTGTGTGTGTGCGTGCGTGCCTTAATTAGTTTTTTTTACTTTTGGGTGAGCGAACACGTACTACTTCTTTTATCAATACCTTTCCATCTAAAATCTGTGCGTTTCAAACCTTACTCGAGGTTTTGCTCGCTCTCCCGATTCTATAATCAGTTACTTTTATTTTTGTTTTTATCTATTATTATCGTCTATTGCTGATTATGGAGTCGAAATAAACTTATACTTATACTTATGTAAATAAGCATCATATAAAAAGTTCTTATTTCCCAGTGATCTGGTCAAAGGACTTATCGCCTTGATGGAAAGTGATGTCGATTCTCCAGTTAATATTGTAAGTCCAAATTTCCACATTTTCATTTGAAGTTTTTCTTATCTTTGATAAATTAATCTGTAATTTAACCTTGTTTAGAGTGTTGTTTGAAATAAAGATGAGTGTAAATGTGGAATACATGTCTGCTAGAAAAAAGAAAAAAGAAATTGATTCATATCCAACAAAGATTAAGCCTCTTTATTGGCTTTTTCTCACTGTTATCTGCCATTTTTGGTTTTGTATCAAAAATATATAAATGGTCTTCACTCTTCATATTTCTCACTGACTTCCATCTGATAATATATGCCTATATACTAGAGCTGGAAATTTGAAAGTAATGTAAAGTAATCCCTGTTGGCACTAAAACCACAGCATAAATCAATGTCGACATATTTTTTGTGTAATATATATTACACAATATTTTATTTTTATTCAATATATATTTTTGTGTAAAAATATGTCTAATTATGTTACAATTCTAAATTGGCTTTGCATAAACTTGGCATTCCTGGAAAATGAGTACAGATCGAAAATGTTCTTCGAGTAACTAGTCGATCTGCTTATCACTCTTTTATAAAATATATGAATTTTTTTTGCGTAACTGGGTATATTTCAATACCCAGCCCTGTTCCCGGCTTAACTATATACATTATGAAATATAATTACCAGTACCTTAAAATAACCATTCAAAGCCAATGCCACACCTTGCCACCCAAAAACTAGTTGTAAGAAAAATTAATTTTATACTCCATTCTATAGGGTAATCCAAAGGAATTAACAATACAAGAATTTGCGGAATTGATTAAGAAAATGACTTCTAGTTCATCTAAAATAATAAACAAAGAAGCTGCCACTGACGATCCCAGGAAAAGAAAACCCGATATAACAAAAGCAAAGACTCTGTTACATTGGGAACCAATGGTCAGTATTGTCATTCATACACTGTAACATGTTATTATATTTCGATTTCAATAGTTTTTTAGGTGATTATGTCTAAATTTAGATTGTGGTATAAAGGTCGCTGTTCTTTGTGCTTTTGTTCTCTTTTTTTAAATTACATATTTTGAAGTAACTGAATTGAATTTATTGAACATAGTGACACGAAAAAAAGGAACTATTTTGTTCTTTTGTTCAAAATTCAATCTGATATGCAATTGCTCTATCTTAGATATAATGTAGGTCGTATATGGCAAATGTTTCTGTGTTTTGAAATATTCTCATTTCAAATGTTTTTTCTGAGGTTGGCTGATTTCTGATGGAATATGCAGTCATGGCTTTGATCATTCCAAAATGATAAAATGTTTTACAATGGGATTTCAGGGGAGAGAAAGGCCTATAATGGGTCTTAATCATATGGTGTAATATAACCTCTTGTCCGATTACCAGACCATGTCAGGCAAGGGATTAGTTGGTGGGTTATATGTTTCCAATGGATGGACTTGATGGGAGGAAGCCGTAACCATGTGAACCACCCAACGGCATCATGTGTCGAGTAATTCTTTTACTTATAATTATTCCCCCCAGGATTCAAACCTACAAACCCACACAGGGTGACCAGTGGTGGGACTACAAACATATTGCTATTGCGTAGCATAATGTGCCAAACGCGAGCGTGAAATCATGGAATGAGGATTTCTATATATATATATTTATATTTTAATAAACAAAAATAAGACAAAAAATTGTATCTGCAATCTTTAGTTTGGTTCGTTTGTGTTCCAAACTATATTCGTCATTCTGTTTTTCTTTTCAGGTATCCTTGTCTGACGGACTCAACTCAACAATTGCCTATTTTAAAGCTGAATTATTACAGAAATCTGAAAACAAAAGAAATGTGTTTTTACCTCCTAAAGAAAGCCTGTTATAGAAACAGATGCTTTTGCTGGTGCTAATCAATATATGCAAAAGATATGTAAAGTCGTATATGATTTAAAGGTCATATCAAGAATATTTATGAGCATGGACGGAAATACTAAAATTCAGCCCTTTTTTTTATATTCCCCCTTTTTTCAAATAATTATTAGTTAATGGATGGACAATTGGTATTCTTGGAGGAATAGTTTTTTTTGTTTGGTCAGGTTGACAGCTGGAAATGTATCATGAAATAGCCATAACATAAAATTGTGTGTACAGACCAATTTGAAGGACGACGGTTCAAATCCTGATTTTCTATCATTCTCTGCATATAATAAATTAACTTCTTGCTATCCTCAATAATAAAAATATAATCGGCCTATATTGTGTCGGTGAATTTTTATTGAGAAAGTGCAATATGCTATTTCTGTATTTAGATGTTGCAAACAATATGTTAGGGCTTGTTTTTTGTGTTAATGTCCAATGTACTTCATGATATTTTTTTAAAACTTTGCAATTTGCACTGAATCAGGCTCTGGACAAGCAGCCAGAATTTCCGTTCTCAAGCTTCAAAAACAAGTTTGTTTCAGATGAATTTCATGAATGTTCAAACATTGTTTTCAGTAATAGTTTATTTTTGAATACTGCAATTGCCGGCTCTGCACTGTTAGCAAATCAGGCATTAGACATGTGTTTGTGTATATGTATAATGATAGGAGCACATATGGTTAAATTCTGTATTTGTAACTTTTGATAGCGCAATTCCACATTACTTAGAATTTATGAATATAATTTTAATTGAAGCCATGGTTATATGAATTTGTAAACCATCGGAAGCATCACAGATATTTTTAACTATATTTATTTATTCTTAGTGTTGCATTTATCAGATATGGCATATTGTTTTTTCAGAAAAAAGCATGTTGAATTATTCACAAATGCTTGAAGCATAAAAAAATATTCGAATTATGGTGTATTGGAAAGTTCCACTTTATTTCTTCGTTATTCGTTTCTTGTTGTTTATAGAAGGAAGTTCTATGAGCAGTTGATACTTATTGTAAATAGATCCTTTCTTTGGAATTATTGCAAGCACACCCAAGAGCAAAAATAATGAGAAATCAGAGCTGTTTATCAGGAATGCTACCTGCAGAAAAACTTTGAAAATGATATCTGTTTTTTTTTTATTGCTACAAATACTTGAAAAAATATTCCTGCTCTTTGCATCTTGTCTTGACTTTTAGAGTTGGTATCAAATAATTTTTTGCTTTTGTTATGATATTGCTTATAATTTTCCTGATTATGTTTTATGTTTCGAAATGCTACTAAAAATGACTCTTCATCGATAACAGCAGCTTCAGTTTGGAAGCTTGCAGTTCGACCTCTGAATATTTTCTATTAATTAATATCACTTCGTTTCTATGTAAAAAATGCATCACTATTTTTTTGAATTTTTTTATGCAATTTTTGGAGACTGCTTATATGCATTTCTATTCTCTCCCATTGCTGCTTACGAGTCTATATATATGTGTCTAGTGACAGCTCAGATAACAGGAACTCTCCCATTAATACTCAATATCGTAGATTGCTTTTTGTAGAAATTTGACCATGACACGCTCTGCTGTACGAAGTTTCTTAAGAGGTATTATGGGTATCACAATATGACAATAGTCTTGTACCTCCTATGGTTGTGTTTAAAAATAATGTGACATTTTGTAATTTCATAACCAGTTCCAGTTTTTATTTTGCACAACATGTCCACTCTGTTTCAGTAGTTTTCAAAAATTATGCCAGGGGGGATGGGTCTTTTTTTGTAAGCACCGTTTTTAGAATTTTTTTTTTATTTGCAAAAAGCGGCATTGAAAAAGTACCCTACTTAATTTTTTCACAAGACCATATATTTATTTACCTTCAGTTAAAATTAATATGTAAAATATCCCAAATTAAGGATTTTCAAAGAATTATATTAGATGAGATAATAGAAACATTAACTGATACAAGTTTATTTGACAAGCAAGTTAACTCATTACCAGTTAATCTTCATGTGACTGGCGCGTTTGATGACTGTTGTCAACCAATTTAGGGCTAGGAGTGAGATGTACTAATTTTAAAAAATGGTCTGCAAATTTGCGTCTGTAATAAGTTTAATGTTCATTGGCTTGTTTATTTTTTTTATTGAGTAAGTTTGTTTCACAATTATAGGTGGATTTCTACAGAACAAACATTTTCCTTACTACCTACAGCCCTACACTATTTCCATCTTTGAATTAAGGTATCATGGGGTTGCTTGATATGCCTTTGCTTGATAAAGTTTTCTATTTAGTAATTTATTTACATTTTTCCACTTAATTCCTATTTAATCATGTATAGAATACCCTTTTGCAGTATTGTTGTTTGTGAAAATGAAATAAAATCGTATCAGCACAAGTATATGGTACTTGATTAATATACGACACAGGTCGTGAATGAGGTTATATTTTGTCTTGCAAAAAAATCTTTATCTGGCATTGAAAACGCCTGTTTTGTTTCATTTCAAAGATAAGATGACTTATCGAAAGCCATGCAATTTATGCATTGTAACGTGCGCAGAGTGCTATCGACATATAAGTGGTAAAACAGCGCTACAAATCTGCATTTGTACCCTGACCTCACGCCGGCGCGTCGTCAGCTAATTTTCACTGGACAGTCAGTTAAGCCTGGACATTAATATGAACACGCCAGTGCGAAATATAATGCTTGTTTTGCTGCTAGGAATTTTTGTTTCTGTTGTATCAGCTCAATCTGGCAATGGCGAAGTTGGAACAGTCTCTGATTCTCCTTTGCGTCCTCCATCTCTTGGGGAAGCTATTCCGTCGTATCCAGATTATGAAGGTAATTCATACCCTGGCGGTCACTACCCCGGCAACTACGAAGGTGAGTTAAATCGCATAATTCTTCGCTCGCTTATGCTAACCAACGCTTTACCAGTTTTTATTATTATTGTTGTTAAAACTGCTTACACTTGAAATTGTTTCGGGAATTTATGTATCTGATATCTACCGACTAGAAACTTGAGCAGTGCACGTATTTAGAAAGCAGCTAGTGGGTAGCGAATTTTTAATTATTCAAACTTATAATATGTTTCAGGGTATCGTTACTACAACTATGACGATTACTTCACCAGAATAAATGACTCATCAGAAGAAGATTCGTTCTCTAATGGGAATGAAGAAGGAACCCCGCTCCCAACAGACTTGGTAACTGCTATACTTGAGTTCCTAAAACAGTTTGCTATAACTTTCGGTGATAAAAAAGAGTTTGGAAACTAATTGAAATTCGCCCGCGAGTCTTTGTTCGAGCCTGAAAATTTACTCAAAGCAAGGTCACGAGCACTCACTCAAGACATCAAGGAAATTGATCGATGGACAGGGTTACAGGCGACCAAATGCCAGGAGCTACTGAGGCTATGAGTGTGCTAGACATAGAGGACGCATATCAAAAACTATCATTCATTTCTTTCATTGCCTATATCTGATGTCAAACAGTTTGAAAAAATGAATTGCTTTAATGTCACTGTCTTGATATATTTATTGCACAAGATTTAAGCGTTTATCACTTGGTTTTATTGTACAAGACAAATCTATATATTTTACCGAGGCCACAATCTGACACTTCGGTGTCTGAGAAAACGCCTGCACAAAACGTAGACACGAAGTGATCAGTTGAGAATTTTCCTGCACACATATTGCTATAGTAGTGGAGACCAATGTTAGCGTGGTTCGATACGAAAATAAGTTCAGTTAAATAGCTGGGACATCTTCGGGGTTTTGTTAGCAATTAGAATATATACTTGCGGCTTGGAAGTAATAAATATTAAACTCGACTCATGTTTGACGCAGCTATGATTCTCTACACTCGAGTCGTCATCACAGAAGATACTGTTGGTAGATAACAGTATGTGCGGTATTCCAATTAATACGACAATATCTTGACAGGCAAATCCAGTGATGTTTCCACAAGAGCCATCTGTCTGTATGCAACCAGTATATGCAGATAACGAATCGGTCGACTATGTCGTAAAAGCATCTACACAGGCGCCACGGAAAATACTATCTTATCTGGAATTGAAATCTTCTGAGGTGATATGTATCATGCATTTTCAAATTTGAAAGAGTGTTGAACAATTGATGGCAATTTCATTCAAATTTTTCAGCAGTATAATATATATTACCATAAGATTGACGTACGCCTAAAATTTATTTGATAGCAGTTAGCTTATATTTATGAACAACAAAATAAAATTACTTCGTTGTACAAAAAGCAAGCAGTAAAAGTCTGACCACGCGATAATGAGATTGATCAGCATAGCTTACTTATTCCCCATTTGAAGCCCAAATTAACCCTTTCATAGCTTCCCCGTGGTGCGTTTTCAATAACTCTGTTGTGGCATCTGATCTGCGAAAAATTAACAACAGTTTCTTGATACAATTTTTGATAATTTGATTTTCGTGTTCCCATGTTCAAAATTGAGTTTTGAGAGATATTGACTCTAATAATTAAATGCAGCCAAAGACGGATTTAACTAGTTGAATAATCATCAAAACTCCTATTACAGGCCAGGAAAGCGGTGATGCTTGCCGTAGAATACTACATTCAAGAAAAAAAGGGATCAGTAAATTTAGAAATGACTGAGATCAAAAGCGGATGCCAGCAGGTACAAAAAAAGAAACAGCGTATTCTCAATTTGTTTGAATACATATTTTTTAATTTTAAGCTTTCTGCTGTGCACCATGTACAGTAATATTTTAATTAATACAATCGCGACATATACATATATATATTTAATTTCTCACTTAGTGAATTATTTATTGATAACCTTCATAAATTGGCAAATCTGTAGAATGTAGTATTCCAAATTGCATTTTAATTTTAATCTTTTTTAAAAATCAATTTGAAATTCGAGTAATTTTTGTAAATTATTGCTCTAATACGACCCGCAAAAATAATATAAATATAAAAGTATTTATATCACTTTCGCTGGGGTGAAGACTCAAAAATAGCAAATATACTACCAACATAAAGCCACAGTAAAATAAACTTTTTCGATTAATTTTCCAGGTATTAGCTGGAACACTCTTCTTCTTCGTTTTTGACGCAAAGGAGACGATTTTCTGTGACACAGCTGCCGTGAACGCTACATGCACCGAAAACACAATGGTGAGTTGTTTTTGGATCAATTTACAAGTTTTCATACCTAACGTATACACTCGTACACGTACACTGCGAATATAAATTTATTAATCTGGCATCTCTTCCGACGAACTAGATATATATATCTGAAAAGGCTGAGAGAGTCTAGGTGCGTTGATGAGATACCTCGCAGTTTCTGTTTACATCATGTCTACCTGTATCTTATCAGGTCTTTCCTAGATATGTTTGACGTGTGCCTATTATAACTAAGCCTAGCTTATAGTGTTTTTACATCCATTTTGTTTAGCACTCAAGAGAATGCAGAGCGAGGGTTCATCACAGCCAAGCAAACTCTTGGTATCCATTCTTCACCGAATGCCACTCTCCTGAGTTCTATCAAATTCCGAGAAAAATAGTACGAGTTCGTTATGTATAAAGTAACAACCAGATTAAACAAGAATCAGTTATCGACCTTTTGGCGAATGTGTTTTTTTTCTATGAGTATTGCATGATGGATCAAATTTTAGACTCGTCCTGGCCACGATTTTTTTCCTTTTAATATATTTTGAAGCATTGCAATTGATTCACTTTATTTACATTAGGAATAGTGAATTCGAGATTTTAAGCAAAACTTATCACTGTTGAGCACAGACATTCATAACCCATTATAGCTTATAAACACACTGTAGAGTTTTCAAATATTCAACATAATTATGCAATCTAAAGACCAAAAAGGAGTATATAAATTTAAAATGAGACAGTGGCGGCGACTTTTTTCATTGTATATTGCAAACAACTTTACAGGTGCCATAACAATTCAAAAATAATATAATTAGCATATCTTGTAGTGGCAATCCACACATGTTCCAATAAAAATGAGACTTCATGGTTTATTTCAAATCGTCGGTCTCACTAGCTTTTTCATCGGCAATTGAATCATCAGTTTCGTCGTTTACGTCAACCGCTACTGGGTCACATCCTTCGCCGTGAACGTGTTCGTCTGTTGCAGGTGGTGGGTCGAATAAAAGACCTTCTGGCATTTTCCCAGCCTTGGCATCTGGGGCGTCTTGGTCGATTTTGTCGCCGTCCTTTTCTGAAGTGATTGGGGCCTCCTGGAACAAATAATTCAGCAAAGATTTTGATATATATTTCTGTGTTAAACTTTAATGGCATAACTATTATGTAAGTTATGTTTGTTAATATTTTCACTTAGGTTGTTAGCCTTATTTTACTTGCGTAAATAACAACATTCTTCAAAATAAAAATTTAGAATCTTTACTTCATTTTTGTGATGTATAAATTTCCGTGGAAAATATTGTTAGAAACCTAATACTACTTAAATATTCTACACAAGGTATTATGACGTAACAACCCTAAATCTTGTTGAAGACTATATCATTTTTCAAACTGAAACAAGATATTAAAAGCATACTGAAACCTAATACAAAAACCAAAATATAATAATATCATTACCTCATGCAATATACAATACATGTACACTTGCCGTACACTATGTGAAAGTGAACTTACTATATATATATTATATATCACTCATATTATATATCACTTTAAACTGACTCACATTGACTGTACAATTTAAACTTACTCCAACGAGAAGTAATACAAGCTTATATGCATATGCTTGAAACATGAAAAAGCGAACGCTTTTCCAATAGTTTCACGCTATCTGGAAATAGGTTTTGACAATGTAACTGTTAATGCCGTACCAGTATAAGCTCTCCATCTTCTCCAGCAGCGGCACCATTCCCTTCAGTATCCTCATCATAGTCATCTAAGCCTAATGTATTCTGAATCAATGACCAGTGTTGTCGAACATGCGGATTGAGAATTAAACCTTCTGGTAAATCAAAATCGCCATCTGTCCCAATACCAATCTAAAAATATCAAGAAAAAGGATGTGATAAAAACTTTCTATACTTATTACGACATAAATGAATTGGATATAGGTCAGGATGACAATTTATCACTGACATATCATTTACTAAAATAGTAGGGGTATATATTATATTACACTTTCATATCTATGCTAGAAGATAGGAGGGAGGTTCCAATAACACAATTTCCCGTATAGTCTCTCATCCTGTTAGCACCTCGGATAGAGTATTATAAACAATTAAAAACATCTAATCTATCCAGACGTTGGGACACATTGATGGGTAACTTCAAAACTAGCCAGGGTTACGTCGTACTACACGGAGAATACAGAAATCCTCTCGCGCAAGGTAAGTGGATTAAACATGAATTTTTATTGTGTGAGAAAATCAAAGAGTGATATGGCGAGTCTGATTTGTGATTCAGTCGCAGTGATATAAAATAGGAGGTATTTTTTGTGGTTGAAAAATTCCAATTGAAATACTTCGTATAACTTACTTCAAACCGTATTCCGTTCACATCCATAATGAATAAATCCTTATTTATGCCGTCTTTTGTCATTTCGTCTAAGCTGTCGCCTTTATCTACGACGCCATCTTCCCCTTGCTGATTCAAGTCATTGACCGGTTCTATTTCAGGAATAATGACATCGTCATCATACTCGCCGAACACGTTCAGAACTGGGGTCATGGTGTCACCGCCTTCCGTCACGTCACCTGGAACAATGTCGCTGCCTGTACCTGTTGGTCGGGGTTAATGATGTGACTGTGAAGGCGGTGACAATGAAATCTAAATGATTGCAGGACAACAGCGCAGCCAAATTTGTGTTCAATGATGAACATCATTATATGATAAAAATTAGATTTTGGATGAGCTTTGGATTTCAGAAATGTTTTACTATCTGCCAAATTCTTCATACCTTACATGTGGTAATCGATGACAACGTTTATTAGCGGTGAATCATTTTATTGTTGAAACAATAAAACAACCGAACAAATTAAATATATTTATGAAGCTATATGTTCTAAGCAGAATGGTGAATAAATGAAATGTTACAAACCTCCTTGATTTTCTAAACTATCCAGCAATGTATCATCAATTATCTGAAAATTAAATAGACGAAATATTTTTTGAATAAAATTAAAGTGATCTTATGGCGGCTAATTACGCATAGTTGTGAAATGATTTTAAATTTAATGATTAAAGTTTACAATAATGAACGAATTACTATTAAAAAGACTATATTTCAGTGAAAATCAATAATGTTAGTTAGAGTTATATAGGATTCCGCAAGATCGATGAATACATAATACAATTGATGATATCAGTTCTTATATAGTCATTATTCAACTTAACAGAGCGCCAGTGGTAGAGAAGAATTTAAATTTAAGGCGACAAAAGGAACGTGGTAAAGTAGACTAACTTCATCTCCTTCTCCTGTGAGGCCATCAAACTGAGAACCGTCAACATCATCTGACATTCCTCGAATATCAAGACTATTCTGTTCATTTAGTGAGGAATATATACTCACGGTTACTAATAGAAAAAGGAAACAACAAAATGAACCGATCACCATAAACCTGAAATTTAAAGTTAACATTGAAATATTCATATATCAACGAGAGAAAATGAAAGGGAAAAATAGCTACCTTGCTTTGGTTTGTGAAGTCCTAGTGGCGGCACACATGTCACCGTCGCCGCCAGACATGACGTCATCAGCAAAAACCCGTGCGTGTCTCGCAGAATCAACGTCTAGTGAAAGATTTTCGACTGGTCGCCTTGGAAACACTAAACCTGTAAAAATAAAAAAAATAAACGAGGTGTACAAAGATAACGTTATTAAATGTGGGATAATAAAAAACGCCCAATTCAACTCGTGCTATTGCCTGCTTTCATAGCAAAAGGTATCGTATGTTATTCCTTCAAAACTCTATATCGCAAATGTAATCTAGATTTTGCAACTGACATAGATGTCCGCTCTGAACTTCGATGAGAGGTTGTTGTCACAATGTTGAAAGAATAATATTGTTTTTATGCCAGGTTGCCATGTCCTAACTTTTGGGTTGTTCAGTGTCTAATGATTTTTGATGTAAATCATATTTTTTTTGGTAAGTTATCATACTTCTGTGAAACGGAATATAAGGCAAAGTTGGATACTCCCGTAGTATGTGAACCAAGATGGCGGACACCGGAACGTAGTATGTGTACCAGGTTAGGGTTGGGCCATAATTTCAGGTACAAATAGTACGCCAAACTCGCAATAAAACTAAAATAAGAAAAATAAAATTATGGCTTAATCCTAACCTGGTACACATACTACGTTCCGGTGTCTGCCATCTTGGTTCACATACTACGGGAGTACCCAATGTTGTTCTAACTGTAGTCGGATTTGAGAATTTTTATGAAAATTTGCGCACTTCAAATTCACACTAATTTTCACTTTAGAATGTGAATATATTGAAGTGTAGAGCAACAATTAAAAAATTACAGAAATTTATTACATATTTTTACTAAACCATGCATAGATCATGAACAAATAATGACTGATGCACCTGAAGTTTCTGATTGTTACGTTGTCGAACCCTATATTCAGCATTCCGGCATAGCGGTCAGAATGCCTCAAAATATCATCAAAATAGTCATTTACGGTTGAATATTATGTAGATCTATTATGTTCTTAAATATAAATTGAGTTATTATTGTGATGTTATTTGGGAAGTACGTTGAACCGTTTCATCATAAATGATCATTTACCAGGCATGGTCAGGGTCCGTCGTTGGTAAAATCCACAGTGAGACAATAAAATACTTACTGTCATCTTCGTGCAGATGCCTCATTCTCGCTGATCGTTGTTCTGTAGAGGAAGAATCCATTATAAATATATTTTTGCTTCCTCTATAATATTAGTAAATAAAAGTTTCCTGCTATAAACTCAATATTTTTGCTTCACACCCAATCATCCGTAATAACAAATAAATAATTGACGAAAGGTATCAACATTCGACCTTATATCCCTTTCGAGAGGATTGCATGTCGTTCTACGGTTGGTGGAGTATCCACTCAACATTGTCGTCATCACCAATAAAGTTAAATTTCAAAGTGGACGCTGAATAGAAATTCTCGTGTTCTTTCCACTTATCGCTGATTGCTCTTAAATGACGACAAAATCGACAACAAGTTAAATATTGCGAATTTCCTGTCAACAAAGTCAGCAATAATGTCTGAGCGTTTCATCATGTTTTTTTCTCTTTTATAAAAAATTGAAACGCCTGTACATCTGCTATTTTCGTATTGATTACATATGCGAGTCAAATTGTCTTATAAGTATTATTTTTGTGCTATTTTATTGAATACTATATTTTATCATGTTATACCATACTATATCTGTTTCCAGTGGTTTTTTCCGTCTATGGAATTTTCTCATAGTAATTTTTATGGCTCACAAACTAAAAGTTGGACTTCAAAATGGTAAGTTGTTTGTGTTATACATTGACTTAAAATAATTCATTGACTTCAATAATTCGAGCAACCCTTCTATTCAAAGCGATATTTATTTAATAATATTTTACCGTAAATTTTAAGTTACTCTGTTTTGGAAATTCCTAAAGTTATTTACGGTAAGTTAACCAATGATTGACGCAGTCGTCTGTCGGCTACTTCCTTTTTCACAAACTCAGGTTGCCCCAATGTTCGCTAAATCATTCAGCGGCCGTTGTCGGGCATTGGAGGCGTTCGCATTAAACTGATCCTGTAAATTGTAAGTGGTCGCAAGTTGGCGGTGTGGTACCAGTTTAGCAAGAAAATATTTGTTATGAAAAAGGGGAAATATAAATAACAATCATTTTCAGGAGCGCGATTAGGATAAAGGATAAGGATAATAGTCGTTAGCCTGAGTTCAGGTTGTGTACCAGGTTAGGGTTCAGGTTATGCGACATCTTGGTGCGCATACTAAGGGAGCACCCATTTATTTCTATTTTATATTTCTGGACATACGTCGTCTATTTTCCGAAGCACATCCGACCATGCTTCCCTATTCAAATGGTTGTAGAAATATTGGGTCTCGTGTAGTTTCTTACCTAACATACTTATAGTGGGCGTAGCGTGACAATTTTTTCACGTATCAATCCTAACCCGACCCTGACTACACCATTCAAGAATTACGACGTCACAGTGACGTAATAGAGCCCTTCAAACTATACCGGTACGAACTGCCATCCAAGACCCGCAAACGAGCACCCGAAATCGAACAGTTATTTCTCTTGTTTTCTTGTCGTAACGATTCCAATAGGAGAGAGACCGATAACGTCAGTCAGTTCTTTATTGTCGGCCCCAGTGCCATTTCGGTCGATCGTGCGTATATTTGGCAAGCTCTGTGACGAGATTGTGATGTCGTAGCGATTTAATTTTGGGATTGCGTAATCAGATGGGGGTTAGGATTGACATATCAAAAAATTGTTATGCTACGCCTACTAGAAGAACGTCGGGTACGAAACTAAACGAGACCCGAAATATTGGGTCTAGTATAGTTTAGTACCACATCCACTTCTAGTTGGCCTGGCTCAACAATTTTTGCATATGTCAATCCTAACCCCCACCTGACTACGTCACCGAAAAATTACGTTATTCCGACGTCACAGTGGCGTAATAAGGCCCACCGAAGTATGCGTAATTATACTTTGGCAATCCCTATGACGTGATGGTGACGTCGTAATGACATAATTTTTGGATGGCATAGTCAGGTGAGGGTTAGAAATAACATATTATGCAAAAATCGTTATGCTATGCCCACTGGAAGTACTTGTGGTACACCGGTATATGATTCCTGACCCCTACCTGATGACTTCATCCAAAAATTACGTCACTGCGACGTCACAATAACGAAATACAGCTTGCCAAATCAGGCACGGTAAGAAAGTACTACAGGAAATATAAATAACAAAATAATACAGTGATAAACTGTGTTTTGATATAGTCTATTCAGATATTGTTTTCTGATTTTGATTCAATTTCCGATTTATACTGTTATAGGTTTAGCTGAGTATAATAAATGCACACCTGAACTCTGCTGTAGCATTGAGCCAGTTCAGCAATTTGGGAATATTAAATGATACAGTATTCCTATTGCTGTATTGAGTTAAGAATTTGACAGAAATCAGGAAATTGAATAACTGAATATGAAGTCAACCTTGTTTTTGTTGTTAGTATTGGTTGGATTTATACAAATATCTGCTGGACAAGATGCGTAAGATAATTTTTGTTTTTTTTGAAATTAGTCATATTGTGTCAATCAAAAAAAATCTAGTAGGTCTATTAAATATTCATGCTGGACTTTTTTTATTATATTTTTTGTAATTAATTATCTGAATAAATTTCATACTCTTTGGTTTTCATATCTTCATGTTTACCTATGAAACTATAGTCCATCTGAATAGTTTTGTATTCTAGGAATAGGATTGTCTCGTTTGTTTAATTTTCATCTATTTCAAATTTGAATGTTACAGTATATGGATATTTTTTGCAGCAAAATTCTTAATATGCAAAATTTAGCATACCACTAAATCATCTTTTTCATATCTCAATTGGTATTTTCAAGTACACCATGTATTTGAATTCTTTTAATAAATCCCAAATCAAATCTTTTTGTTCCCCCACAGCATAAGAACAGGTTCCATTACATTTGAACCCACGTACATTTGAACCCATGACAATTGCACCTGTATGCTATTGCACATATGGAATTTTTTTTGTTTCACGGATAGTTAAACCCATACTAACCCTAACCCATGGGTTTTAGCACCCGCATATAGATTGAACCCTTGGATATACGCATGGGTTCAAATGTACATGGGTTCAAATGTACGGTCACCTAAGAACAGCATGTATTTATTTCTATTTCATATTTCAGGACATATGCAGTCTATTTTCCGAAGCACATCCGACCTGGTTTTCCCATTCAAATGGTTGTAGAAATCCTAAAAAGTGAAAATCCTGTGAAGATTACTGCATCTTTCCAATCACCAGCAAAAGAAATTGACTATATGTTGGAAACAAATATGTCCGAAGGTATGAGTAATTATCATAGACAGTCTATAGAAGGGCAACTCAACAGGCAGACCGCGGTCCAAATCCGGACCTTTCAAGTATTTGATTCGGACCGCACTTAATTCTTTATTTTGGATCATTAGCCCCAATTTTGAAGTTTGCTTTCATAAAATGAATTTTATAGTTTTGAATATATATGAAAAGGACTATAACACCATAATAAACAATCTCGATTATCTAATATTCATTAACCGAGGAAGTGTGCGTTTAAGGATGCCAAAATATAATTTGTGGCAAGACCGGACCCGAAGTAGTCCTGGTCTATAGTATTCAATAACTAACATAACGATATGAGCTTTTGAACCTCCATCTAACCCTACTGGTGGGGCGCGGCGGTGTGGCTCAACGGGCTAAGCGTTAGGAATACGCTCGCCACCGCACCTCTAATTACTCTGTGTGGGTTCGCAGGTTCGAATCTCATGCAGGGATGGTTATGTGCGAGAGGATTGCTGGACTCCTCGCCGTCATTGGGTGGTTCACGTAACCGCTGGTCGGTTACGGCTTCCTCCACCACCAAGTCCATGCTTCCGAAAACAAACAATATAACTAATCCCATACCCGACTTGGAATGGTAACCGGACGAGAGGCCGTGGTTCGCCATATGGATAAGCCATCTTATCAGCTTTCCTCTCCCCCGGGATAAAAATTTGTATATCCTATCCTATCCTACTGAACAGAAAATATGGATTTTGCCAACCCCTGATTTAAATGTAAACATATTCATAACATTTTTCATAATAATAACTTACTGAAGTATGTTTAATGCAACCATTTTCTCTGTTTGCATTATATGGTGAAGTTATATCTTGTTTTGTCTGACGAGTTGATATATAATTTTGTGGAAAAAATATATGCCTTTTTATGCAATGTCTTAATTCGTATCATTTGAATATGTTCCTTGATTTTATTACATTCTGGACTAATGCAGACATTATGGACTTTTCACAAAGCAATTGGTGATATATTTTTATGATATTCAATACTGGAAACTAGACATATATTTTCGTGCTCATTATTAGCATGATTATACAAGAAATAGGTAAACCAGTTCTTGTGGAACGACCTAATTCCTTTGTAGTCATGGGTCAGTGGATTTTCTAAGCATCTAATTGCATAATGGTATATATTTTAGTTGTTGAGGAGGTCTTGTGTTTCCATAGCACTCCATAATATTAATTATATGTGCATAAGAATTATATTTATTAGTTAGTATAAGACTATTGGAACCAAGGTAGATTGATCTTGTTTTTCAGTTAATTTTACTGGTAATATAACTTTTATTAAAGATTTAATTGATCTACTTTCTCTAAAAACATGTTATATCCTATTTTTCAGGAGACAAGAAAATGCTGGTTTTTAATGAAGTGGTCAGTACTATTATTTTTATATAAATGAAATAAAGTGAAGCACATCATTGTATTGATTCCATGTAATATCATTATAAAGTAACTAGACCGCATAACAGGCAAAATACCTTTGTTGGGGTTCATTCTCCTTATTTTCTGTGCTTACACGCAAGCAAATGACGTAGTTTGTTTACCACTTATGGACTCCTATTTGGTCAGTTTTGCGCCAAGTATGATTCTTGGATAGATACATCAGCGTACTCTACTGGATCAGTCTTTTATTAAACCATACTTGATCTATTTTGTTTACACATGGCATAGGCATGGCCCATATCTGAAAAAAGCAATTTGCACTTGTGTTGCACCTTTTTTCACCAGCAAAAAATTATATATATCCAAATGTCCAGAAAAACAAAGTTTAAGGAGAACTTCACTCTTAGTTCTTTCAAATCCACCAATGTATTTAAAAAAAGAAGGAACTGCATTTGTGTTGATCTTTTTATCACCAGAAAAATATTATGTCACCAAATAGTGCCCACAAAAACATAATTTCAGGAGAACTTCACTTTTATTAATCCTATTGATTTGACTGTGCTCAATTTACTTCATTCGCTAGTGATGTATGTGCTGGTTTCGGTGATGTTAATAAACTTTGGTTATCATGCCCGATTACCCCGCAAACCCATTTTTATAATCTTCAAAAACGATATAAATTATGAAGAATTATGAATCAGTACTCTCATATTTTATCTTTTTCATAATCTTAATATATATAAGATATATTAATATATTATTTTAGGCTCCTAAATTTTCAAATATATATAATATATTAAAAAACATTCATTTACAAACAAATATACTTGTACATATATATTGGAGTTATTACAGCGATCTTCAAAGAATTTTGCTTACATGAAATTTGCGAGAAATTCTATTCAATAGTATTTTTTCCTACTTTGGTGAAATTAAATCGATGATATGGCTCTAACATAGAATTGTAGAATAACAAACAATTTTGGACATATAAATTCATGTATTTCAAGTTAAAAAAAAACAAGTTCACAACTTTTCAAATCGTGTATAATACTAATATTTCTACATCTTCGCATTGTAAAAAAATTTCAAATTTAATTATTTTGTGTTACAGGTGCCAATGGAATACACAGGAACGACAGATTTTGAATTTTCAATTTCTGGAGTGGATACTGTTACTGAGGAAGTCTTGTTTGAAAATTCAACTTCAGATCTCGCTTATGAGAGAAAGTCGCTTTCCATATTCATTCAAACCGATAAAGCAATATACAAACGTGGCCAGACAAGTACGGTGTTATTGTTTATAGAAGAACAGATAAGGCCCACAGATAAATCATGATTAAAATTAAAATGAACCAATGATGCTGTCATGCTGATTTGGATTTCATGTGCTTGCTGGGTTGTTTTTCACACTTCAGCAAAGACAAATTATGGCCATTGGTAGTCGCTGAAGCATGATTACTTCATGTTTCGGCTTTACCACGAAGATCAGCGTCTTTCTAAATTTGTTCATTTAATCATCAACAGATGTTATATTTTAGTTTATCTATATAGATTTAAATAAAAATGTATTCTTATGAACAATAATGCTAGTACTATGATTCATACAACTAAGAACTATACTTGTTACATATACTATTGATATAGATGACTATTGCAAAACCGAACTTGTTTAAGAATTAAATGGGTCAAACTGTGATATTGTTTTGGATTTGTGAATAGCCCTAGCATTGCCTATATGAACTCAATTGTATTTAATTTGACATGGGTTTGATACTTCCTTGCTGCCAAACCTTTTAATCATCTATGGCCACTGATGGCTATTGCAAATGGAATTTAGTTGAAACTATTAACAGATCAAATGGAGATGCTATTCACGTCATGTGAATAGTTTTAGCATAGTCATGTCACTGATCTATTTATTACGCAGATGTAGCATTATTAATATATGACGTCAATGTATTCAATTTGACCACTGCAACAATACTTTCTTATTGGCAAACTCTTTAATTTAATAATGTTGAAATACTTATGACACATTATTGCCTATGACTAGTAATTGTGAATATGCATTACCATTTACCACAGAAAAAAAGTTTGAAAAAAAATTTATGCTTTGTACCAGAACTTATCATCAGCTGCGTCTGAACAGTCGTGCCCAACCTTTTTCCACTTTGCCCATTTTGGAACTGTGTATTTCTCCCTCACTACGCATAAAATCTACTTTATTATTCAATCTTTAGTGAATCCTCATCTAGTCTTATGCACAAAACGCGCTTCTTGCTTTTATACAATTTAAATAATTTGGAATGTGTTCATATAAAGGTATTATAGTAATAATAAAGAATTAAACATTATTATCGGTGGTAATACTATAGCAAATTCTCTGGTTGGGAAACTCTGGCTAACGTTGGTCTAGCTTTATGTATCCTTGACGTGAATCTAACATGTTGATACTTTTTTCAGTTAAATTTCGTGCCGTCGTCGTAACCCCTGACCTATTACCATATAGTGGTAAGGTCACTTACAAACTTACGGATCCTGACAGCAACATCATCGTGCAAGAAACGGATGCTGAACTTATGAGTGGCGTCGTGGGATCTGAATTTACACTCGGACGATATGCAGTTCTCGGAGATTGGAAATTGTCATACCTTGTGCTTGTAAGTATGATTTTGCTTTTTTTTTTCAAAAACTGATTTTTTACATCCTCAATTATTCAATTATTTTAATCGTTTAGGAACAAGAAGAATCTCTCATACTATCTGTTGAAGAATACAAGTTACCTAAATTTGAAGTTGAAGTATTGCCGGATCGCTCATTTCTCGATCCTACCATGAAGTCTTATACTGGGAAAATAAAAGCAGAGTAATTTTTTTTAATTTTTATATGTAGAGACTGCTCTTGACACAAGAGATCTGAATTTGATTGGATATTTCTTCGAGCATAGATCCCCTTATTTATTTTTGTGACAATCACAAATCAGCAATAAATGAACAATGACATAACAATTGCAATTTGTGCAGCTTCTCAGACACTTTTTTACTTAGACAGCTATTCAAGCATGGTTGTTATTGCCTTGTTTTGTGGTATTGTCGGTTTTCAATTTTTTTTTCATAAAATAGTTGTAAATCAAAAAGTCCTACTTAATTGTAGGCATATTTATGTCTTACGAGGAGATTTACCAGAAGTTTTAGTCACAATAATCAAAAATTAGTTCTGCAAGTGCTATGATAAAGCGCCAACACTTCAAACACTCAAAATTTTTTCCCAATAAATTTTTTTTAAAAAAAGATTTTTATAATATTTTGTATTCAAGTTTCACTTTTGGACAACCTGTGAAGGGCACTGCTACTCTGAAGATTGAACGTCAATATTATTCAGGTTGGGGACAAACGAATACTGGTGCATATCATCAAGTTTATGAGGTAAGTTAAGGGCTGCTATCAAGCTCAGAAAGTCTATTTTGACCATGTAATACAGCACTGTTCAGACCAGTGTACTTCAAACTTTTCCCATCACGACCAACTCGATGTGCTTCTCGCACGAAAGACGAAATCTTGACTCTATTTTGTGACGCCATTGAGCCTTTTTGCGATGCACAGGGAGTCGGGGACCCCCAGTTTGTAGAGCCCTGGTTTAGACAAACAGTCTTGCCAGCAAGCAAGTAACCTGTTATTTGTTTTCTATTTGTTTATCATTTTCAGAAGGATTTTTTATATAAAATAAATACTTGCTAACTTCAAAACAGAATTGGCTAATTTTAGTAACTCAAGCCCAAGAATTGTTTTCTCGCATGACTTAATGGGAGAAAATTTTATCTTATTCATGGCATGTTGCTATGGTATAAATAGATGAATCGTTTTTTTATGAAGGTAGGGTAGAAATTTCTAATTCATCTCAAGACTTGAGCGTATGGAGAAACAATCGTTTCTAGTCCATGTTGGGTATGGAAATAGTTATTCGTTTCAGATGCAAATGCGGCCCACAAGGAAAATTTGTGTGGCCCACGGACATGTGACAATTTTGAATGGTTTGAGGCTCGCAAAACGAGTTTTAAGGTTACACACTTCTAATTTGAACTATAATCAGAAAATCTGTTTAGTGTATAAAGAATCAGCCGTATATTTGAATTTTTTAGATCAGACGACTGGATCTATACATTCCTGATCTTTTGGACATAACAGTTAACATCTTCGCCTCATTCTATTATCTGTCTGTCTATCAATGATAACTTACTCTGTTTTAGAACTTTAATGGCGAAGCAGAATTCGATATTCCACTTGATTCCATTACACAAGAACTCAATTGGGATATCAAGAATGAATATCTTTATTCAGAAACTGCTAAAGTTACTGCCATTGTTGAGGACAAAAATTCATTAGTTAAATTGAACAGTGAGTGTATCCCTTTATAAATATATCCTAGGGTTGCCACTTCTGGATACATTTTTTTTTTCCAAATCGAATCTCCAATCAAAAATTTTTGAATCAAATCTTCCAGAATCTGAATCCGTTAAGCTTTTTTCATTGCATGATTTATTTTATAAATATTTTTTACTATGCAGTTTTAGAAATTGTCGCATGGCTTTACTTGAAAAAGATAAATGCTGGAAGTTTTATGCAGTGATACTCCTATACATGTAATTACTATTGAGCAATACTTCAATGCCAAACATAAAATAAACAATAAAATTTATTATTAAATAAAAGATAATTTTCAGACGACACCGTTTTGAGTCACGACTCATAAAGTTGAGAAACACTGTTCTATAATAATTCTATTAAATCTTTTTTGCGGTTTTCTAGAATCAATCACGCTGCATCTTGAACCTTCTAATATTAAAGTTGAACAAATTGCTACACCAACAACAATAAAACCTGGATTAAGATACGTGGCTTACGTAAGTAAACACTAACAGTATCACGTTATCAAGTATGGTACTTTGATGAAATATGTTACCAAAGCATGGTTTATCTATGGTTTATAGTAGGCAAAGCAAAATGTTGGTGTAACCCATCTTTTTTATTAGGTTTTATTCATGATTCTTCTTAAATTCTGTTAAGTAAGATTTCTTTCATGGTTAATGATAGGATATTTTGGTTTGATTTGAACTACTTCGTAAATATGTGGATAAATGGTGAATATAATGTCAAGGACGAGGGATCTCATTAGCCATGTGCACGTTATACAATTTTTCTCAGACTCTCAATTAACAAAATACATTTTTTCACTCCCACAGTGTGTGAAGGGAAAGTATACAATATTAATGCTATTTTTATTGTCTTGGGGTTTAGTGTTATATTTATATATCCAATGATGGAGCTATCATCAGACATTAAATTTAATGTTGTTATACACTGTGCAGTGCAGCCTGTGCTTGTCTTATAAATTCTGAACCAGACTCCCCAAGATCCTTATCCATGATCTATGCGAACTGGTTAAGGCAGGGGTATGCAAACTGCGGCCCGCGGAGAAATAACAATTTTGAATGGTATTATTCTTTTTCGTCGCAAAGCCCATACCAGTCATATTAGCAAAACAAGCTAGCAAAATTCTGTTGCAAAATACACGATTCATATTACAAAAACGTGTTTTCCACTGCATTCGTTTGAAGTCGGTGTGACAAAAAATTTAATTAGCAGTTTCTTCAGAAGTTTATGCGTTTCAAATCTACTATTTCTGCAAGAACCCCTAATAATGCCGTAAGATCAATAGCAAATATAGGCAATTTTTGTGCTTGCAACTACCAGAAAGCCTAAATTAAATAAAGGTGCGGCCCGCGGCTTCACCCAGTTACTTGTATTTGGCCCGCCAATAAAAAAGGTTGCACACCCCTGGGTTAAGGGATGGCAAACCTTTTTTGTGGAAATGGGTCAAAAATTATATTTTTATCACATGACAGAAGACTGTGGGCAATAGATATTCAATCATTGACTGCATTAATGAGAAGCTTCGTTATCCCTGGCACATTCGTTATCCCTGGCCTATACTGTAGTAATAGAGTAATCATTAACAATATTGCTAGCTAATTTCAGAAGCAAATCCTAGTGTATTTTTTGTTCAGTTGAAGGTGACTGAATTTGATGGGAGATTATTGAGCGAACAAGCCAGAAAAACATTAGGAATGGCAATTCAAGTACAGCATTCGTAAGTGATATTTTACATCTCAGTTTATCATTGTTAATGTTGTTCAGAACAAGGTCGCAAAACATCTTTTTAAAAGAATTGCCCTCTGTGAAACTTTAGTCAGTCTTGAGGGGGCTCGGGTCATTGACTCGACTCGAGTCAATCATTTACCCAAGACTCAGAGTGACTTGAATCATCTATATGGAATGACTCAGACTGACTGAGTTATTGGCTCAACCTGAGACTGAGACAGTTCATGACTTAACTCGACTTGAGATTATTGACTCAACTCAATACTCTTGACAGACCGCTCGACTCATGGTTTGAGAACATTTGCCTCATCACTGATAAATGTTGCTGGTCTTTGAAAAGAATGAACATTCATTCAACTCACATGTGGACAAGTTGAACTGTTACTTACTCACAGTCGAAAAATATTTAATCAAAATTCAAATTTAATTTCATTTAGAAAATTACCTTTTTCCTTTTGTCAACTTCTTAATTTAATTGAAAATTACAGGTACCCATATATTAGTTATCAGAAGTATGTTCCTCCTGTATCAGAACTCATGGATGTGATGGTCCGAGAAGATGGTCTTGTTATATTTTCTTTCACAGCTAAAAATGATAACTTCACAAATGTTGCATTTCAAGTAAGAACGTTTTCGTTTTGCTCCCATATGACATCGAATATTGTTGTCCTAATGGCCATATTAGTTAGTTTCTTGGCGCTACCTATATTTCAATCACAATGTACAAATTTGGGAAGGGTATTTCAAAAAGGACATATCTCACATTCCTAAAGTTAGTAGCATAGTATATATAAGTGGATGTGTGCAGAGCCTTGTTCGAAGCAAAAATGTTGAACACCTGTTGTTTAACAAACCAAAATTGTTACTGTGTTGATCCGTCTGTATAAAGTCATTTCAGAAAATAAAGTTATCTAATGATTTGTTCATATTATGTATCAACAACATGGTTTTCAACACAATAATAACACTTTTCAATTGTGGTGTAACTCTCACTATTTGTCATGCACGTGTTAATTCTAATAAATACCGGTTTCTAAGATTCTATTTCAATTTGGCTAATACGATTTTCATCCTGATTTTTGATGTGACATACTGTGAACAAGCATCCATCGAACATTTGAGGATCTACTATATTTTGGAACTACTCTACTATGCTCATTGGCCATCCGATTTATTGCACCCTGGATGGGATTTGAACCCAATATTTTAGGTACTTCCGTAATATGTGTACCGCGTTAGGGTTAAGGCATAATTTTATTTAGATTTTTCTTATATTAGTTCTATTGCGAGTTCGGGGACTGTTTGTGTTAGTCAAGTGAATATTTCCCCTGCCCATAGGTTTCAGTCCCTTTACACAACTTGTTGTAAAGTAGGCGAACAAAATTAGTTACCTCCATATTGGTACATGTACATCTGGAGCGCCATATTTTACAAAGTGTTATTTTGTTTTCTAGGTAAAGATGAGCAGCAGTAAAATTTTATATTGGACGAACTGGAATGCTCAGCGATTTGAATCTCCCTCTGAAACTTTTATTCAAGTAACAACTGATCAGACAGATATGAAAATAGGAGATGAAGCAAAACTAGACATACGGACTACAAAGAAGGCCAATTCTTATTCTATCATGGTAATGTATGAATTTGTTTTATATTTAACTATGAGATAAACTAAATTGGCTTGATTTTATTGATAAGTTGTGATGTAACAATTGGAATTTCAGCATCCACTCAGACACTTTTTTGCATGAACAGATTTTTAAGGATAAGTAAAACATGTTTTTCCCTTTTTAATGGTATTTGTCAGTTCTTAATTATGTGTTAAAATTTTTATGTGTAAATCAAATTACTTGACAGTCAATTTGTTTCTGGGAAAGTTCCAGTTTAATAAGAACACAGCGACAAAATTTTTAGACTAAAACTAGCCGCTGCTGGTACTTTTTAGTGGTTAAATATTATTGAATAAAAATGTTATTTTAAACTTGCAAGCACCAATTCGCAAAAACCTCACAAAAATAAACTTAGATATTTTGCATAGTAAAGTATGAAGAAAATTTTACTGGTGTCAAAGGTCTGGGAAACATTCATTAATAATATTGTGTGAGCTCGGAATTTTTTTTCGATCATGTTTAAAGAGAAGCCACATTATTGACATATTGTTAACCATAATTCAATCCTGGCTGCTCTTTCGATCTGGGAAATATTTGATCAAATTATTTTAAGACTGTTATGGTTAGCTTTAGGCCAAAACTATACTGCGCCTCTCTTTGCTCTTTTCTGTTTTTGTCCAGACCCTATTTTTTATATATGGGAGAGGCTTGATTTGACCATGAAACTTCTCATAATCAGAAATCCAAAAACTGAAATTTTATTTAATTTCTATTCTTATGGTTCTTTTTGAAATATAACAGTGGTTTTCAAATAGGGTTCCGTGGTACCCTAGGGTTTCGCAACTTTCTATTTAATTCCGAGAATATGAAAAACAAAAAGAATATTGTTTAAATAATATCAAATACCATAGGTTTGCCCCTATTATTAAACTTGCTACACTTTAAAGATTATTTGGGTTTTCAAGTATAAGATTTGCTTTCAAAAGACAGCAACTATTGTACAGGGGTCCCTCAAGCCTCTGAAATTTTTTATTGGCATTCCGCTCTACCCGAAAGATTAAAAACAACTTAGTCAGAACAATTATTTACAAGAACTTGAGTGAAATCATGCTGAAAATATTTTTATTATGCATTTGGAATATAGTGATATTATATCTGATGTGACGTGCATTAAAATATATTATTTCACAATTTTATAATCATGACGCAAATGAATTATGATGAGATTGATCTAGTATGATGCTTATGGCAAGTAATGGGCCGTAAAGCTTTTGCTTTCGCATTTTCAAATCGAAACTCTTTTTCAAATTCATCTATTATGTCCAATCAAGCGTCCAAAATCATATAAAAGGATGGCGGTAAAATTGATATTTGAGATTTTGACACCGATCTTAATAATTATGGAAAACTAAGAAAAGTTTCTCAGAGAAATGTCACTTCCACTCACTCAGAGATGAACTCACTCCGATCTTAGCATGTGGAAAACTGCGCAAGAAAATTTGCTCAGAGAAGTGCCACTCACTCACGAGGGAAAATGGCTCATTTACGAGTGTAATTAAAGGCGATCGTTAAAATGTCGTGAGTTAAGGACATCATATAGAATTATGGTGGTGAACTGGATATTTTAACTTAACTCTCAGCATGTCGAAAACCAAGAAGATCTGCGCAAGAAAAATGGTATCTGAAATTTCCCGAGTCACTGAAATCATATTGAATTATATAGTAGTAAATTAAAAATATATCTGATGTTTTCACACAGATCTTAGCACGTGGAAAACTTGTCAAAAGAGTCAATTTCGTGCCGGAAACATATGTGGAGGAAAACGAGAGCTTCAAATTTCAATACCGATTCCCCATCACTCAAGAAATGTCACCATCTTTGTCTTTCGTCGTTTCTTTCGTAGAAACCGGAGGAGAAATTGTATCCGACACTATCACACTCGGTGTACAGTCATCTTTGGCAAACAAGGTAAGTATTAACTTAAATAGCTTTTAATATAACATATTATACTTTATTCGCTCTAAAGAAGGCTCTGTATAAGCAACCATAGTTTGAAAGAACCGGAATCTTAGGGTTTGGCATTGCCTATGGTGGGCATTGGATTTGAACCTGTGATTTCAACCTTTTATGCCATGATCGTTAGCAATATAGTTAGATCTAACGCTTTAACGACTAGGCCACCTTCTAGTCAAATGTTTAAATTCTTTTATCACTTTTAAAATTGAAATACAGTGTATATTATTATCTGACAAAAATGTATAAAAATTGTGGAATTTAAAGTAACTTGGTTAGCACAGGCAGTCCCCGAACTCGTAATTTTGTCGTAACAAAACTAAAATAGGGGAAAATTCGAATATTTATGCCCTAACCGTAACCTGGTACACATACTACAGGAGTTCCGTATATTCAGTATCGAAATCACAGAAAAAATTTCAAGTTATTGCAACGCACACACATTCCATAATTTAAACTTGATAAAATGACTCAAGAGGTTTCATAGAGCTGGCAAATTGGATTCACTTGTCACAGATATTAATTTTACTAACTTATTCTGAATCATATTTTACATTCATTGATGATTCCTTTCTCTATTTGCTCAGGTTACAATTGAAACCAGTACAGAAAGAACAGAAACTGGTAAACCAGTGGATATCACTGTTCATGCAAGCCCAGATTCATACATTGGAATGAGAGCTATTGACAAAAGTGTCCTTCTTCTGAAAGAAGGGAATGATATTACACTTGACAAGGCAAGTAAATTTATTTTTGAAAATTTGAATCTGCCGAATGGGAATGGTTTATCATTGAATTCATAATGAGCTGTTTGAGCTACAGAGTCCAAAGTGGGAGTCGTGCATATGGCTGGGCATTGCCAAATACCTGATGATTTGGGAATTGAATTTTATCAATTTATCAAAAAATATTGGGAAACACTGGTCGAGTGATAGAGTATTGCATTTCCACTATACCAGCATCACATGTTAAGATTTCAGTTGAAACAGTTTATAAAGGGGGAGACGTAAAAATGTTGTATAACAATAATCAAACAAAAGGTTAAAGAGTCAATATGAGCCATTTATCTAAAGTTCGAATTTTTTTTTGACTAAATAAAGGTACTTGATGATCTCGATAAGTACAAAACTACGTCTTCTACTTCATCTTGGCCCAGGTTTTTCTTTTGTTATATTCCTATGGATGGGAAGAATGCTAAAGATGTTTTCCAGGTTTGCAAAACTTCATTTTATTTAATTTGGTTGTAAACCCAAACAAAATTTTTTGTGTTTTACACGAAAATGCTAATCCCAATAATTGGAAGTGGGTTTAACTCATGAAATGAAAAAATAAATGCATTAAGTATTTGTGCGAGCAGTGGCCTAGTGGTAAGAGCGTAAGACTTAACAATCATGGAATCGCAGGTTCAAATCACATGTCAACCTCACTTCGGATGTAATAAATTGGATAGGCAATGTCAAACCGGTTACGATACCGAAAAACATCAAATTAAATTTTTCCTGTTAAAAAAGAAGTTGATTTAAATAGACCTCAATTTTCGAAATGACAAAATATGCATACAATTATTTGTGGAGAAAACTCCATCATAATTCAAACAATTGATTTTCTGACATTCATCTTCATGATTAATTCGAATATCTTTTGAAGCCAGTGATGAAGCTACTCATTTCCTTTCTAGAAATCAGGGATTCTCGTATTTACAGACGGAGGAATTTATTCGGAACAACAATCAGGTACAAATAAATGTAATAGCTATGTTGTACAGGGTGACCAAAAAAACAGAACCTGGGTCATTTGAACATATTCTAGAACTGATATGGGTAAACTACGGCTTGCGGGCCAAAAATTTTTGGCCTAGGTCCAAAAACCTTGTCGATCCCTGTTCTGGAGAGAACATAATTTTTGTGCAAAGCACAAAGGAGATCATTGTAACTTTTGGTTACATTCACATGAAAACAGACCTCCAAGGGTTTAATAAATTATTAGTGAAGATCCTGGGCACATACCGGTTTGTTTTTCTGGCTCTCACTGAATTTGTTTTAATCTAATATAGAACCAACACTCATTTTTGATGATATGATGATAATGGAAGCTGCAATGGATGACGGTGTAAGTATCTTATCTTTCAGTTTCTCGTATATAATGTTGGCAAGATTTAATGTTTTCAAAGAATCAAATAATTCAAATCTTTTCAACGAATAGTCAAATTGTGATTATTTTTGTTATGCAACAATAATCCATACCCAGACACTGTAGGTTGGTACTCCCAACGATAATAACTTGCGCATTTTATAAATTTGGTCATAATCAGTGATTCCTTTTGTTACTGCGTTGATTTTGGTGACAGAGAACCCACCAAATTAATGTTAATTTGATTTTTTGCTTTCGTGTCGACTTTGATCATCCTTATTACCAGTAGTGAATTAAACGTCACAATTTTAAGTGAACAAAATTATTATTACTGACACCGAGATGCGGATATTTGTGAAGATGATATTCTACTATTTTATGCTTTTGCTTTTTATTGTATCTGTGTTATTTGATTTAACGACATACTTGTGAGTCCTATGTTCAATCATGTAAGTTACGTGAATACGTCGTACCAGATTTCTGAATGGAAAAATCCATTCGGATATTTTAGTATCAAATCCGCTGTTTGTTTTTGGAAAATCTTGCTCAGCGCTGTGTATAAATGAATTGTTTTGTTTGTTGATAACATTTTTACTGTAACATTACATGATAATTTGACTAATATTTTCCATTTTCTCTACGACAGGTTGTAGCGTTCGACAATGCTCCTAGACCTGGCATTTTGTTTAAAGAACCAACTACTAGTTCTTCGAATGAACCAAAAGTCAGAAAAGATTTTCCTGAAACTTGGATATGGGAGCATTCAACTACTGAGTAAGTATTGAACAATTAAGTCATAAATGATGAGAGAAAATAAATGAATAGTTACAATTCACAGCGGACTCTTTAATAGTGTCTCCATGCAATTCTCATTCAATATTGTGTTGTATTGTATGGGCACATGTTGAATTAATGGTTATTGCACTGGGTAAAATTTGATCATTTTTATACTCTCATTTCCACAATATTCTTTCTTGTGTAGAATTAAAAGCAGATACGAATTGACAACCAATTTTATAATTTTTTTTATACATTTATTCGCTCTTTACAAGACTTAGATTTTGTTGGGGTTTGCTACTATCTTTTTGGAACAAGCATGAATTTTACTGCTTTGGAATATATCCTACCCAATTTGGTATATTCCTATGGAGTTTATACTAAAAAAATTTCCCCTCAATAATTAATCGCAACATGCTAACTATTAGTTTCACCGCATCCATGAAATATCAGTAATAATCAGTGATGATTGTATTTATTAAAATATAACGAATCATAGAACGATATAAAAAGACCAGGGGTTTTCAATCTTTTCTGTAAAATGTGAACTTATTTTGGTGATTTTCTTTAAATCTGTTGACTACTTTTAATAAATATTCATAATATGTTATGTACAACGGCGCAAATAAAACAATGTAAAATGTCACTTTAAGCTCTAAATAGCTTAAATAATTTTTTGGAAGAAATTAACCTTTTGCTTATCTGAATAATTTCTTGTGTTGCGCTCTGAAGAAAACACACACTAAGTTCACTTCAATTTTTACAACACTTGGTTAACTATTCCCATACTTGACATTCGTAGACTGGTAATCGGGCTAGAGGCTGTAGTTTGCTTTATAAATAAACCGTCCTATTGGCTTTCGTTTATCCATGATGAACGTGAAATTCCTATCCTATTTCCTTTTGATTAGAGATAATAAATTCAAATATTCAAACTTTAATCACAGTGAGACTGGGTCCAGATCGTTTTCATACACTTTGCCTGACACAGCAACAACGTGGGAACTCAGTAGCTTCGCTGTCTCTCCAGTTACTGGACTCGGAGTTTCAGAAGAAAATGCTCAAGTAAGTAGAAGGGGTTATAGATATCAAGACATATATAAATAGAACCTTCTCCGAATAGATAAAAAAAAAAATTCCATTGTAAATTGTTTGCTCAAAAAAATGTTTGTAAGTCTGAAAACTTAGTTAGCAGCAATACAAATCATTTTCTTCTTCCTCAAAGTCCTCCAAGTAATTTACAATTTACTGGTTAGCTTTTATCGCATTCAATGTGCACTTGCACCCTGACGACAGTCTATGGATCGCACTATGACTAAACATTCTTTTCACATTTCCTTTCTTATTGAAACGTCCATCACCATTTAAATAATTTATCACAAACAATACAATTTTTTTTGCAGATTATCGCAACTCGAAATTTTTTTATTTCCCTTGAACTACCAGCAACCATCGTGAGAGGAGAAACTCTGAACATGAGAACAACAGTTTATAACTACTTCGACACCGAAGTATTGGTAAGATTTAGATTTCTTTTTGGAGTTTTTTGTAATACACCGTTTCAACATTTGCATACTTTTTGTGCTTCAGTTAGATCAGGGGTGGGCAATTACTTTTCTGAACGAGCCAGTTACATATGATGTGGTAAGATATGGGACCCGAGGCTCAAAACACAATATGATAACCTTTAAATCAAAACATTTTATTTACAACTGCTTGGCTAACGTTGATATAATAACGAGAATATCGGTCAGAGACCGAATCTTATCGATCAAAAGTTAGGGGAACCCCCAAAACAGTGCTCTTACTCCATAATTTGCCCACCCCTGAACTAGAGGAATATGTTATTTAAAATGATGGAAGTTTATTGAACAGACAAACTCATGTTGGTTTATTTTTATTTATGTTTCGGAAAGTTTCCATATTTTATGTGATCATCATTACTCCTATCTAATATGAAGAAGACCTGATGCGTATTTTGCTATTTGAAAAAAGTTTGATATAGATAAAAGAGAAAACCATAGGACACAAATTCATCGTTGTTGTGTTTGAAATTTAATAAGCAACTTATGTCTGTATACTTGGTCTGCTTGCACTCTGTACTCTTTTGGTAAAATACGGATTTAATACACAGCCCATGTAACGATCGAATATGACCTGCTGAACTTGAGTGAAATAGTTTAACAACTTATGTTCACGTCTCTTTTTGTTCTAGATATCACCAATTATTACTCTTTTATCACAGTTTAAGCATGTGTATATTCGTAACTATTCAATTATACCGGTATCATAATTATACTTACCGGTGCTGAATCGGCCCCTTGCGGCTGCTCTCCTTTCTCGGCTCGCTTCTAATTTGGCCCCCGTTCAATCAATTTTGGGAAACACTGTTCTATAAGAACGATTACATATTCTTATGATTTGCTTCTATGGTTGGAATAAACTCACCCTTTGCTCTCAATTTGTCGTAGGTTACACTCACTCTTGTTGAGAATGATTGGTATGACCTGGAGTTAATCGGAAATGACACAGAAATTGCTGGAACAGTGAGAAAATTCGAGATTCCAGCAAAAGATGGCCACACTGTCGTCTACCCGATAAAATTCAAGAAATCAGGAATGTCTAGAATCAAAGTTGTTGCTTTGTCAGAACTCGCAGGTAGTTTGTTTATATTATAAATTATAATGATACCTTTGTTTCAGATTGTGAATATATTTAAGTTTATATAACGGACCAGAATAAATAGAATCCATTAATTCGATTATCAAGTTTGTGGGTTCGAGTCATTCTGGGACACCTTATACTTTGTAGGATAAATATACAGGGTGTTCATAAAGTTGTAAATAAATTTAGATGAAAAAATATTTATGTGTTTTGTGCAACTAACGATGTGCATATGAAATTGTATAAAATAAAGTGAAGAAAACGCAAAACACCTAATAACAAAAAAAAATGGTCAAGATATATTGAGGTTCGAAATCGAAATTGTACTCAATGGCATCATGTATATAATTTTTCGTCCTAAGGGGTAAATTTTGTGATTGAAACTGTATTTTCAATTAACTGACTGCATTGTGTGAAATTTTTTAATGATTTTGAATTAACTTATGACAATTATTACCCAATTATTTTTAGGTGATGCCGTCGAAAGAACATTGAGAGTGAAGGTGACACTTTTATTGATTATTTATCAATTGCCTGTTTTGATTAAACGAACGGTGATCAAAAAATCAGAACCCAGCTCTTTCATATTATTTAGAGAAAATTACTTCTGTGTAAAAGTGTCCTAGATTAATGGAGCTTTTAGGTACAATCCTACACAAACAGAATTTAGAGTGTTAGATTTAAGTAGTAAGTAGTTATGAAATTTATTGGTATAATTTATTAGGTCACGCAGTACTACAATGAATCATCGAACAGGTAACTAAAGATAGGGAGAAAATAATCGCCTGCTATAAAAAAAAAAAATTCTTTTTTCTACAGCCTGAAGGTATTCCACAGGACAAAGCACATGGTACTTTGATCGAAATGGAAGATTCAGAATCATCTGCAAATGTTGTTGTTAGTTTTCCTGTTGAAATTCCTTCTTGGGTTGTCGAGGGGTCGACTTTTGTAAAGATCTCTGTCTCAGGTTGTTTTTTCATCTTTATTAGATTAATCTATCTTTTCAATCATTGCGTTTTTAATATTGTATTTATATTACCGGTATATGCTTGGACCAGCGTTTTTCAAACTGTGTTCCGCAGAACTCTGCTGTTCTGAGCTTTTTCGGAGTGTTCCGCAAAACAGGGATTGAAATTGCGACAAAATTGGTTGCCATGGCAATGACTAGTTTGGGTCGTAAATTTGTCTGCCAACTGGCAACAAACAGATGAACGGGCCTTGTTATCCAAACATGCAGACAGGCCTTTTGCCAGTCTGGAAAGCATGGCATTTTCGATATCCGTTCAATATCGAAGAATTGAATTTTTTTTTTTTATTCTATAAACTGTTTATTACTTAGTATTTGAATCATAGCTGGGGAACTGGTTTGAAATCAAAGTGGCTCTTGCTACTACTTGAAAATATAACTCAAAACTTTTAAAGTAATTTCTTGAATTAGTAGATTAAAATTTAGAAAATAATTGTGAGCTGAAATGGATAAAATGCATTATATTAATGAATTAGTAAAAAATTGTAAATGTAAAAAAAATATTAGATTGTTAGGAACTGCAGCCAGTAGAATTTCTGGTAGCTCCGACTCCAGCTTGATCTATTAATGTAATTTAGCTCTAGATCTGCCAAAATGTCATGGCACTGGCCTCTGACTGCGATTTGAATAAGGAAACAAAAATTGAAAGCCATGCCGAGTTCAGTTAAAATGTACAAAAATCTAATGAATTAAATAGAGTTGATTTATCAAAAATCACACTTAAATTTAGATTGCCTACTGCTGCATTTTATATACAATGCTGACTCATTTTCATACTCATGTTCAGGTAACATTATGGGAAATGCTCTCAGTAACCTTGGAAATCTTTTGAGAGTCCCAACAGGATGTGGAGAACAAACGATGATCTCTTTTGCACCGGATGTTTTTGTCAGCATTTATCTCAAGAAAGTCGGTCAATTGGTTGGAGAAGTGGCAACTAAATCAAGATCCCACATTCAACAGGGATATTCTAATGAGTTGAGGTAAGTTTTACAACTATTTGACTTGGCCGTCCATTCTTAGTAAGGTCGTCGTGTCATTCGCAGAGCTATTTTTCTAACATTAAACATTTTTCTGAAATTTGAAGTAAGTTTGATAGAGACTGTTTCACTGCATATATACAAAATTTAAGTTCCAATATACATTCAAGTTCAGGCCAGGACATTTGGGGGTTTATACCTCATTCGCAAATTACTAGAATATGGGAAAGTACCGATTCCTTCAAGCGACTTTTTTCATAATAACAGGTCATGCATTAGGGCTGGAAATTTCAGGGAAAACACTTTTTTGGTTACCCGGGTAAAATTAACCAGTTAATCGCAGCGTGACGTTTGACGTAATAAGTTATAATTTAAGCTTGTTATGTCCAAATGGTTTCAAAGCAATTTCATTTGATTATATCCTGGTATTGCTCGAAATAATTCATGTTTTGTGATTGTTCCATGGTCGCTCTTCTGCAAGAGATATGCAGCGTACTTTGGACATGTAGGTGTATTTCAGTAAAACAAAGTAATTGCACAGTATATAGGTGATTTGTACTTGTGATGCCAGTTAACGGTCAATATAACTAATAACCGTTAACTATTTAAAATTTGTTATTTGATTAACCGGTTAACCATTCCCAGCCCTATCATACCTAGATAAACTTTATCTCCATTGATGTCAGTAATTTTGATGAAGCATTTCTATACCTTTGTGGATAGCAGCCACTGTATTGTGAGGAGTCACTATTTGGGTCCAACAATTTAATCTTTTACCCATCAATATTTGTGCCATATTAAAATTGGTACTGGGTTGAATAACTTCATTGATATATCGCTAGCTACTTGTTAAAAATATGTAATATATACATATGGTAAGTGCTATCAAGATTTTCTTTTCATAACCAGGTATCAGCTTTCTGATGGTGGATTCAGTGCTTTCCAGAGTGACACTACCGGAAGTACGTGGTTAACAGCTTTCGTAGTCAAATCATTTATAGCTGCCACACAACTGAGTAGTGATTACATCGCAAAAGATCGTTTGGACAAAGCTGTTGGATTTATGATGAAATATCAGAATAAAGAAGGTATTTTTGATGAACCTGGTATGGTCCGACATCAAGATATGCAGGTGGGTAATTTCTGTAAAGTACAAATCTTTGTGTCACAACTGAACGAATAATCTTATACATGACAATTAATCAGACAAGGAGGGATAGTTCACATATAATTAAGCTGTTTTGACGCCTTTTTTCACCTCAACGAAGCCTCTCAAACACATCTCGGGGTCGAATTCTTTTTTCTATGTAATTGTATTTTTTCAACTGTCAAAACCATCTTTGTATACTATCTACCATACTAGATACATTGCCATTCAAATCTTTAAGATTTACTTTCTCAATTTTTTTCATCACAATCTATGGCAGTAACTATTGATACAGCTCCATATTCTTCTAAGCTTGCTGTTCTCTTATCCCTTTACAAAAAATTGGGAAATCACAGATCATGATGTTGTGTCATGTTGCGCTACTTTTTTTTAGAGGAATTGGGTACAAGTTTGGTTGTGCATAGATTGACTAAGGAAGCCACCAATATTAATAACGATCATTGCCATACAGTGAAAAATTTAATTTGATTCTACTGAATAATTTTTACATCCTATCTAAAACCAATATATTTCTGTAACGTTAGGTCTGACCAAAATCAGACTTCCTCAGATCACTGATTTGGTTCAGACGAAACGTTACAGAAATATATTCGTGTTAATATGCAGCAAGACTCTTAAATTGCATAGCATGGTATTTTTATTTCTGCTACAGCATTATACACATACGGATCCACTAGCGCAAAGGCATTGAGGAAGGATTGGGAGTTAGTCTCGCGCAACCTCTACTGATAGCTATCTGAAACTGATAATTTTGTTTTCTGTTTTATCAATTTTAATATTCTAACCATTTTCATTTGATTTCAGGGTGGAGTCAACGCAAAAGAAACAATGACCGCTTACGTTATAATTTCAATGATTGAAGGAGGCTATTACAAGGATGATGAAGTCAGATATTTTTTTATTAGCATATTTACATTGTTTGCAATTGATTGAAACTGTCTCAATCATCTTATAAGCATGAAAACCAGACCTATTATTTTCTTATTTTCACAAGGCTAATGTACCGCTCATCAGTGGCGCAGCCAGGGGGGGGATTTTCGGGGTCGAAACCCCCCCCCCCCTGAATTTTCCGAAAAGTGAAAAGTTGCCGATAACACGTGCAATTGCCTTCTGCTAAAATCGCCGTTCGTTTTCATCAACGCGGCATGTTATTTATGCCGTGAACGCCCTTTACATTAGTGTTTATTCTCTTTAAATCACAAATTTGTGCCGCGGGAACAATGATAATTATTTTATTTTTGTACCCGCACGGAAATGTGAAAACTGAAAAAGCGTGCAATTGCCTTCTGCTAAAATCGCCCATGTTTTCATCAGCGTGTTATTTAGGCCGTAAACGCCCTTACGTCGGTTTGCCTTTTATCCATTACTTTTAAATTGTCGTAGAAAATTTTCGTGTTATCATTAAACAAGGTTGGAAACGCGATTTTTTCCCGGTTTGTGATGATAAAGATAATTAATCCGAAGTATATCCATCAATTTTTATTGTACTGAAATAAATTTTACTCCATGAGAATTTACAGCAGATTTACGGATTTTTCAGGAGGTTTTATCTTTAAAAATAATCGGAGTGTCAGCATTGCGATTGAACGGAGTCAATGTTACAAGCACATCTCAAATTTGTCGAATTTGCAAAATAGAAAAAATAAGGATCAAAACAATATATGATAGGCGACAGGCAGTTACCACAAATTTTTATTTTTATGTCGGCAAATGGCCGAGGTATTTTAAAGTTGTGAATTGTAAAAAATTGTTTTGTTTTGTCGACGCAAACGCTGGTTAAATTGAAGACAATTAAATTAATAAATCAAGACATTTTAAATATGCCCTTATCGGTCACGAATTGATTACTTTGCACAACAGAAAAATCATTTTTCGTTGTAAACGTCGGCTCTTTTAACAAGTGGCATAATCGCGGCGATGAATATGTATTTTTGATTTAACGATATACTTCATATGCATTTTCATTGTACGAAATAAAATTGTACTTTTGGGGATTTTATATCAGTTATTGAGATTTTTCTAACGGCGATAGCGATTTGGCAAGATGTCAAAAATACGTATTAAAATTAACTACACCGTTTATCTCATATTTTTATGTCCACCGATCGCCGTGGCATTTCAGAGAACTAATGTTTTAATTTTGACGTAAGAAGAAGCAACCGCGAGTTACGTTGGACACAATTAAACTAATATATGAAGACATTTTAGAATTTTGTAGTTGTCAGAGATTGAATATTTCACGCGACAAGAATAATCATTATACGCTGAAAAGACGTCCCTTTAACGAGCGCGTAATGCGTAGACTGCTACAGACCGCAATGGGAATTTATGATTATGAAACCCTCCCCCCCCCCTTTTGAAAATCCTGGCTGCGCGCCTGCCGCTCATATATCATAAATACATTTTGCTCGTTTGTGAATTGAAAAGTTGTCATGTACTAAAAATAAAACATAAAATTTCGAACGAGCCCGAATGTAATTTAATTCACATCAATTGTTCTAAAATTTGCTGCAGCTGAATTTCCGAGCCACTGTATATTGTAAATTTCAGCAGCTTCTATATAAACCTATAGTTCTGTCATTAACACTGATTGGTGGCAGGATAACCTTATTGTGTATATCTTTTCATTATAGTCCTATTCATACTTTTTTTTTACCTTTTGAGCTGAGTTTCTTATTACCTCATTTATTTTTCTTCTTGTGGGTCTGAAGTACTTAAAAGTTCAGAATGAAACTCCTGTGTAAATCTATTCATTACCTTTTATTACCCTGTATTTTATTCTGCCATGCCCTTGCTTACTCTAAGGAAACACTCAAAGTTATGTATTTTTCATCATTTCAGAAAGTAAGCGCTGCAGTGGAGCAATCAAAAAATTATTTGGAGAAACAGTGGAAGAGTGTCGATGAAACATTCTCTATTGCCATTATAGCATATGCTCTATCACTGGCTGAGAGTTCTGAAGCTGTTAAAATTGTGAATGTCCTCAATGGCAGGACTGAAGTTGTCAGTAAGTTGAATTTGGCTTCATTGATAAAACAGGGAATTCAGATCGTACATGGCATATTTTTTCCAAACATGGCTCACTTTCAGGAAAGGAGCTCTGTTAGTTCGGCATTGGCTACCCAATTTACTATATATATACCCTTTGGCGAGGTGATGGGCATGGAATTTGACATGCGAGGCCATCATAGTGAATGTAACATGTTACCCACTAAGTGTCCATAAAAGAAATACATACAAATACTTGGGGTCAAATTTTTTTTTTTTTCACATAGACAAAAGTTGAATGATGTGCATGTCGCACATTTGTGTTTTAGGCCAGTACGGTCTTGTGCATGCGTCCCGTCTCCAATATTAATATTGTCAATTTTTTATATTGCTTACTGTTACGAGACTAATAAACATACATACATGCATGTGTAATTTTTGTCTGACCATCGGACATCAAATTACCATATCGAATCCAACCAATTTTTGATCAATTCGAATATTCGATTCGTTATGGCATCTCTACGTATACCGCTAATTCTTTATTGCTCTTTTTAATTTCTATATGCCTCTCACATAAAAGAAAATCATTTTCATTTGAAGAAAATTGTGTCATTTTTCATGCAGAAAATCTTCAATTCTGGACTACTGGAAAAAGCGACCAAAAACATTGTGGTGACGAAGGGTTTACTTGTACGTGGACTGAACGAACTAAAGCTACAGCAACTGACATTGAAATCACATCTTACGTTTTATTAACTTTAATAAAACTTGAATACGAATCTGGTAAATTAATGCCAGTTGTCCGTTGGCTCACAGAACAACGTGGAAGCTTTGGTGGATACTGCTCAACCCAGGTTCCATTTTGTTTCCAGTTTTTGATCATTTTGAGAAAATTATGAGTGACAATGACACCAAATTTTTTCTTATGAGATTTTAGGAAAATTATTATTTGGTTGCACCTATTGAAAACTTCAAAATATCACGAATATCTTAAGAACTGCTTTCCGAATAATAGATCTGCAACTGCAAAACATTTCAACAATTTTTTTTGATTTTGCCTTTTTTCATGTGAGATCTGACAACTCTTTCATTGATGATGTAATAAGTTTAGTTTCTGGTTGTTACTTTGCAAATAGGTTCTCTAGTGTATACCAGTGGGTGGGCAAATTCATAAATTTTTTTAACAGACTGGTAGTTTATGCAAGTTAGAAGTTGCAAAAGATGAGCAGAAGGGGATACTAGGTGACCCCAAATAACAACTTAGTTCATTTGGAACATATTTTACAGAGAACATAAATTTTGTGCGAAGCATCCTATTTTACTGAAACTTTTGGGTACGAGCATACACAAACGGAGGTTGAAAAGTGTTGAATACATTTTCGTCATTTTTGTAGAAGTGGTAAAGAAATCTATGGTTCTGTTTTCTTTGGTCACCTTGTATTCCAGAATTTGCTTTCACGACTAAATGTATTTTCTTCCTAATGCGTTTCCCTTGGCTAACCAACGGACCAATTTCTATGTTCAGGACACTGTTATGGCCATACAAGCTCTCTCTGTATTTGCTGGGATGTATTCTGCTTCTGTAAATGATATGAGACTGGATGTCACTCACAGTCAAGATGATATGTTTGCTATGCAATTTCATGTCAACGAAGAAAACTCAATGGTGCTGCAGTCTACTGAGGTAGGTGGTATATCGAAATTTAGCCAAATATTGAATGCTAAACATTGAGATTTATGGAGTTGTTGACTATTGAGAGACTATTTGGTATTTCACGAAAATATTATTGCCTATGCATGTTGTTTTAAAAACATCATTTACCAATCTATATTCAGAAATGACCATAACCAGATTTGAAACTATTCTATTCTTATATGAAGTATTAACATGCCTTTTACTCCGAACAAGGCTTTATTCAAGCTGCCATTGCCCAGGCAAACTATGGTTCTGACAATTGCCACAGCCACAACTAAAACCTAATTTTGATGTTTTAGCTAAAAAATAGCTCCAAGGAATTTATTGATTGGTTGCGATTAAATTTAGTTTTTGCACGAGGCTTATTATTTTCAACTTTTGCTTTTGTAACACTGTAAATTAAATTCTGTTCATAAAATGTACCTAACTTTCAACGTCACACTTACATGGCCTGCCAGTTCAGGTGGGCAAAATTTTTGGCCTCTTGTCCAAAAACGTTGTCCCCCCTCCCCCCCAGTTCTATAGTTTGTCTACATAATTTCTCACACCCTGGGTGAGGTGGTGGACATGGGTTTTGACCCCTAGATTTTAACCTGTGATGCCATTATAGTTAAGTCGAACACTCTAATCACTAGGCTACCGAGCTCACAAAATCTTTTTCGATAATTATCATAATTCCCAGATAATTATATTTTTGAAAGCTGTATTACTACAAATATCACATGGAAAAGTATGGATACTTTAAATAGCGGAAATCTTTCATAGGTTCCAGGTGTATCAGGTGATGTTATTGTCACGGCAACAGGAGTAGGAATAGCAGATGTACAAGTAATCTATCAATACAATGTTCCAAGCAAACCTCGCGCTGAGGAACCGTTTACTGTTAATATTAAAGTTAAAGAAGTTGACAATGGTGATGTTCTTGAAGTTACAATTTGTTCTAGGTAACAAAAGTTTATTGCTATTCTAGTCGAACTAAAAGATTCAAATTCAAATTTTGGATTCTTTTTTTTTTGTACGAAATGTCGTGAAATTAACATGGATTTCTGTATATTTTGCTTAGTTTTTATATCAAGCAGTAATCTTTTCTTTTTGTTTGTTTTTGCTAAATATTTTTATATTCAGTTTAGTTTTCTTGACTTTATAAAATCATTAAAAGTACTTTCACAGAATTTTTCTTTTCGAAGTTATTTTCATTTCCCGAAATCTCTCCGAAGGATAACCACTGTTAGCAAATTGATGTAATTTGCCGATGATAAAGTTTTTCGGTCTTGAAATTCTCCTCGTCAGCGGAGGACATCGTATTTCTAACACTGGTTATGCTTTATCCACCTGGTGGCAATCATGGGTTATCCCCATTACGTCCCATTCAAAATTGATATGCATATTTGGTAATATAAAACAGTATTCGTCTGAAAATTACATATTTCTGACATATTACAGCATTAATCCCGATGTTGGTTTGGAGGAGACTGGTATGTATGTCGTTACCATGGAATTATTGAGTGGATATACAGTGGATGACAAAAAGGCTTCTAAAATGAATAAAAATGCAAAACTTGTTGAATTGGTAAACGACGAAGTAAGCGGTTATTTCGATCAGGTACGGCTTTTCTTTGTAAAATTCTAGGATGGGGTCCATATTTAGACCCATTTTTTGTGACGTCACTCATATCTCCATGCCTCAGAATTTTTCCACAGAGGATTGTTAACTTATCATTATCGTAGGGTGATTTGCACAAAGACAAGTTTTCACTTTCTTGACCCCCTTTCAAAGACTTAACGCTCTTCTATCAAAACACATAGTTTTGATTTAAACATGCTTTCATTAGTTATTTCATGCGTATCAATTAATTAATATTAATAAAGCCCACAAACCAAAACAAAAAAGTAAATGTGTTACAATCAAAAAATCAACAAGTCAAATTTACTTGAAAATTATATCGATGTTTCATCGTAAATGATACCTTGCAAACTATTTTGCTCATGGCTCTCTGCAGAGCAAATGGTTTTTTTTACAAACCCTTACCAGACGTCAAACTATTCTCCATAGTTCAATGTGCATAATTCAATTGTAAACAGACCAAGAGACATTAGTTTCTTTCTTCTTTTCCATATAAATATAATATTTTATCTTACTATGTGGCTCTATAATACCCCTTCACCATGGTATTCTCTGCGTATATGACAGTGATCCTACTATATTGTATAAACCATTTCTTAATCTATTCAGATTCACTTGGGTGATAATATCTGTTTTGATCTGAGCTTGGAAAGATTTGCAAAAATATCTGGAGTCAAACCTCAGAGCCTAAGAGCTTTCAACTACTATAAACCAGTACATAACTGTGATGTTTTTTACTGGCATTCTTGATTTCTGTGATTCTTGTGAGTTTGCAGTGGTATATCATGACTTCGTTTTATGTGCATTGGTTTATTTATTTTTTTCATTATTCTGACAGTTTGGTGAATGTGCTAAGCGTTTTGCGTCACACCTGCCATCGCAAGCACTTCTGGATTACCATGTGGGGGTATTCAGTTAGAGTCCTGTAATAGATAATTATAGTGCGAGAATTTTGCTGGGCTCCTCGTCAGTGTAGGGGGTTCACATAACTTTTGATCAGTTACGACTTCCTCCACTGCGTATCTCGGAACAATTAAGTGGTAGCCTATTCTCATACCAGACATGGACTGGGAACTGGAACGTATGCTGTGGTTTATCAAATAATAGATTGTCTTGTCAGCTTTCTGCTCCTCAGGTTAGAAACGACAATCCTATTCTATATAAAATCTCAGGTGTATCAATGCTCTGGAAATTTAGGGTTCTACATAACGAAGTCATAGTACCAGATACTTGGGACCTGTTTAGTTAATTACACTTTTCCTGATATATTTTCGCTAACCACCTTTTTCACTTTTTCGGCAGCGAAATGACGTACCGCACATACTCACCACCACATTATCAAGATGTTTGTACGAGTATGTGTTCTGCAGTGGAGGATGTGGTTCTGCATGTGAAGGATGTGGAAAGGTTTTACCACAAAAGCCTCAATTTTTACTTCTTTCTGTGCTTGCAGCTCTGGGCTGGAGTCATTTATGCAATGTAATTTTATCAATCAAAAAATGCCGCTACGTCAACACACATTTGTTTCTAATCATGATTTAATAATGATCATGATCAACAATTCAAAACATAAATCATATCGAGTGAGATTTGACATGAAATCGAGATTTTTCTGTGAATTCAGCCACTCACCTCGTTGCACTGAAACTTGGTAGCTAAACACACCATACAAATTTTTCAGATTACTTGAATTTTTTTCTGTTTTATCAAACATAAAATTATAGATAGTTGAGTGTGAGTGTTTATTAAACAATTTTCTCCGTAAGATGTTATCAAACAGACATTCCCAAACAGGTTTTGATTCAGTTTCATTTCAGCAATAATTACAAAACTACATTCGCCTCATTTCCTAGTCTAGTAAAGTTAAATATTATAAATCATCCGATATTTCATGATAGAAAATAGCATAATTTTATATATTTTACACCAAATTATTTGAAACCTCAATTTTACATCCATCTCATTCCTGATATAATTCATATAGTTTCTTCGTATATTTTAATACATAAATAGTGTGATTCTATCGTAATCCTTTGGATTATTTATTATTATTTCTGCAGTAAAAGTAGTTTTCAAGTTATGAAGCAAATAATAATATGCAATAGTCTGTATCGGTGGTTTCCAACACGGGTTCTGCGGCACCCTAGAGTATCCCAGCACAGTCCAGGGGTTCCGCTAGTTTCCATTTAAATTCGAGAGTCTATATCCGACATGGGCCGACTACGACCTGTGGTCCAAATCCGGCCCGTTTGGTAATTCAATCCTGATGCTGCCACAACCAAACTAAAACCAAATTGGAAAATTGTTCAAGGAATTTGTTGAGGTTTCGATTTAATTTAGTTTTGCATGAGGCTTATTGTTTTTTGCTTTTATAAAATATTGTTCATAAAATGTAACTTTTTACGTCACACATAGCCCGCCAGTCTAGGTGGGCAAAAGTTTTGGCCCCTGGTCCAAAAACCTTGCCCTCCCACCTATTAATATATGTGTATTGTTCAAATAGTTTTGCCCATATTGTTAAACTTGCTACACTTCAGAGATGATTTTATTTCGTCAGTAATAGGTTCGCTTTTATATTTGTAGTCCAATACAATCCGGACAATAGAATAAACTTTGCAGAAGGATTCCTCGAGCCTTAGGAATGTTTCTGGGGTTCTGCTACACCAAACGGTTGAAAACCACTGCTCAACATCCTAATATGTGAAATATCTTGTTTGCAAATAGATATTAAAACATTGTGGCCATACTCAACTTAAATAGTATTCTATTATAGTCATTTGCAAAAATTTGAATTCTCTTAAGATAGCTTTTCAGGCCGCCAACGAAGCTGGTTTGTTTAAACTTTCATTGCCTGTTTTGCACTTTCAGTAGTATTTTATGCTGCTTTCTTGGTTTAGATCACACTCAACTATATCCACTGCATGCAATTTAGTGCCTTTATATGTATATATATTATATAACTCGTTTGATTCAATTCCACTATATATTTTACCTTCATGATTTATATGATTTTTTTTTGATAAAATAGTAAAATGCCTGAGGACTTCATCATTTTCTTAATACTGTATGAAAAATAGGTTATATTCCAAGCAATATTTGTCACTGAGCAGTGAATAGTCTATTTTATTTTTTGTAAAACCTGAAAATCAATTATTTTGTAAAACCCGAAAACCAAAGTAATCTGATCAAAACAAAGCAAGATGCTAACATGTTACTATTTTTCAATATTATCTTTTCTTATCAAGCCTGGTTTTTACTTTTTCATCACCAAAACTGCCTTTCCTTGTGTCTTATTTTTGGCGCTCCAGAAGTATGTGTACCAATATGAACTAATTTTTTCCGCCTACTTTACATCAAGTTGTGTAAAAGGACTGAAACGTATGGGCATGGGCTATATATTCACTTGGCTAACACAGACACTCGTAAAAGAACTAAAATAAGAAAAATCGGAATAAAATCATGGCCTAACCCTAACCTGGTACACATATTACGGGAGCAGCCTTATTTTTACGCATAGTGCCCATTTTGTTGAGTTTTATTGAATTTTGTCCAGTAGTAGTCATGAAGTTTATGACTGGGCCATGTAAGAAGCCTGCCAGTTAAAGCAATAGATGAACGCTACCAGCATAACTTGATATTTTGCACATTTTTGATTCCGAACATTAGCTGATGCCTGCGTATAATGATGTCATTTTATTCATGCAGTATTTCCATTTCTCGTTTAACTGTTTTTAAAAAAGTGTATATATATACCTTTAATGCATGTAAATTTTTATTCTACTCCACTAAAATAAATAATAGTTGAGCTATGTGTATGTGATGATCTCCATTCAAAAATTTAGAAGGTGAAGAAATATCTTCCATCTTAGAACCTATGAGGGAAGTGGTGAAGCAGCTTTTCCCAGTGTTTGGAATTCTTCACCATGAAGGAAGTTGTTGTTTTCATGGGGAAGTTACAGAAATATTACCTTGTAATTTCATCTTCACAGTCTCTTGTATTTGTGTTAGCTATGTAGAAGTTTTGGCTGTATGTCAAGTCAAAGTGACATTTTGAATTCAAATATCAGTGTTTCAAACTGGGTTGAATCTTGAAAACGTGGAAATAGGTTCAAAGTACCCTGCCTGCTGTTCAAATATATGACTTGTGTTGGTGAGCCGTATTTGTATCTACGATATGTATATATATTATTCGCGTAAACATTTTTGATGAGGTGTTGTTATATAATCCTTATATTGGAAACCACTTACATGAGAATAAGATCAGGAAAGAGTTTCATTAACATTGCCCAAATGTGATTGTTTCACAAATAGGTATATATCTTTATATGTGTTAAATAAAGTAGCCTACTTCAAAAATACCTACTTACAAACTTGTGCGGTAAATAGCACTTACATAATATTATGATGTTTAAATTCATCAGGCCTTAGGTAGCAAGCGTAATGGCAGTCAACGCACACTGTCGGATTCAACATAAAATTTAAAATATAGTCATTGACTTTGTGTGTAGCAGTTGAACTTCACATAGTCACTCAAAAACATAATCCAGTGAATTCTTCTATGAATACTGTTCATCTCACTCAACGCAAATAATTAGAAAAAAAAACACCATTCTTTGTATCTCAACTCTTGGTAAATACCGGTACCTTCGTGGTAACAAAACAACTATCTCGTTTCGAAATTTACTTTGAATACGAAGGTTCAGCTTTGGGTTTCTGTCTTTTGAGATTCGAAGTAAGATATTAAAAAGGCATTTATCGAATCAATACGATAGCGACGGGCGTGTATATTTGATAATGGAACTCAAGTTTCCTCGTTGTGGGATTATCGGCGGGGCATGATACCGATGTAATTATCGCGGCAGTAGATAAATAGATCAACTCGCGCCTCGCTGAGAGAAAAAAGGTTAACGATCTTGAAACCACACATAAATAGAGCACAAACGATAGAAACATATCACTTCCACTCATTTTATTAAACAATCCTAACATACACACAGATAAACGGGTAATATGACAACTTATGGCGCAATCAAAGATAATAAAAGGAAACGAAAAGCGGATGCAACGAATGATTCCTCTGATCGCCACACTTCAAAAAGGACGAAGAGAGACAAAAAGAAAAAGTCAACCAGGGAAGGTGAACGAATTTTATTGGAGAATTTCGAAAAATACGGACTATTGCCAACGTCTGAACCAAATGACGATACGATTGATATCAGAATTTCTCCCCCAATTTCCCCTCTCCGCACCGTCGACCATGACGATACCATTTGCGCGAATTTTGAAAAGAGTCAACTAAACGAATTTGCGACGATAGTTTCTTCGACATCGAAAGAATTCGTATTTTGGAGACCGTGGCTTCCATCTGGAAAATATTTTGCTCTGGGACAAGATACCAGTAACACTCGATCTCAGCATCTCGGCGGGCGAGTGACAAAAACCGAAGAAACATACCTTCGGGAAATAAGAAAACGGCAAAAAGCAAAAATACAGGAATATCAAATAAATGCTCTTCTTCGACAATATTATAAACGGTCTAATAAGTGACAGCATCTTTATAATTTCATGTTCTATTGTTTTGTTTTTTAATTTCCTTAAATTGCAATAAATATTTTTTTTATATAAAATGGCAATCAATAGTTGATATGTTGGGCCGATTTGGCAACGCTTGACTGACTTCGAGCACTTCAGCCCACGTGACCGCACCAATGTGCTTAGAAAGGGAAACAGATAAGGTATGCTGGGTCAAAACTCTAGCTTAGATCAGGGAATATTATTTCAATTTTTGTCGTTTTTTTAAATTGATGTTCTAAAAATGCTTTCTGTGCTTTGTTCCTTCAGGATTTTCATTGCAATACCCACCTGCGTGAACACGATTTTTAATTTTAGCAACTGCACACAACGACCACGTGGAGCATATCTCATCCATTTTTACAAATGCGGAGATGTCGTGATTGGGTATGTCGCCAGTGCCTGTCGTGCATTATAAACCATGCAGAGAGAGGGGACAGAAGCGCAGTCCAAGAATTTTGTTACATATCCCATCTTATAAAACTGATAACAAGATACTTATCTGAACAAATTTATAGGTTACAAATAGCTGTAAAAATCTGCAACTTTCTTCCGTATTGTAGCCTACTGAATATACAAATGCCGTAAAGTGACAGCGTTACATTTGATGGACTGCAGCTTCCTTATTACATCACAGAAGCAACTCGGACACTTTTTTCACTGAGACAAATTTTTGTGTGCGGCGGGACTGGAATTGTCCTATTTTTTTCATTGTTTTGTATTTTATTCATATTTAGTGTCTAGTATTGCATATGCATTGGTGTGTGGAGTCTGAGCCCTAATTCGTCCGACAGTTAGATTCAGTTACTCGACTATAACCACCACTGCATATGTGAACTGTGCTGCAGATCGCAGTGTCATGCTTTTTCTGCTTTGCTGTCCTAAGAGTAAGCGTTGTATTTTCTCGCTCTTATTTTATCTGCTTTAAGCGTGGATTTTACACTATTTTAATAAAGTCTCTTCGTTTGCATCGTGAACTTCGAACCTATTTGTGTGGCTTTGCAGCACACGGGATCTTCTGAACTAATTATTACAGTATATATTACTAGACTGTATTAGTGGCGAGCACCTCCCGATATTCCGGTTAAGTCGTACTGCTGCATGTGTAAGGTGATGAACGAACATTCTCTCGTTTTCGTGGTTTGATTAGCTTTTTGTCAGTTTTTAGTTTTATTTCCGAAATTTAAAAATAAATAAAATAACGCAACGATTATTTTGTTTTCGGTGGAGTTTTAGTTTAGTTGCTGTAATCAAATATTTGTCCGGAAAATGCAATAGATTAGGCTAAAATTTCCGTCCAAATAATTGTGGGATGTAAGGCGCTTTCTCCATAGTTAGAGAAACCTATGTTCTTAAAATTGTTTATCAAAAAGTTGCAAATGCAAATAATACGTGAAATATTGTGTAGCTATCTGAAAAGTTTCTCTAAAAACGGTGTTGTTAACTTGTTACCCGACTAAAATTATTAAAAGTATTCCGCCTAACAACTGGGCAGCCTGAAGCAAATGAAATAACTTTGTACACTTGAAAATTGTTCTGAATTTTCCCTCTGCTTTTCTGTACGACTATGTATGGATGATTTTGCAATTATGACATTTGATTATTATGTTTTATTATTACGTTTATTTCCATAACAATGACCAATTAGTAAATATCGACGCAACAATTGTAATTTGTTAGCCGCTCAGACCCTTCTTTCGCTCAGACAGACAAAATTCAATCCCGGAAAAGCTCCGATTTAGTAGGATAAAAGTAGCTAACAGGAATTGTAAGCGGCAAGTGTTTGGATATACAAAAAAAATGATGATTTGAAGAATAGGCAGAAATTTTCTGGGATCAATGGTCGAGGAAACGTCCATAACCCAGCTACTTTAGTGGCACCTGTACATCACGGGCACTGACGAATAAAGCCAACGAGATAGCAATGTTGCTAGAGAGGTTACGTCAATTCTCATTAAAGCATATCCTTGGTATTTTACTTCAATTTGAATAATTAACTTTGAATCAATCTGAGATGCAAAACAGTTCCTCGCACCAAATCAACAACAAAGTAGGCTAAAATATGCTTTATAATCCTTTATTTCTCAAATTATTGGTAGGAAACCAATGTGCTTGCAGGTCACTAAAATCGTCTTAGTTACAGTCTACAATCCCGTTCTGAAACATAATGAATTCCATAAACATAACTGCTCGAATTTGGATAACCGAAAGTGATAGACGCTCAATGTTGAATTTCGTTTTTCTTTGTATTTCTTGTACGAAAATCACTCATTTAAAGTGAAGAAAACCAAAACGAAATCCGTAACGTGAACTACCCACAAAATGTTAGTTTTTGGTGGAGATTGGTTGGATCAGTTTAGTTTTAAAATTCTAGCAGTTACAGATGAGGTTTTTAAAATATTTCTCAAATTTCCGGATTGCAATTTCTTTGCATAAATTTATATATATATTACTACCCAGTGATTATTTATTAACTCACCGATTCGTCGTGATCTGTACAATAATAATCTGTTGTGAATGCTTCATTGCAGCACACATATGGACAATTCAAACCATTGCAATATTTCACTGCAAGTGTTTGAAAGATTCTGAAAAATGAAATCGCATGATCATGGTTTAATAATTCATTTTTGTCACCCAACGGTTGAAGTTATATAATAATATAGAAAACTACAGTCTATTCTAGAATTAATTGTATCAGGATTAAATGAGTTTTATAAAACTCATTCATTATCTGCATTATAACATAATCTACAATACTCACGCAAATGCTGCAATGCAAAATAGAATGAAGTACAGATGTTTCATTTTGCACGCGTTAGTTGATTATGCTTGTCAGTTAAATCTACGAAAATAAGTAGTTTTTTCATTTGACAAGTATACCAGTCATCAACAATATTTACACATGTATTACAGATTTTGTGAAGTCCACCAAGAGAGTATTATATATATATGAAAGTTTGGTTTAAATTTACTGGCGCAAATATATATCTTAAATTGTTGAAAGCGCCTTATATTTTCATACTACACACACAAATGCGTCATTATGGGGATGACGGGAAAGCCAGAAAAATGAATAAGCGCGTTTTCGAATATCAAACTTATCATGCTCCAGTTGATCAAAATTTTTTATTTTCATACTCTTGGCAAAATTTGAATTCATGCCCTGATTCCACTAGACTTCAAGTCCTCATCAACTAATTATATTCTTGCAATGCAAAATATTGTGAATATGTTATTCTTCCCACTCCCTTGAGAAGAATGTAATTATTTCTCAGTGGATCCAATATTTATCATCTTTGTGTGTAAAACATTTCACAGAAATTGTTGTACGTGAATTCTTCTATTTCTCAGTGAATCCAATATTTATGATTTTTCTTACGTAAAAAATTTCACAGAAATTGTTGTAGTGAACTCTTCTATACGCGGTTGAGGAAGTCTTACTAGAAAATTGTTGCACATGCATCTTATGAAATTGTCATACATAGTCTGGTATATAGGTATTTTGAGAAAATTTAGCTGGAAATTGTCGTACACGAACTCTTAATACACTCTAAAAGACGGCATATTAAGCAACAAATTTAAAGACTGTAAATATGGAAACTCACTTAACACCGATATGTCTATGTCTAGCGGGAGGCCTGGATACATAAAAGTGAATTGAAAACGTTGGACATGTTCGGATTCAAAACGTCACACTCCCTCGACCCATGAAAAATATCAAATTTTTCGTTATTAAATTTTAAATATAAATTGCCGATTCATTTACTCATTGTGTATATATATATATTAATCATCCCTGATAAAATATCCAGATGATTGCTTTAAACATACCTTTCTTACCTTTATCAGTCTAACTCAAGCAGACTCCAACTACTGTGATGACAATAAGAGTGTTGGCTTTTTTTTGTTATAGTAAATAGATCCTGCTTTGCACTCGCTTTAATGTTGACTGGCTGTTGTATATCAGACTGAATAGCGCTGGGACGTCTTATGTTCTGGTTTGCTAATTGAATGAAGCTCCAAGTTCATATTTTACAGTGACGTAATTATTGACTATGGTACGAAAATATAGTGATACCCAATTTTTATCAAAAACAACATTTCAAGCCATGGTAATTGAATGAAATGATGATAATATTAGACTACATCTCGAAGAGAGTCGAAATGATTTTTGGGATATGTAGATGGTGCATTAGCGACAACTAGTGGGTAGATTATGAACGAACACAATGAATACAGGTACGACAAAACACCTTAATCACAACTGGTAGTTAGGTTATGAAGGAATATCGAATTTATCAAAATATTGTGAGTCTCTTTTTCATTATCAAATTCGTTACATCTAATAATCCAAATGGATTGGCCATGGGCTCCGTGGATATAACTTCGAACCGTGCTTCAAATATAGTTTAACAGATGGAACTCGAACATCACTTGTATCCAGAATTATTTCACGGAAGTTCATGTTGGAAGCTTGACTGATAGCATACTGTAAAAGTTTGGATCCAAATCCACGTCCTCTTACTTTGGACGTAACACTCATTCTCTGTAAAACAGAAGAATATGAATTTATGAATCTCGAACAGAATTTTTAATTTTTTAGCTATAGATATTTTTCTACAGTCAGGTGCCAGTTACCACCAATTATATATTTCACCTACTTCTAATGACACTGCAGCACTGCATGATGCTACACCGCCTCCCATTTTGTAAAGCGCTATACATCCAACTATTTTCCATTGTCCTTCCTTATGAGTTTCACCAACCCAAAATCCAAGAGGTTTTGTGATGTAATGTGCCTCATCCATACTTTCTGGAATGTAGTTCTTTATACTTCGACGATATGAATATATCACTGAATTATATTATATATATATGAATATGTATAAAATTGTATCAAGTAAATAACACAACTTGAAAATTGAAATATCTCACGCACCCGCTAGAAACAAAAACACATTTTCAAGCAGCCAAAACGTAATGAATGTCATGAAACAATTCTCACGGAACAGGATGGAAGATGATAACATTGCAACTAGAAATACCCGAACCTAAATGCAAAAAAGTTATCTGTTTTTAATGCTCGCGTAAACAAAAGGGCGATGCCTAAATATGTGGACACAAAAGTCAAAACGACGTAATACGGCGGATGTACAGTTTGTCACAGTAGACTACCGTTAGAAACCGCCATAAAACGTGGGAGACAGCTGTCAGAGTAAGTGAGAGTATCATGTAAAATATCAGATATCATAGAAAATTTATGAACAAATAAAATTAATAGCCTTCTAGCGACAACAGCAATCTTCAACCACTGAAAACGTTAGGGCATTTGATGCAGTAATCGAAGAGAAAAACATCTTTCACAACAACGAGAATAACAACAACAAAACGATCCATAGGCTATTTCGTGTCCAAAAATACCTAGAACTTCTTATCTATGGTAATTGATTTTTTTTTGACTACTCACTTGCAATTTCCAATTTCTGAATATTGAAATTCTACCGGCATCAAACTGGTATTCATACCAACCATCTATAATAAGTTTATGAAGTGTTGGCAGATCTTTTTTAGTTATCGATCGTATGCGAAAGCCATCCATTGAGCATTGAAATTGCAAAAATAATACAGTTGCCTACTTTTAGAATTATTCGTACACATTTGACAGTAAGTTGTTATACAGTATATATATTGGCAATTTCTTCACCACGCTTGTCATTTAAACTGTTTCTAACTTGAAAATTCAGTCATCTGTATTTTAATACTAAGTTATCATTAGGCGTGTATCTGTAATCATTTTCAAGATTGCTTCAAGTGCTATTCAGTTGAGGGTTTATTCTGTGCAGTTTGCTTTGTCAGTGGACACTATATCATGACGAAGACGAAAAACATTCTGTGCAACCATCGATTTAGCATGACCCGCAACACTTGCTAGTCGGACATCGAGAACAGTCTTGCCTACCCTACTCTTTTTGTGAAAACTGCAATCAAACTTAAGTGAAAGGATTGCCATTAATATGTATCTAATTATATTTACTCGTTAGGCTTCCCACAGCTAAAATTCATCAATTCTTCAAGTTGGTCATTTGTTCGACCATACAAACCTCGCACTGATGATACACGCCTGAGGCAGTGTACCTAAATACAAATGTCTGCACCGATGCTTATATGATTTTAATAAATGTTACATTCATAAGCAGAAAAATATTGATGATTTGACTATAGATCTGAGTTTTAAAAATACAATGCCGAGTTATGAACATAGAGGCTCAAACAGTTGAGTTCGTCATATTAATCGGAATCTTTATGCAACAAAATGTCGCACGACTTTTTGCCTTCCTGTTTCAGCAAAAATGAACGTTGCTTCGATCACAATCTGAAAATTTTCATTTTACACAATAAAAATAAAAACATTTTTGTATTCTGACAGCTTTCTCGGTATATCTTCAGGTGAAATTGTTTAACTATCGAATATATTATTATTATTATGACGGTAAATTCCAATATCATTGATATGTAGCGGGTGGATTGTAGTCAATACTTTGTAAGAAAGTGTGACAGGAAGTAAATCGATATATACGATAAATGCTTAATCAAGCTACATGTTCTTTCATTCAAACTACATAAAGGAAATTGATGATATACTGGGAGGAAATGACTGACGGGAGAGGTAAAAATATTAAAATACACAGTAACTACCCTAATGTACTCGCTTCAGGAATTCCCCCGACAATAAAAAAAAATTAGTTTGCTTATTTTAAATTGTGTAAGACTAGCTAAGAACGATTCCTGGTTGAATAATAGGTCGTAAAATTTACCATGTAAAGGTACAACAGTACTCCTGAAGTATGCGCACCAAGATCGCACAACCTGAATCCTAACCTGGTACACAACCTTAGTTCAGTTTGTGCACCATCTTGGTGCGCATACTTTAGGAGGTTCGGTAAAACTAATTCTACATCAAAGTCGCTGATGAGTGATGACCAACAAATGAAGAGACACAAGAAAACCAATTTGATTAAGAATACCTCCGGTTGAAGACAATATCTTTTGCGGTGAAATCTACAGATTTTCCAGAATTCTTCGATAACACCCAGAACTAAGCCATCGCATTCAAACAATCGACTTGTTTCTGTTTTGATAAATAGTAATATTCGACGCGAGCACTCAAAACTTTACACTGACTTCAATCTTCGCGTTGAAGTATACCGTTGCTTGACGTTGTGAAATTTATGATGTGTGCTTGTCGTACACACACGAACGAGTTCAACAATTGACTAAATAAACTTTCTTATGCGCCAGAAACTTGATTCTGCTTAGCATAGGCCATGCAATTTCCGCGTTCCGTAGTTGGACATTATTAGCCGGCAGATAAGGGGACCTTTTTGACCCAAGTTTGATTTCAGACATAAAGTTTTTTTTATTTGTGATTATTCATCTTTGGGTCATTGCCCATCATTTCTTCATGGGTGTGGAGTTTGCAGCCTTGAGAAATTTTTTTACGGCTCGATATTTGTATTAGTGTTTTTCGTCAAACTTGTGCCTCATAATGACGCACAACCTGAACCATAACCTGTTACAATACTATGTTCAGGTTGTGCGCAATCTTGGTGCACAAACTACGCAAGCACCAAATTTACTAGGAAATAAAATCAATAACTTTTAGGTATTTGTTGAGCCCAGCTTTGGGTCGCGACCCATATACAGTATATGAAAATACTGTCGAAACATACCCGTAAAATAAAGAGTACTCTTTCAAAATACCCGTTTTTGTTGCAATTAACAATACAAGCCTGCTAATGCAGTCGCCAGTGGTTCAAGTGGATATACACCCGATGGAGAACAGTCAATTATTTGTTAGCGAGAATTGTTATGCCAGCGGGATGATCACGACGACGCAGTGAAAAATAATGATATTACGAGAACAAGAATGAGAAAATTGCTACATTTTATAGTATATCCCTGGGAAAGAATGTAGTTCATTCTTATGTTCCATGCCAATGCTTTTCAAACTACCAAAGACTCTCAACACTTTTGCTTCTTCTCTTCTATAAAAATACATTGTTATTATTCATTCGCATTTCCATCAGTTTGTTCGTGCTCCCAGATAACCGATCAGCGGCCTTCAAGAAAGACGGGGTCCCCTTTTAAGAAACCCTGTCATAAACTAAAAGAGGCGACCGTGCTTCTCTTGCCTGTTGTCATGCTGTCCCTGGAATTCAGGTACAACAAAAATTTTACGAAAACGGATTTTTAAATTTTATGATTTTATTAATATTCTCAACAATGAATGATAAACGGGTGGTAAAATGATAGATAATAAGTTTACCAAAAAGAATTACATGAAAATAGGTAAAATAAAGATCAATTCAGCAATATCTACTTGGTGATATGCATCTGTTGATGCTTTTATCTGTTTGTTTCAGAAGTTTAATAACAGAATTAATTGGGGTTGTTGGAGATGTTTTAAAAAAAAAGTTGCATGGAAAAAAGTTTTCACAAAATGTCAAGGTTTGATAGTAGTAGAGAAGTAGAAAAAATTCTCCCATGTTTTTTTTCATTTGATAACCACGCCACAGAACTTCTCCGATAAGTATACGCAGCAATTGCGAGAGGCAGAAATGCCAAGATGGGATTTCATCGCATTGTGAACCAATATTAGCAATTCTTATATATATTCGCGCATTCCCATCTGAACAGCGTGGAAAAGATTATACCCATCTACACTTTAAGAACTATGTCAGATGAGCGTCATATTATCGAATATCAGTAAAGGAATGGTGCAATGGGAAAAGACATATAAGGCGGAACTTTCAGTAGTATGCAATCAAATGATCTTATTGTAGAATATATATTTAAAAACATTTCGTCACGCCAACTGCAGTCCGAAACTTTTTGTCTCTGGCTTGGATACCAATTGGCACTCATGTAAACTGGTAAGATTGTAAGAGGCACGCGATGGAGCAGATAAAATGAGTATTCATCCCCCAGCTGTCATTTGAGTGGGTACTGCTTTTTTTATTACAGATGTTACTGATCTTTTTGTATTAAAGATTTACTGGCATCACCGATTTAAGGATGTTGGAAACCAACACGCAATATTACAAAACTTACTTTCAACACGCGGTTTGAATGAATGAAAAAGCTGAAACTAGTATTCTTGAGAACAGCATACAAATTCTATGGAATGAAATCATACACAAAAGCTCGTCAAAAACCTATAGCTCAATAGTCAAGTGGAATTTAATGCATGTTCGCAAAAATGTGCGCGTTACTACGTACAACCGAAGCACGCAGGAAAATGTGTGATGTACTAGTATTCAAAACGTTTGACTCAACTATGTTGGCATAACAGGTGCACATCTCGGTTTCGCATACGCATACCTTCTATCTCCACAAGGATATATTAATTTTGCCAAAGTCAATGCAGCACTGAAAGGTTGCAGTTCTTCCAAACGAAAACACGTTTCACATCTTTAGATACCAGTGGATGGTTTTACATGGCATTGTTCGGAGTGAAAGACGAGGTCAAATATTCCAATCCAATTCAACTAATAAAATATTTCCCAAGTCCCCAAGCTTAAACTAGGAAAACGAAATGCGCGCGCAACGCAAATGTAGTTTGAAGAGCGCAATAGAAAGTGGATGTTGTCGATGGATCTTGGCTTGCATTAGTGAAATAAACTACCATTTATTCTACTAAAACTGAATTTCTGACATTGTAAGGAGATTCAATGTTACTATGTATGCAAAACTAAACCATGTAGTTATGAAATAATTGTTTTTAACAAAAAGGCGCTCCTGAAGTATATTCGTACCAAGATGGCAACCTGAAAAATCATTGTTTAGATAGTCGCGTAATTGTTTGAACTTGTGCTTATTCACTCGGATCTATTATCATATTGTCCCTTTTTTTCAGTTTTTCACGCCGTTTAATTTTTACTATCTTTTCTATTTTTCTACTCTATATATATACGATAGTGTACTCTTCATATCATGCCCTGATGAAGTTTTTCTGAATAGAAATTCGAAACGTCGGCAAATTATATCGTTTTGCTATACACCGGTTGTGCTTTATTTATCTTTGACATGAATATACCTGGTGGCAAGCATGCGCTGAAAATTGTATGTTTACCAGGTTAAGCTTCAGGATGTGCCTCATCTTGGATCGAATACTTTGAATCCACTTAAAAAAAAAATTGCTCAACATTATATACTCCACACCCACCTGGGTATCATTATAGATGTCATATACATTATATCTAAACAACAAAAAAAACTTTATGTCCCAAAACAATGTTAAGGCCCGATTCTGCCGGACTATTTCTACTAATTACATTTGTATTGAATTGCTAAGAATATTTTTGTAATTTTTTACAAACATAGTTCAGATAATTTCTTTATATTTCATTGTAGTTCTTCGGCTTTGGGTCACCATTCAATAATTTCTTCTTACTTTTAAACTCTTCATCATGCTGAAGTGGAAACCTTCATGGGAGCAACCGAGAATAAATCTTTCAATGAGAAAAGACATTTGTGTGGCTCACTAAATCAACAGACGGCCCTAAATCAGCATATTACAAACTGTGCAAATTCACTATTGTGCCGCGAGTTTCAAATCTGACATAATACGGGGCTTTTGTCCTTGGTAAAATTGTTAGTTTTTTCCGGTTTTGTGCGTCTTGTCTTTGCTTTTTTTCATCACTAGGATCTAGCAATCATGCTTCTGTCGCTCGGGCAGATATTTCAGTATGGTTGTACACATTGCCTCGTTTTCGTAGTTTTGCATGTTATTCTTCAGTTTTCAAATCTGCCTTCAAAAAATAGTTATAAATATAAATATAGTTATAAACTAAATAAATTAATTGTCATTACGTCTAAGAGGAACTTTAGTTAAGGCAAGGCTGAAATTTGCTATCCGTACCTGTAAGTGGCACGTGGTTGAATGATTTTATTATAATATATATTTTAATATTAATGATGGCATCAAACATGTAAACCAGTATATTAGAGCCAACACTACAACACACTCTCAAAATAAGCATAACATTTTCCAATAGTAAAGTATAGTGAGAATTTCCCTGGGGTCTGGGAAACATCCTATTAATCACCTGTTTGTGCTGCTAAAATATGCGGTATAAATAACTTTCTTACAAGTAGGCTATTGTGATGTATGAGTAACATGATTATATAATTATACAAAACAACATTGATTCTATTGACGAAATGACACTGACATGGTATTGTAGCGAATGTGCATTGTGTAACTATGGATTATAATGTATTTAACCCTTCCATATTAATAGCATGTAATATTTCACAAAATAGGCCGCATTATGTTTCGCAACAGCGATAATGCATTCGCTCCATATTTTGCCTTTCTCGTTTCGACCAATTTGATAACGTATCGTTTCCGGTTTGCCGAGAATGCTCTATAATATTGTGTTTCTTGTTTCACTCGATATATGACTTGTGATCTGACCGTAATCTTACTGCATTAGGAATTAAGTGTATACAATTTTATCTGTATTTGGAATTTGGATCGTGCATCTTTTCAATAATATACAACAATTCGACAATCATCATCGTCCATAACACGTGAAATTAATAACGTGGGAATCGAACTTTGAATATTAGGGTGAACAGTCTTTATCCCTAAGACCGCACATCGTCTCCCTATATTTTGGTGAACCCGACGTGATTTAAGCCAATGCTCACCCAATTCCGGGTTTTGCCGGAAAGGTGCGTTTACATTTGTCTGGAACGTTGATGATACGAAAGTTTGCACGGCCGGCAACTCTCCGAAATTCAACGCTACCACACTCTTGTTACATTTCAATTCCTCGGGCAATCTTTATCGATTGGAACTACCGAGAGTTGGACAAAGCTTTCACAGTTTCGAAACTTGCTCTCAACGAACGAAATCTTGCTTTGAATCAAACAAAGTCTATTGTACATACAATGGCTTGGTTTTAAACGTAAATGACAACTGCGAAGACATTGTCAGATTACGTCATAAAGGCGTTGCCTCTTCATGGCATGACGTCACCAGTACCTGGTTTTCAAAAGTCGTTTCGATTGTACAACAGTCGTCCGATCACGACTCTGAATTATTCGCCGAACTCTACGACAGAATACACGAATTGGAATGTCGTGTCGAATCAATGATCTCCCATTTATTGAAACCGCTAGCACAGTTGTACCCCTCTCAAATATTATCTGCAATTTTAAGACGTGAAGTTCATGCAATTGCTCATGGAGATGTTCTTGTCGAACTTCATTGTGTTTCCGCTAATTTTACAGTTTTACCAACACTTTTCTTCAACAACTTGTATGCAACACGTCCGATTGTTGCATATACCTTGCCTAACAGATCTACAGAACTTGGACAAATCCACGCCAGTAACGTTGTTTTCAATCAAATATTACTGACTGAATCACCACGATTTGGACAAACGAAAATTTTCAAAATCAATGGCAGCTACTACAAGTATTTCAATTATTCACTAGTATCCAGGAACGAAAATGTCAAAGAAGTATACCCCTGACTGTATACAACCTTTGACGACCCATCTACACAAGATTACAGCTCATTTCTCGAAGAAATTTTAGCAAATGAAGAGGAAATTTCCGCTACAAGCATGGACGACCTTTTAGTTACAATTTCGGAACTCAACAAACTGAATGACGATTACAAAGGAGGACGAACCTCTGCAGAAACTATTGACATCACTACACTGGAAGACGGAATTCAAAAAGCCGTCAACGGCAACATATTTGCCTGGCTCTTGCGAGTTAAGAGCTCAGCATGGAATTACGTCATAGGATTTTGTCTTATTTACGCATTATTTGTTATACCCATTCTCTCTTTCCTGTACATAGGATATTTCATTTTTCAAAGTTTGCCAAACTGCCGAGTTACAATTCGCAATGCATTAACAAATGGATTGTTCCAGTCGATACAGCGACTTCTCAATATTCAACGACAACCCGTAGTACAATTCGACGAACAAGAAGAAATACACCAGATATCCGATGTCGAAATTGACGCGGAAGATATAGAAAGTGCTAGCAACTTCTCAGATGCGAGCACCCAAGCTCAAATGGAATCAAAAGTTTGACCGTAACAAACCTTTCGATTTATCCACACCCTATTAAGAAAACTCGATTTCGACGCACGTTGCGAATGGTATGTGGTGTGTAACTCGCAATGTATCGCTTCGTTATTACTTATTTTTATTTTATCAATTTAATCGTCTTGTATTTTATTATCTTTTCTCTTATTATTATCTATCATAAACATAAAAACACCTTACTATAAAAATATAAATATTACAAAACCATCAAAATAAAAATTTTGCGTATTCTTATTTCTTTTGTGTGTATTTACTTGTTACTAATCAATTGTTGTTTTTAGATATCATGAGTTTTTTTACTTCATACAGAATTTGATTCAGGTTCAATCTCAAGGATTCAATGGTTCAATAATTCTTCAAATCACTCATTATTCAATTTTCAGGATTTTTCTTCCTTATTATTTTTTCCAAGTTACCTCTAACATCAATTTTACGACCTTAAACATCTAGTCAACGTCAATGCAATTTTTAGAACGAAACCCGCCATTTTTTTCCATTCTCAGTCTCTGCATTAAACATCAGAACCGTTTTACATTTTAGGGTGTCCCTTCCGGTACATCGTCGCCATTTTGTTCTAATGTATCGTTACAATTTTATTTTCAAATGTTAAACATTTCAAAGCACCACGGAGACCCTTTGAAATTTTTTTTCTTGTATTCTGATTTTTTTCTCTCGTATTTTCTTGCCCTCGAAAACGACGTATATTCTCTCGTATACCTTAGCCATTATTCATCATATCGTACCTTTTATTGATTCGTGTTTTTGTTTTTAGACTTTCATCTCTCGGCGACCGGACTACAAAATTTAAAAAATTACCAAGTTAATTTTTTTTTACTGTCGAAGGGGAATTGCAGTATAACCAAAATATTTATTTTTTGTAATACAAAAATTTCAAATAGGGGTTGAAATAATTTTTTCGAGGAGGAATCATGCACGTGGCCTTTACCGGTGAGTGATCGCCCTTGAAATAATTGGACATATATGTGTTTCATCGTGAATCGCCCGCTATAAGTTTTCTAATTGAGCACCTCGATTTCTAGCGCCGAGCTCAATGAACGTTTACTATAATTTACTGAGACCCTTCTTTGCATAAGTTAAAATGCCAAATGTTTGGCGACCATACATTCATGCATATGAATCCGAAATACGGATTTAAAGTGATTCAAGAGTCTTGCTCCACACCAAAACAATTATACTCCTATATCGTTTTGGATAGTTGAAATATGTATATCTGACTGTAAGTTAAGATATGTAAGTTTGACCTTGGTCGTTACAGAAATATATTTGTGTTAGTATGTAGCAAGACTCTTGAATCACTCAGGATAGTTCATTCTATCAGATATCTTCATTCGTGCCACAGAACATTATATGCATAATGCACCGGCACAAAAGCATGGGAGGGGGATAAGTAGTTTGTCACTCAGAAACCCAATCGATAGTCGAATTTGAAGTTGCTCCCTCTTGTGTTCCATTTTATTTTCCTAGTTGAAATAATGTTCACTGAAGTAAGACAGCTGGAAAATTTTGTAATAGTTTTCTCATTTATGTAATACAGCAGTGTAAACACTTAAAATCTAGTAATTGAGAACTACGCAATACGCGAAATCAATTATATCGTGAAATACCAGTTTTACGTTTTTTAGCTTTAACTAAAGCTAATGTTATTGTTGAAGCTAATGGCTTCTATGATTATCAAAGTCGGTTTCATAATTAAAATTAGTAAATTTGGAAAATTATCTATTTGTTTCGCGTACATGTAACGTTCAAGTAAATTTAGACAGTATTCCCAGGCGTCATTTCCGATTTTGATACATATCATTTACGCTTTGAAATCTAAATTTAGAAAACTACGCTTAAGCAACAATTAGGCAGGTAATCAAAATAATTTTCTTCGTTGAAGGTGCTTTACCATATATCGAAATGTCACCATATGTTCAATTGTGTACAAATAGAACAATTAAGTTGAGAATAAGGAAAAAATTGTAAAATATATATGAATTCAAATTAAAGAACGAAATGTAAAGTAAAGTAATGTAAACGCCAAGTGACAAATTTCTGTCATTTTTATAATTTTTATCGAATATTTTGAAATTGAAATCAAGGAAATCACTGAGGTATGTAAATTACTCACTACATAAAACAATTAAATAGCACAAATAACAAAATCATTATCGAAAAAGAAATGATACAGTAACACAGTGAATACTATATAGCTTATATGACGGATATTTGATGTTCAAGTTAATGTAATGACAAAAACATTTTGATAGTATAAAAAACTGCATAATAAAAGTTCGAATACAAATTTTCGCTTCTATCAAAATTAAAAATGTCCAAATTAAAGTTAAAGTACATGGTCGATGTTATATAAAATATATTATTTTCTTTTTTCAATTCCCATTTTTGGGTCGAATGCACTTTCTTCAGATATTAAAACTAATATATATATGTACACCTTATAATATATCTATCATCTTCAAATAGTGAGGGTTGACTACTGCTAATTTTTCGGCTCTATTGGGCCCTTATTCTGCACCAATTTTACTAGTTCGTAAAAGTAGCACCGTCGAATGAGTTTTACGCTGACCACTTTCAGAAAGCATTTGTGCATTTTCCGTATTTGTGATAAATTATTCCAAAAAAGAATAAATAAAATGAGTTGACGAAGGGTCGAGCGGATTGAAATCTCGGATTGAAGTTCCGTGCCAACTGAACTTTCCAAAATAAATTCGCCTCATGAATATCAGTGGCTACTTGTTCGAGGCGAAAGACATAAATCTACGTCGCAAAATAATATACTTTTCCGGAAAATTCTTCTTTAACACGCGCGTTATTAGCTATCAACAGTCACGTTACGTTTTATGTGTACGGGAGACGATGGTCATCGTTTTCGACAATTCAAATAATCTTGTACTGAAATAAAGTTTGCAGGTCTATCCAAATACCCGTAACACCAAAGCAATATTATGAATAATACTACGAAATTATTATAGTTGAACGAACAGAAACAATTTTCCATTTATATCATTCAAAATTGATGTATAATACAGAAATACACAATTTTCTTCATTGGTTTTGTGGTAATACATACGTTCCATATTATAATTGCGTTTCTCCAATAATTGATACTATTGTTACAACTAAAAATGGTTTACATGATCAAAGCTGAATTCATCATTATAATTACCTAATTTATGAAATTGTCTGTGTTGTGGTGTGTAAGAGTATCATTTACATTTAAATATTACTTTCCAGCGTCATTTCCTATTTTGGCATTATATATCATTATTTAGGTCTTCGACTTTAGAGAAAAACACTTATGCTTAAGCGCAATAGCCGATATTATCATAAATTATATAATAAATCGGTATAACCCTACTTGAAGTTACAAGGATTTTTTTCCAGAGTACAAAACCCGTTCAGGATATCAAATTTCTTGAAACCCGGTTGCGGTGGCCAACATATGCTGATAATAACGGATTAACCTGGACTAGAACCTGGAACCTCTACCTTTATGGCGAGATGATATTCGATTTCGCACCCATGTGTGTGTGATACATCCGTTTATTGCTCTTGTTTTGTCGCTGAAGAAATAATGAGTTATTGTTGAGAAGTTGTAGAAATTTATATTAGTCATCTGATTTTAATTGTAGATTTAGCAATGTTAATTACTTTATCTTGCTACAAATATTTCTCTTAATTGAAGAATTTCAGGCTTCAAAATGTAAGGAATTTATATTGAAAACAACCGTTTTTAGCGTGGGAACATGTAATAATTTCCTAACGATTAATCATTCGTTTAAATGTTTTAAAACAATTTTTCAAACAACCACGACACACGTAGCAATTTAATTGCCTCGTATTGCATCTGACTATTTTGTGATATATCGGCTGACCTGGACTGTACGTTTTAATCGACGAAACAAATTCGAAAGTTAGTGTTTGTCTTTTCTACATTAGAATTTTGATTCTCATATTTTATAATCCTAGATTGGAGTAAGAATAACAATAAGCATATTCTGTTTGAGCACGACTCATGCGGTGGAGGCATGTCCGTCAAACTTAGGAAAAACTGATTATAATTGAAACTCTTTATGAACTATATACTATTTATGTTAATTTTATCCTTCATTTCGCGTAATACGTACGTTTTAACATTTTACGAATAGCTGTAACAAAGATTTGGTATACAATATTTCAATTTTCAAATCTTTCTAAATGATATCTTATCTCTGATAATTATCTTATCTGGATATAAGGATAAGGAATTAATTTAGCACCACATTCGCAACCTTTGATATTTGAATCTTTTCCTTCCTGGTGTTCAAATAACGATTACACTCCAGCCTGATTACTAGATATCACGACCATGGAGGATTAAAACAGATAATTACGGCTTTCGTGGAATGGGAAAAAAGAAATTACGGACCTCGGGAATATTTAAATTGGCGGCGATGAAATCGAAATAACACATTCGTCTTTTGACGTCGTCTCCTTCGTTTTAGTTGCAAAACTGTACGCATAACGACTGTATCATGTTATTGTGCCAGTGATGTTTTGAATATTTTCTTTAAGAAGATAGAATATTCAAAATTTTAAATAGTTTGAAACAGTTTATAATATATGAGATTATAGGTATGAGATGGAAAAGGCAATGAACTATGTAAGGCAAGACTAAATAACGACTTTCACACTAGATAAAAATGAATACCTAGATTTAAAGACTATATTAATATTTAGTTAATATTACTATGTTGCTAATAAATTTATTTCCAAAAATTTTAGATTCTGCTATTCAACTTGAGTAAAATATTATAATATAAAATGACTGCATATAACGACATCATCGAATACAGCAAAAAGAGAAAATCGGAATCAATTGTGGATTCCTACAATCAAAACAAACCAAAGAAAGTAAAACGAGACGCCAAAAAGAATAAAACAACACGAGAACAAGAAAGGATTTTACTCGAAAATTTTGTAAAGTACGGAATTTTGCCAACGTCACCCGAACGACCTTCAAAGTCTATCGATGTCAGGATTCCATCGCCGATATCTCCTATTCGTCCATCGTATCAACAGGTATCAACTCATACTAATGATGACCAAAGAGTACCAGAGTTACCACGCATTGTTCCGGACATGTCACCTTCTTTTTGGAGACCGTGGATTCAGACAGAATTATCGTCAAATACAGGATGTAAAGGCAAAACGAAATCATTGCCAACTAACAATTTTACTGGTAAATATAGAACACCAATATCTACGGTACCAAGCGAGCTGATCAAAGAAAAAATTTGTACAAGAATTGAATCTATTCCAAGAAAAAAACTCAACAGTGCTGTGACACATCACCGGTCAATACCTGTATCAGTTCCTAGCGAAAACAACCAGATGATCCACGGCCAATTTTTCACAGCATCACCAAAACCACATCGTGCATTTATAAATGCGAAGAAAACTTTTACACCTTCAGTGACAACATGGAACACAAAATCCCAAGAATTCCTCAACTCATTCAAGCAACCAGTAAAGTAAGTAATATTTATTTTAAGTTGAAAACTTTATTATATCTGTAATTGTTTACGGAAGTCATTACAAATTTGATTACGAAATAACTAAATTCCATTCCCAGTAAAATCGTGTAATTATCTATATTTTTGTATGATTAATTTTTTATGGAAGTTTAAAAAAACTAGGCTCGACTGTACTATCGTGAGAACCAAATACTGGTTTTAGTTTACAAAACAATACTAATTATACTTTATTTTTTAGGCTGATGTGGCCAAGAAGTCAAGCATATGATTACAAGTACTCGGAGGCACAACATCTTCTGCAGGCATTCCCAGTACAAGCAGCGATAGGATTCTATGATGATGAAGATGTTTCACCGAACCATCCTGTATTGAGAAAACAAAACATCAATTGCTATAAAAATCTTAGAAATAGAGTGAATGGAATACTAAATTAAAACTTTTCTACTGATATTTTTTTGTATTAAGTTCATATTTTCATCATATTTAAAGTTTCAATAATGATTTTTAATAAAATATAATGAATAGCACAAAAGATTTCTATTATTGACTGCTTTTCATATTTGCAGTCTTAGTAAGCAGTTTAGTTATCCGGAGTGCTCGATTTTTCGGACCAGTGGACATCAGTGTGCGGGCAATTTGTAAGAAATAGTGCTGGATTTTACTGCTTAACAAACTTGATTCATTTTTCATCCTTGAAATTGATCCATATGTGCAGGTATTCGCACTTGCTCATAGCGCTGGTTGTTTGTTTCCATTTTTACTTCCCGCAAGAGCGTAAAAGCGTTCCCGGGGTTAAAAAATCTCTCATTATTTTCGAGTTTTTCAATATCCAATGTGAACAATTTATAGACATGCGAATATAAAACGGTTATGCTATAAATATGTTTAAATTCTTGATTCAGTAACAAATAAACCGCGGGTTGCCCATGTTATAAAACCTGTATAATAATACATTAAAATAGACCGGAAAATGGAGAAGTGGAGGACAAATGACGTCATTTGGAATACGGCAATCTTTTCGCGAGATGAGTTAAAAATAATTATTATCGCCTTTTTGTATTAACACCCACCCCACCCCACTAGTAATCTCGTTGATAAGCTTGTTTAACGATGTGTCGGCTTACAAATAATCTTATTATGCGCTCTAAAGAAGATACAACAGCATATGTGCTTTTCTTAATTAGCATTATTGATGCATCGCATCTGGCAATGCATAAATTATTGCTGGATAATATAAGCGGATTTAAATAATTCAACATTTGAATAATAAATACTGCAAATTCAATACTGCATAATCCAAATACTGCAATGCCTTTAAGAATATACATACTTGAATATAAACGGTTGTTATTTATCACTCTAACTCGTAGCTAATTGCCGGATATATAAAATTTAATATTTAGTTATGAGTTTGACTCCTTCTTCAAAGTCCATCTGTGTTGCGAAATCAATTCATTATAATAAATCATCAACTAAAACTTGATCAACTTTGTTTTTCGTACAGTTGTTGGTAATTTTTCATTACGACCAAGGTTTTGGTCAAGCAGGTATACTTATGGGAGTTAAAACGAGATTCTGCAATTCAACCAAAAACAGTATATATATATATTATATTATCGATAAAGCTTACCTGTATTCTGGTTTATAAAGCGACTTATATTTGAGACAATTCAATATGTAAAGTATGTAATATGTAAAGTTTATATGCTGTAGGCCAATTTTTTTATTAAAATGTTTCAATTGATCAAAATTGATCAAAAAATTCGGAGTTACATACAGCTACAAATGATTCGGTTTCCGGCTTACACAAATTCCATAAACATTTACAAATAATACTTGACATGGACTCAGTTTTTTAAATTAGCATATTCCGAGGAGATAATTATATACAATTTAGAAATTGTGAAGAATGTTCATAGATAGTTGTGACAGAAGTATTTCAAATTGTTTGCCGTGACATTGTCATTAGATGTACAACATTTCCGTTTTAACAATTTACCGCATTTTACTATGCACGAGTTTATTACTACAACCGGAACCTCGTCTTGACATGAAGATAGATAGACATACTGGAACTATATGGCTTATATTTCAATGGTAGGGAAGTTATATTTACAAAATAAAGTGTTGCCGGAAAAAGTTGGAATCTAAACTAAAAATACAATTGTTTATTTCAATTGGACGCTCAAAAATGAATTTTCTAGAACTGAAAAAAAGGGCTGAATACAAAAGTGATTAATAACAATCCTGCTGACATTTCCATTACAAAATGACACAGCTGCACCGCCGGTACACCTGGTATCGTCAGTGTTTGTCTATGAGTGATTCAATTTTATTAGTTGAATTAATTTGCCTATTTAAACATCGATATTACAGCAATAAATGCTTCTATTTTTATACTATAAATATACAGCTCGAGGAAGTATAGTCATATGATTATTTGGTTAACATTTTACCTGGTTGTTAAAATTAATTATTATTAGTGAATAAATTATTGAGAAAAAATAGCCAATATTCAAAGTAATCTGGTAATTTTACATTGTACTAATTATAGTAATTAGGCATGGGAATAATTGCTATTATACAAGGATAAAAACAACATACAGGATAATTAATAAAACAAGTGAGCAATGCTCGAATATATGGACACGCAGACTAAAATAAAGTAATACGGGTATGCAATCTGTCACAATACGCAACCGGTATAGAAGTGTTCACTGAAGCAAGAACGGAACCATCTGAAGTTGCGCAATTTTTGATGACGTCACCGCACACTAAAAACGAATCCCATAAAGCCCACAGACATTTTTAAAATAAATTAAAGTAATAGCCTTCTCGCGAAAAGTCCAATCTTTACCACTGAAAATTTCAACCAATTGATACAGTTGTTAATGAATAATACCAACAAGAATAATAATAACAACAACGATCCATATGTACATTTCGTGTCCATCAATCGTGTACTAATGGCAATAATACTGTTACTTTCTAAAAGTGGCCATGTCAAATAAAATGATGCGTTTTTTAACGAATGGAACCAGTTTTACGCTAAACTTGATTAAACTGTCTCAAAAATAATTAAAATAGGTTTCTTATAGAGTTAGATTTTTGAATTACGTGAAAATCATTAACATTAATTATTCTTTGCAACTTAAACAATTGTTGAAATGGTATTGTATTGAAAGTTGTATGGTGAGTATAGTTTTGATTTCATCATACGAAGCCAGTAACGTAACGCTTTATTGAAAAAATTCAGTTTTTTTTCAATAAAAATATTCGCGATAAACCAGCATCTGTGTCGAAACCTCAACAAAATGGCGCAGATAATATATGTAATTAGTGGTATGTTTAGACTAGTCGTCCACTTGAAAATAGTCTGTAACACTTGGAATTTATTTTATTATTTTGTATATATATAATTCCGCCAGGCGACTTTTAAAATTTACATGTACTAGCTAATTAATTAACATATCTTGTTTATTTAAAAATAACTTATATCTATGTTTGCCTATCTTCAGATTTATCTCTCTATAACTTTTTATTTTGTTTGTTTTGGTCTTTTTTTTCTGATTAGAATTCGTAAATAGATTAGCTAGCCACAAGTAACTTTTTATTTTTTATCTGTGTACTTTTTTGGTATTTTTTTCTTCTTATAAGATTACATAGATAAGAGCAGATCAGCAGTTATATATGACATTATTTCTGTTCAATGTGTGGATGAAGTTTCTGACCTATTGACATTCGTCACACTGGAAAAACTGCTCTTGTTATTTGCGCGTTTTTAATATTACTGAAAACTCATATATATATACTCAGTGATTTATTTAGGATATTCGCTCAAAACCGTTGTTGTGTTTTGCTTTACATAAGACGTTGGACGACCGCAGCAAATGAGTAACGTGCACCACAGCTGACGACTAGCGTTGTATACGGCGTTTCAAATATTATATATATCATATTTATGTAAAGCACGTCATGTTAATGCAGCTTACGTAGTAACAAATCCTACGTACAATTTTCTGATTTGAAGGAATCTATAGTGAGTGAGTTCGATACGAAAAATCGAGCGACGGTGAGCAGTCCAGCAATCCTATCGCACATAACTATTTCCCACGAGCTTCGAACTCGCCTGGAATAATCAGAGGTGCGGTGACGAACTGGGGTATATACAGGATTAAAAGACAGGTTGATAGTTGCCAAAAATGATTGTCAGTTGACAATAGTGACTCTTTGATGTCTTCCCGCGGCAGGGCAAATTACGATTAGATGGGGGTCAGACGCCATGCTGTCATTTGTGCCATTTTATCTACTGATGGATTTTAAGCTAAGGGCATTTTGCAGTAAGATTATGTTATTTGGAAACATGAACATTGAATTGGGTAAAGATATCTAATTATCAACATAATTTCAAGTTATTACTGGCATGAAAATGCCGTTTTCTATCGAACCTTTGACCCCGACCACCGCCATTCCGAAATCTTATATTATTAACCGGCAGTTTTAAGTAGTTGAGGTGAACTTTCCAGACTGCGTTGCATTGGTTGGCCGTTGGTCGCTCTTATTTTTGAGGGATTCCAAATCGTAAAATGAGCCTAGCAGATAAGAGCAACATTTACAACAAATCCTTGCACGGTAATGGTGAAAACAAACCCAATAATAACAAAAATCCAATTCAAGCCAAAATTGGAATATTTAGTCTCTCCATTTCCGCTGTGTTTTTTCTACCTCATATTTATTTTACGAACTATTCCTGTTTTCGTGAAAATGCTAGGTCTTGTTAATTATGATCGTTCGTTTAATACAAGTGAGGAAAAATAAAGCGATTAAAAATATAGGATGAGTTAAAGATAACACTAATAAAAGTAAAAATGGCAATGATAACATGTGGCCATCCAATGATTGAACTATTCCGCATGAGTTGGGCGGGTCGCTGCAACAATTTCGGTGAAATCAGTGTGTTTCACTAGAGGTTTCGCGACCAACCGTCGGTCCTATCTTATGACCTGATTAACGAATAACATTTTGCTGATTCTTTCGGCAGAGCTATCTCCCAGATTGATTTTAAGCCTCGCATCTGTTTTACTTTGCTTCTATTTTGCTTGTTCATTATAGCGTTTTCGAATAGCTGATGAGAGGAGCTGTGGGCTAATCTTCGTAATTTTCTCTAACTTATTCAGGTAACTTTCAGGTAAGGTACAATAATAGGCTTCCAATGGCAGTTTGGCACATGCGACGGAAGGGTCAAATCCCACAATTTCAGGAACTCAATATAAGATTCTGGCCAGCCGTTCGATAGGCTTTTTGAAAGTTTGTGCAGCAGAAGGGGAAAATGTTCAGTAAAGACTGCAAGAGGCTGTAGAATGTGCTTGTTGTTCGGCGGCAGCGCTAAACCCCTAAAGTATATATTGGGCTTGAACGCTAATTCTATGACCTCCATAATCGATGAATTATTCCCTGTCAGCAACTTTTCGCAAGCAGTACAGTACCTTTGTTTTTTAAGTATTTTTTTAAATGCCAATTGATCGAATCTGATCCCAATTAATTCCCAAACCCAAAATAGAACATTTGCATGGAAAATTGAAAAAGATATACATATATGGTCAATAAGAAGATCAAAAATTTACATCGTTAGTCCAATTTTTATATTCCCCGTTTCGAATCGTTTTCCATGTTGTGATTTGCAGAGTATCATTTAAAGATCAGATTTATTTTAGTTTATGGAGTAGGCATGTAAACAAAAAATGCAAAACAAATACACATACTACTCTACTCATATGTCTGTATATGCACCCAAATGCCACTGCCGCAGTGCATAAAAATATATACACACGAACAGAAACATTTCCCTGCATATATATCTGAGTTTTCAATAATAACGTTTATTATAGGAAATCATGAGAGTTGCACTATTATATTTGTCCTATTCGTTACAATTACAGCATAACAGATTTAGGTATCAGATTATCCATCCATACGACTTACACGGAAATGCCGCCGAGCACCGAATTTGAAAATTCAAAACGAAAGACAGACGTGACGTAATGGTCATGCTTAATAGAGTAAAACCAGTGTTCCATAAATTATAACACAACAGCTCAATTTTGACTGATATATGCAAAAAATTATCGGATCCCATAGGATTATAAGGAAAATCAAATAAAAAATGTAATGTTAAAGTATTCTGGCCATTAATTCCGTTATTAAGTACTGAAAATTCAAGTTAGGTCGGTTCATTAGATAAGGAGAACGAGATTATTTGCCAACAAAAAAACGACTCAACAACGATTCCGGAAAAAACGATCCGCACAGCCACTTCTTGTCCAACCAATAACATGGATATGGTCAGGGACTGACATACCCAAATAGAACATATATAGTAGGTCGGGGGAGAACGAACAGGCGGGGTGATGCGGACACATTTTTTCGATTTGATCTCACAGCGACACCATAAGAGCTACGGCCGCGGTTTCACTGCTCGTTTGTTACGTAACTAAGCGTAGTTTCGCTGAAGCGAATACGTCGCCATTGCCGCAAATCTCGTCATCATGCTTGCGATTTTCTGACGGGTTCGATTTTGGAGGGGCGAAAAAGTGGGTGTTTACTATCATATTGAGTTTCAACGTCAGTTGTGGGACCAAAACACCAACTATAAGGTAATGAACAATTTTATTTCTTTTTTACTTTACCTCATGAGGTTTTAAAGGCGTTTGCATAGTCTGACTGCGCAGATGATTGCTTGTGGGAGCTCGAAATAAACTTCATGACGTCATGACAATTAGGGGGGTGATTTTTTTTAATATTCATCTGTTGTTATGCAATTACAAAATAAAAAGTAGTCAGATTTATACACTATCTGAGTTGTGTTTATTTGGGATATAAATTGTTTCATTTCAGTCTACCAGTCCAAAACAATATGCTTTCTTGTTTTTAGTGTCCATTTCACCCCAAAAGGGACATTGTCTCAGATTTTGAATTGTTGTCAGGAATTATGCTTCGTAAATGGAAGAGAAGTAGTAAAAGATGTCAATGGATGGAAAAAACATAAAAAAAGCAATTGAAATGGTACAAAGCGGGGGAAACTCCCGACTGAAGCACGTACATATTCGATTCCAAGGGCTACACTTCGCTGTCATGTTTATCGAACACTGAAGCATGCCCCAGGATCACGGAGTCTTGGTTGTCTCCTACCTTGGGCCAGAACGAAAAGGATCTTTTGCAACATATACTCGAATTTGAAATGAGAGGCTTCCCATTAATGGTTAAAGACATTCGAAAGTTGGCTTATGAATTTGCAATGGTGAACAAAATTTCTAATAAATTTTCAGAATCTGCTAAAATGGCTGGAAAAGACTGGTGGAGTGGCGTTCGGGAACGATACGAAAACTTGCCCCTGTCAAACTTTAGTAAACCTCGATTTAGGAGAGCCTAGCAAGTAGCAACATCACTTCCCAACCACCGCTCAACATTACTAGCTCGTCGACAAGTAATAATTTTGTTGCATGTTGTTTGCAGCAAGCTGACAACGATTCACCTTGTTGCAGTAAAACTATTCAGCAAACATCAGGTTCCAAGTTTAGACAACAAATCTCTACAGAACAACAGAGTAGCATCTCCAGAGGATAGTTTATTGCATTTGAGTGACACTTCATTTGAAGAGATTCTGCCCTTTTCGAAGGCCCCACCTCGACTAAAACCACCTCGTGAGAAAGCGATCATAACTGGTATAAGAATACTCACCAGTGAAGGATATAGGAAAGAACTAGCAGTTCTAGAAAATAAAAAGGAATCTGGTATTATAACTAAGAAAAAAAGCAAAAGCAGGGTCCAAGAAAATAGAAGCCAGCAGTTTGAATAAACCTCATGTGAGCAAGGTCAAAGTAGGAAGAATTATAAACAGGAAAAAATCTGCCAAGGCTGTTAGAAATAGTGATGTTTGTGGGTTTTGTGAAGACAATTTTTACGATGATGAGGGGTGGATACAATGTCAGCAATGCCTCAGATGGTATCGTGACATTTGTGCTGGTGTTTATGGCAGAAACGTTCAAGCTTTCACATGTGAGGAATGCCAGTAATAATTTACATACAAATAACTTGCCTGTTTCATTAGGTTAATTTCGTTATGTTATTTATGGTAAAGGACATTCAGTTGATCAACTAAGGTTTGTGCATGCATTAGCAAAGCTTTTGTTCGGTTGCAAGTACATGCCTGGATGGTTAATAAGTTTTCATGTCTGGTGGGGTAATATGAGCATCATTGCTTGCCTCCACTGTAATTCTCGAGGCTTATTATTTATGATTTTTTTTAGGCGTTTTATACGCATTCAAATAGTTTAGTAGTGTCTTCAATTAATTTTGTTTAATGTTCGTTTTACCCATTCATGTGTCCGTTTTACCCGAATAAATTTTTTGGGGAAAAATGCTCATATCTAACAAAATATTAGTCGGATTGCCGAAAGCGACAGTGGGCTGTAGGGCACATTCAAATTGGTTATTTTAATACGGGAGTCACGCTTCTATATGGTAAAGATTACGAGAAATTGAGATTTTGCTATAGTGGTGTCCGTATTTGACGGGCCTACTATATATGAAATTGTCTATCCAGACTGCAACCCTCTATACCGAAAATCAGCTCGGACTAAAACGGTTCCGGATTCTTTTATCTGAAAACTCGCGTCATTCTTGAATAAAAAAAAACACAGAATTTGAATGAGTAATCCCCCAAAATTCGCGCCATTCTTGAATGAAAAAAAAATAAGGAATTTGAATGAGTAAGCTGCGGACAACCATACGTACAATTATTGCAAGTAAAACAGGCCTTGCTTGAATCCATTGGACTCGACTCACGCAGTGAGACACTTTCAATTGAAAGTAAGATCATATCCATGACCTCAAATTCCAGTAAAAATCTGAAAATTGGATCAGCCTTCCTTTTACGCAAATCTTCCTGATTACCCTGCGCGGGAGATAATTATGTGCGATTGGAAGGCTTTTCCTCCCCTGGTATGAAACCTTTATATTGCTAATCATATATTCCACTTGGCTTCAACACAGATGCGCACCAAAATTGTGTGTACCAATATGGAGGTAACTAGTTTTTTCCGTCTACTTTGCATCAAGTTGGGTAGAGGGACTGAAACGTATGGGCAAGCAAGCAACTCGTAATAGAACTAAAGTAAGAAAATCGAAATAAAATTAGGGCCTAACCCTAACCTGGTACACACACTCTGGGAGTGCCCACAACTATCCCAGCTAAAAAAACAACACACACACATGATATGGAGTATAATGTTCGTGTTATTTACAATACAAGTTTATCACAATTTCATTTTATAATAGGTTGTAGTTACAGGCATAAAAACCTGATAACTTGTGCTACAAGAAAGCAAATATACGATTTATACATACATATCTTGGTGCATTTGTTGAATATTAATTAGCTTTGAAAGTACCATTGAGTGATAGTGATAATTGACAAAATGAAAACTGCAAAATTAGCATATAGATACAGGATGTCCACTGAATCGAATAGTTGGTCCCCGTAAAAAATGCAAAAGACAAGTGTTCCATCACTGTTGTTCAATTATACGCAAGCCAAAAGAGATGTGCGGACGTCATTCGTGCAAATGTAATGTTGTCAACTGATATTAACCAATTATAAACTTTAACTTCATCATAAAATGATTACAGAATTTCTTAAATAATGATTTTGAACACTAGAAAACAGGACGGAATGATAGAATATTTCCTTATTTTCTCCTTTGGTACAACTTGAAAAGCAGAAAAGGCTGGACAATCTGCACCGTCTTCTAATTACCCAAAAACAATCACTATAAATCAGAAAAAATCATGATATTTAGGAAAAACTAAAGTATAAAACTAAGCTACAATTCTTCAAATCCATTGTTATTGTTAATTATAGAAACATATGCCAGAGTTGTTATTTAAATTAACTACTTTAAATTTAAAAATGAAAAGAACCTTTTCCATATTCAATTAACATTCTAAATATTAATTAGTTAAGCATAAAGCATAAAGAGTTCAAGCATAAAGATTAACACTTTAAATAAAGCGAATTGCATTGACGGTTACTTTTTTGTGAATTTTATACTTTCAAGAGGTATGTCAGTCAAAGGTGGTATCATACAACATTCTGGTGAATTGAACACAAAAATACATTTATCAGAAAAGATTGATGTTATCCTAACATAAAAATCTATCAGGTGTAGTTTGCACCGGTTTTAACTGGTTTATATGTTCAGCTTTTCATTGAAACACTAGTATTAGTTGACATTCTATCTATCTCATAAAATGGCCAAACGCAAAAAAATATGAGCACCGATTCCAAACATGTCAGAAACAAGGTTGAAAAATTACAAAAATATCAGAGGAAAAAGAATCAAAAAATACACACTTAAATTAAAGTGATAAGAATAATTACAATCAAAAAATACATGTTATCATTTGATTAAAGAGTTTCACAATTTTATACATTCTTAATATAAAAACCAAGCATTGTGGAGTTTGCCATCGCTGGTATTAGTTCAGGCTTTGGAATATCTCCAACATAATACAAATTTGGTCCTGCGATGTCTTTTTTCTGCCTGCCGATAATACCAAAGAGTGACACTGCAAATGTAAAAAGAGAATGGTAAAAACCATATAATCAAATGGCTCTCCAGAAGTGTGTGTACCAAAATGGTCGTAACTAATTTTGTTTGCTATCTTTACATCAAGTTGTGTAAAAGGACTAAATAAAACCTATGGGCAGGGGGATATTCACTTGGCTAACACAGACAGTCCCCGAACCAGTGCACCCAATATATGGTATCAGGGGTAATGTTTTACTTTTTTTTCCTACATTCAAAACCAGTACCAGTATTGTTTTAAAAACGTTTAGTCTTATATCTTAGTCCAATGCGCCTCATGTACAAATAAAAAAAACAATTTAGCAATTTAATGACTAGGTGCCTTATAATACGGTTCGCCACATGTTCCATAAAATATGCTAAAAAATGGCTTTGAAATATACCAGAAAGAAAAACTTGTCTCAAAAGCAATAAAAACAAATAACACACATAAACTTACTGCAAATGATTGAATATAGGTGATGTGTTCCGATCTTCTCAGAAGTGGTCGATAAGCACAGATACACTGTTGCTACTGACTTGATAGTTGCTATCAGATGGCATGTTCATATTCTGCCACTGAGATGGTTCACCTGCAGAAGAATGAGCGGAAGAAATTGTTTACTACCCTACACAAGGTGAAATTTTTAAAAACACAAACACCAAATTAGTAGAAAATGATTAATGGATCATCCCCTTATTTTTGATTATACATGTAATTTGTAGCTTGTGTATGGGTTTCAAAATAATACAGTATGCAGTTTTGGCAATGAACATTCATGGCAAAGCAAACCAAGAATTTTTATTGGCAAAAAATAAGAGTTCATTTTCCATAAGGTAATTTTATATTTCCGTAGAAAATCTTTAGTACAGGAATGTGATATTAAATCATATTTCTCATAATCCTATATATTTTATATCAAAGAAATTTGTAGCAAATAGTTAAATTTGACTTGTGAATTTTTTTTACAATTTATAAAAATAAAATTCTTCACAAAAGGGATAAAACTGCTTTTTCAGATGATCCAGCAATCAATCGAAGCAAAGCAGAAAAGCGGGTGTTAGTAAAGAATGTTACGCTAACCATTAAACACAACAAATCAAAAGATCTACAAGGTGGAAAAATTCAGTAGATATAATGTCATTTCACAGTAATCAAAATTTAGGGCGGTTTTATTCCAGTTATTGTACATCGTGAAATTAAGCAGATGAACAAATGATAATGAGCTACTGAAATATGGCAACAGTGAAAAACACATGATGTTTTAAAGATGGCTGCCAAAAACCATATTGGCATACTAAAAACAGTATTTATGATTAAAATTAATGACAAAATCTGATTCAATTCATTTTGAAATAGTTGAATTAAGGTCGGGTAATTTTGTGCAATTTCAAAAATTTGAAGAATATTATCAAGAACAATTATCAAAAAGAAACCAAAAGAGCAGGAAAGAGTAGTTTCAAGAGAGAGGGGAGTAAGAAAGTGATGGAGGGTGGATTGGTGTGATTTGTCACACCTGGGGTACTAGAATCAGAAGATTTGAGCGAAAAAGACCAGCCGTCAGGTGTCAATGACGCACAATGTGGTAAACGAAGCTCCACTGGATGGTTGAACTGAAGTCCGTGTGGTCCGCACATCACAAGTGGTGACAGGAGAGTTTCGCCTGAAAATTTTTAAATATGACATGTTTAAAATTCAGTTATTGGCGATCATTCATTTGTATATATCAAGCCACAGCCGTGGAGATTAATAAAACTACAACCAGTCTCTGAAGTCCGAGGCATTTAAAAACACAACTACGACTAAGGTAAGTGTCAAAATACAATTTTGACTTCAACAACTGATAAAAAGTGTTGAATCCATAGTCCTGTAACAAGCGCTGTTTAGTGATAATCTTAATACTTACGAGGACTATAATATACGCAATATTGTGATAAAAATTTGGGTTTTTCTTATGTAGCATTAGAAATTTGCACTCATATAATTTGAGTATTGTACCTCAACTCATGTTTAAGTATGACAACAAACATGAATGAGTGGCAACTGGTGAGTCAAGTTGAGTCGCATGCTATTCAAGCTTCGAGTTTAATCCTAGCAAATTTTTAGGTTGAATCCCTGGACTCTCGGATCCAAGACTCTGCTGCTTTGAGTGACAAGTCAAGCTCGAGTCACAGTGAATTCAACCAGAAAAACGAAAATGAATATAATATACGGGTCACATGGACACTGAAACTTTAAGCTTTCATCTTGCAGAATACAGAGTTTAATTATGTATTGACAAAATTTACATCAACTTCAAAACGATCTGTTCTTAGTTATAGACGCAACAATGTAGAGAATTTTCAATATTACTTTAATCAGCGTGATAAATCATATTTCACTTATTCAATTTATTTCTTATTCAACGACTTGCCCAAAATTATCATTGAGTCTCAAGTTGTGTGCGATTCGAGTCGGATCAAGTCGTTAAAATGACTTTAATCGCTTTGTTCAAATGTCTCGAAACACTTATAATTATGGTATATATACGATACAAGGTAGCCTCAAAGTAGGTAACAAATATTATATTAAAAAAACTGTAAGAAAAGACCAAAAAACACTGTAAATCTACTTTCTGGTCACCCTGTATACATACACATTATTAACATTCCATTACTAGTAAATGCTTAGAATGTAACTTTATTCGATTCAACACTTCATAGTTACCTTTATCTTTATCCAGTGGTGGTAGTACTGTGTTGTCCTTGCAGACTTTGAAATAAATTTCTTGCTTCACACCAGCTGGAATAGCACCTTTAGGAATCATGATAGAGACTCCTGTTTCCACAGAGCTGAGAACACCTCCATCGCTGTCGAACATACCACGAGCGGTAGCAACTACTTGGGGATCTTCGTTGTTTTCATTTGGCGGCGGCCTGAGTGGGAAACACAACAAATTGATGAAATCAAACTGAATTTAATTGGAACAAAAATATGACACATACGAAAAATAACAAAAATATTATCGAAAAAATTTAATTTCAAGGGTGACCCATGAAACAAAAAAACAGAACCCAACATTTTTTAATTATTTTCACGAAAATAAAGAAAATCTATATAACACTTGAACATCTGTTTGCGTTAATTGTACCCAAAAGTTTCAGTAAACCAGGACGCTTTGAACAAAAGTTATGTTTATTCAAGAGTATGTTCCAAATGCCTTGGTTTTTGTTCTTTAGGGTCACCCTGTCATAATTTTCCCAAGATAGACATAACGCTAAATGATTATCCAACCAAATATGATGGGTATTACTATTATGTGCTCAAAAAAATAAACGCAGACTTTTTGCAAAGATTAGGTGGTTCATGCAATATCAATCAACTAATTGGGCCTATTTGCCCACAGACTGCACATATGGTGATTGTTGATGAACAGACGGGATACTGTATTTTGTATGTGCTTGGAGTTAGTCCCTCTAATATGAAAATGAAATTTAGTAACGTTCCAAACAATGTCCCCTCATGATCAAAAATTCTAGTGAACCATGACCAATACAATAACCAGTTTTATACCCAACGGGAGCACGTTCTGGTTGACTAAACTTTGGTTTATCGTAGGTATCGACACCACTGTCGTACATTTGATCTTTTGTTGGTCCGTTTTTATAACCCGATGGTGGTCCCGGTCTGTTTTCCGTGGATTTGTTGTATGGACGCGGATTGTAGGCATCGTAACCACTAAAAAAAGAAAAAAAGAATATTTTTATAGGTTTTACAATTATCATGTTAGAGCAGGGGTGGGCAAATTAGGGCCCGCGATAGACGGCATCAGATGTGAAAATCTCCAGTTCAAATGCGATCGTGTGATAAATAGTGTTGGCAATAACGAATCGGAAGGATCCTGTTCCATCCAAAATAAAGTACTCCCTTACTCACAAATCAGTAGCTGCTTGTACAGAGCCTCGTTTAGAGGTGTATAATAGGTCGCATATACAGAAACAAAGATTTTCAATTTCAGAAAATGAATTATCACCTACCTTGGCTTGTTGTCAGATTGTCTAATTTGGCTGACATAGTTTTTATATTTGTCTTGAACAAATTGTGATTTCTGTGGACGTTCAATGGATGAGGTTGGTGGTGGTACATTGGACGATGGTCCATGGTAACCAGTTGGTTTGTTTCCACTGTAAAGAAAAAATTTTAACATATTTATTTATACATATTCGTTGCATTTTTTATGAAACAGTAAGCGAAGAAATAGAAACATACCCATAAGAAGAAAACTGATTTTTCTGAGGTTGAGTTGGCTTATTGCCTCCAGCAAATCTATTGTATGGTTGGCGTGGGCTAAAAATAGATGAAGTACATGAGATTTTTCACTCAACAAATAATAGAATAAAGTTAATCATTGAGAAATTTTAATTCCCTCTAAGTTGTTTTCACACTTTACTATGAAGAAGGCTCCGCAGCAGTTACTGATATAAGAAGCTATTCTTTTTGAAAGAAACAGAGAAATTTCGACGGCAGTTCGGCATGGCTCAATGAGACCATCATGCCCACAAGATAAACATTTCGAACAGTCAAATTCAACAAGAGGAAAATAATAAGACAAATTTGATTTAAATTGAAAAATAAAACAAAATATTGAAACAATACAATATTAACAATTTATAACGACTTGAACAACATAGAATTCTAAAATCTTCAGAAGCAGACGAAACGTGAAAAAATAGATTTTGCCTCAATTTTGGGCGGAAATGTATTTCAGTAATATCTTAGTTACCCAGTATCACTCATAGGTGGATCTTTTCTTTGTGGAATGCCACCTCTGTATGGATCAGTTTGTATGAAGCTGTCTATTTCACCAGAATAGTCACGATCACCACCTGCTGAATCACGCGCCTGACTTCTAGATTATAATATAATGGTAAGTGAATTGCTAGTATGGAATTATCGTATTTCCCTTGTTAGAATCAATTTGGAAATTATGCATAGGCCGTACTGCAATGTTTGGTATCAATAGACTATATTGGGGAATAAACAGAGAAGCCATACCAAGTTCAACTCTCTTTATGAAATCAAATATGTAGAGTTGTGTTGCTGCCAATATACAGTGTGTTCATAAAGGATTGTTACAATTTCACAAAATTTTGTTATGAAATCAGTTATCAATATAGCTTGTTTGTTTTATTTTAATCAGTCATTATTCAACTTTTTTTACTCTTGTTAATAGACATATATATATATGGCCACCATCAGTTACATGAAGTACATCAAAGTTCTTTTATCTAATTTAATGCAAGACTATTTTGTAACAAGTACCGAATAACATAATTTTAGACTAACATATAAATAGGCCCTTACTTACAACCCCAAAATAACGTAATTTAATTCAATCTTAAATTTTTTTCAAAATGTTAGTGTATTGTGCATATCATAAAATAGTACAAATACCACTGAAAAATACATCAACGTCAATACGTATAAGGGTGTGTAAGGGGTTGAAAATACGTATAAGGGTGTGTTTTGAATACAAATTCGACAATCAAAGCGCTAAAAGCTAATAAATTGAACCAAAAATGTGAAATTTTAACCCATTTTATTTGAAATAGCCCAAAAACATGATTGTTTTAAAATTCTTTTATCCTTAGGTGAATGTACTGACTCATCCACCAAACCATCGATAAATAAATTAGGTGAAAGTATATTGACATATTACTTCACAAACACAAGATATTTTCTCTTTTGTATTTACAAAACTATTTATGTCATTATACAAACACTCAAGTCTGTGGTATATGGCCTATATAATTTTAAAAGGGATGCTATACAGAATTCGGTACAAACCTTCCTGCTTCAATTTAGAGACACTGAATTGACTATAAAATTCAAAGTAATACATACCTGTTTTTGTTAACTTGAGCATAAACTGGTTCTCCTGGAGCAGGGGTTGGCTCAGGCCTGTTGCTAAAATAATTGGTTGAAAAATGGTTAAAAAATAAATATCTCATCATATATGAAATCAAATATTTGATAATTTCAAATAGTCAAAACATCTTGGAATAATAATTAACCTAGTGCGCCCTGAAAACAAATCTTATGTCTGAGTATACATCTACTGAAAAAAACTTGAAAAAATGAACGTTGGTCGATCAGTATGTGATTCAAAATGCCCACCCAGCCCCCAAGTTCTGAGTGGAGGGCCCTCAATATATTGCCCGAGCATAATTGATTAAATTGCTGTGTGGCAGTTGAGGATTGGCACTATCACTGCTTAATCATAGTATTGAAGTGTGATTACTAACAGAAAAATTGGTTAAATTCGGTAATATCATCAGTGTCCTATTTTAGTAACAATTATTTTGTGACAAAGAGTATTTAGAATATTTAGATAAAAGGGTTGACAAAGAGTATTTAGAATATTTAGATAAAAGGGTTAACACATGCGTGGGACGATACAATATCAATAAAAGTAATCTTGTCATTTTGATAGTATGACATAATTGTGTGATCTTATGAGTCATTGCTCAAACATCTTTATTGTACGATTAATAAAGCCTTATATAGACAATTTCTTAAACACGAAGCCAAAATTACAGGCTTATTAAAACGCCAAAATCCCAAGTCTGCCACTGAGAAGCATATTAAAGATCTCTTGTTAGGGCATTTTAAATCCTATTCTCTCTGCGGTATTGAAACTCTCCTCGAGAAATGACAAAACAAAAGGAAAAAATTCATTTCTTGTTGCGGTATTGAAACTTTTCTGGAGAAATGATAAAACAAACTAAATCTCATGCTTTGAAAACAAAGAAATATATTTTAAAAAAATGCTTAAAAAAAACTTAATGAAAATATAACCAAGGACTAATTAACCAAAACTCAGTAATAAAACAAAACAAAAAAAATTCAAATGTCATTCATACGAGCAATGAAATTTATTATTATTATGCTTCTCACAAGTTCTTGTTTTCTGTCCACGATATCGTTTGCGCCTATGGAAGTGTAGAAACTTAAAATATATATTTTGCAAAGCTGAATTACTATTATTGACACGATGTGTTTAAGCAGTACATATACTCGTAACTAGTTTGAAATAATTGTTAGAGATAGAATTGGAGAAAAATCTAACTTAGTTTTCTGTATTTTGACTACATTGCATTTCAAACCTCTTTCTGCTCACAAAACTTCTGAAAGGTATGGTGGAACAATTACTGCATAATTATACTTAATTTTCTGCATTTTGTCTACATTGCATTTCAAAATTATTTTATCAAAACTTCAGACATGTATGGAGACACACACACACAGACAGACAGACAGACTCACCTTGAGTATGGTTGTGATGTTGGATAATTACTGCTTTTAGGTTCAACAGGTGACGTTTCTTTCGGTGGTGGTGCAGATCTGTTATAAGCTGCTGCCACTGCCGCTAATGGCGGTTCCGTTACTCTCGGTGGTTGTGCGACAGGTTCTGGAGGTCTTTGCGACACAGGTGCTGGTTTCGGAGCATCATCAGTTCTCACTTTATTAAGTCGTTTTATGTGGCTCCTGAATATTTAAGAAGTAAACTATTAATATTCTATCTGTAGTGAAATTCAAATCGAATAATAACTAAACCAGGGTGTGGAAACTAGATTAACCCAGATTTGTGGGAATGATGTAACGGGTCAAAGCATCTCGGGTTTGAATCCCATGTCCACCACCTCAAATTGGACCGGAACCGGAAAGAATTTGGATTTCAGCCTTGTTCGGAGCGTAGCGGGACTGAGACTATTATCAGTGGCTGCTAGTACAGGGCCTTGTTACGAGCAAAGACTTGAATAGTTATCGTATAAAAAATAAATACAGTCCGAAGACTAGATTATTATGGTGTTTGATATAATTTACTAATTTTTCGTATTTTCTAAATTTTCTCTGTAACTTAGCATGTATTATAAAATGACATACTTCAAAAATGAATCGGGATCGAATCTTCCTTGAGGCATTGATTGGGGACCGACAGGACGAGATTGAGTGTGTGATGGAGGTTGTTCTCTGGTCTTCATTGTTGCTAATGGTGTAGCAAGACCACCAACTGGTCTACGTTCTTCAGAGCTGGTGCTGGAAGCATCATCCTCCTGAAATAAAATTGTCATTTTTCATTTTAGTTTTGCAGCATCAATAATAATACCGATTTTGACTTCATATGCATCTTTAACAGTTATGAGTTTAGCAGCCTGTAGAATAGCCTAACATGACTAGGTTTCTGAACAAAACCAAGTATTTCATATCTAAACACCTAAACCAGTGGTTATCAAATTGTGGTCCTCCAATCGTAAGCCGCCAAGTATTTTCTTGTGGACCTCAAATAAATTATGGGCAGTGATAAACAAAAATGGTTCTATAAATACAACATTACATATACAAATTTTTGCCAAATGGTTTTAATTAATATATCAAACGATCATACATTACGTTTGTTTCAACTAAAGTACCTGGCTACGGCATTGCAAGTACGCTGGTATGTTCATTCTTGCGCATCCGGTTACTTTACTGAGTCATTCAAATTGCGCAAGCTAACGATGTGTACCACTACATTCGGTTTTTTAATCTTGGTACTGTCATGGTACCGGTACGTTTAGACTAGTTTATTTGCAAATTAAATGTCTATCAACAAGTTTATTACGTGGTTAAATTTAAAATTTCCAACAAATATGTTGGGCCTTGAAACCCTATTCATTTTACTATATGGCCTCGTTTGAAAAAATTTGCAGACCGCTGATATTAACCAACAAATTCATTTTAAAAACAATATATCAATCCCAGGTATTTTGCAAGTAATTCTATTCACCTTCTGATTAGTGTGTTTCCGTCCTCTTGGTGGTGCTTCAGGTAAAGGAGAGTGGGAACCTATAAACAAAAACATTTAAAAGAGCTTATTATTATGACAATAAAAAGGTTTTAAAAAAACTAGACTTTCAAAAATACGATATCTCACTTAATATTATAGAGAAATTACAATTAACACCAAATTTTATGAAGTTTCAGAATTCAACATAAACAATGAAAAACAGTTTTTATTTTGTGTCTCTTACAGAAATATGAAAACTCATACGTAATATAGAAATTCTCTTTATTTTTTCCAAATAAAAAAACTACACGACAAGAGAGAAGTTTGTTACATTACATGGCATGATTAATCATTTGACACTCATATTCAATAAATAACTCAATGAATAACTCAATGAAAAAATACCTCCGTGAGTATCAGGAGGGAGTGGCTTTGTTGCAGGAGGTCCATCATCCATATCATCTTTTAATGCATCATCCAAATCATCATCATCAAATTTATTTCCTGCTTCATCTTCAGAGCTCGAAGATGAAGAAGAAGACTGTAAAAAATAATCAGTAAATTACAGTGTGCTTATCAAAGTATTACAGTAATCCAGTAAACGGAGCCAAAATTAACATATTGGACTGCTTTAAACTATAACCGTGAATTAGTTTTATGGTATACAGTTATACGGCTCATCAAACTGCGTCAGACACCAATGACATATAAGAAGAAATAGAAACAATGCTAGTTGCTCCGCAAGTGGCATGTGGCCTGGTGCCAGACCCAGCCAAATCACCGGAAAATACAGAATAACAAATATTTGATTTGAGGGGCTGGCCAACTCAACAATGGTTTATGGATAAGAAAAAAATATTATTGAATAAACCTAATTAGTACTAAAATGTAATAAAACTAAAAAACAATTCAAAATACCTTCCGACGTCTTCCAGGAGGCATAAGTGCTGCTCCAACTGGCGGACTCGTTTTTCCAACTCTGTCACTGGGCTCATCCATATCATCATATTCGGCAGTTGAATGCAACATTTCTGATCCGACAGTGGTGACACTGTAATCACTAGCTGGAGCAGATACATAAGACAATCTGTCGTCATCACCTGGAACAAGAACTCCTTCTGTGTCTTCTTCAGCAGTAGCACCAAGCTGATAAAATTGAAAAAAAAAATAATATTGAGTTAGCAAACCAAACCTCAGTGGGTACAAGGGCATGGTAGTTGAAGCGTTAGTGTTGGCATCATGGGTTAACTTATAATCTTGGGTTCAAATCCCATGTCCAACTCCTCATCCAGGGTCTAAAAAGTTGAGTAGGAATTGCATAACCGGAGAAAATCGGAGAGTTCAAATCAAATGCCTACCAACCTACCCACAGTAGATTCGGTCCTCACAAAAATATTAACCCTCTACACATCGTTAGATATCAGTGGCCACTTGTTTACGGCTTTGTTCAGATTGAAGGGCATGATTAAGTGTCATATTATTAAAAAAATATTCACCGCCTCGCAAAGGACTAGCCAAGCTAAAGGAATGCCATTAGAAGATATTTGAAAATTTTGAAAACAAGCAACTATAAATACCGCGACCTCAACCAATCAAGAACAAGTAATATTGCAATTGTGGGTAGATTGTTCTCTACTAAAAAAAGAAAGTACAAGACCAGCACAATGTGCACAACCTAATTACAAATAGATCAATCATATTTAAAGCCTTCAGAGAATTTACAGCTTATAATAAATGGTGATAAATCAGCCAAAAAAAAATCATGCGCATGAATTGTTTTGAAACATTGATCAGTTTTGTCTCATCTTAATTACTGTTGGTTCATATCACATCATGAACGACTAATATATCACAACTGTTGATAGAACACAGATCATATGTGACGTAAATCAAGCAATATCAGATATTTGAAGATTAAAAAAAAACAATAACTAAAGGTGCAGTACATGAGATTGGAACTAGATAAAATAAGTCGATAGTTTTATTAAAGCAGCACCCTATGGCTTCAACTCGTGCAGTACAGGGGTTCTACAAGTTTACATCAAAATCAATATATCTATACTATCATATGTACAGGGTGTCTGAAAAATTTCGCCCGATTTTATAGTAATAACAATTGTAAGTTTGAATAAATTTTGTTGTATGATAAATGAGAACTAAAACCACAATAATAATGTTTGAATACGAGAATATCGGTCGGAGGCCGAAGACTTATCGATCGGAGTTTAGGGGATCCCCCAAAACAGCACTCTTACTCCATAGTGACACCGTGTGTCCCATCACTAATTAATTAATAACTTGCTAATTATACGACATAATTCATCGAGAATCAATAGGCTTCTGTTCCGAACTATGATGAATGCACATGCAAAATTTGGAGCAGATTCAACCTCGCTTTCGTGAGATATCGCGTGTATCTAACAGACAAACAAACAAACAGACAATTACCTATCAACATACTTACCGATCTTAAGATCAATAAGTAATAATCAAATACCTATTTGTTTACAGTTTGTCTTTTTTATTTCAAAGAATCTGAACGTGGGTAATTTGAATATATTTTTTATTTTTTTGAATAATACAATTGAACTATTGTACAGAGGTTCCTAGAGCTGTTTCAATGGAGTTCTGCTACATCAAAAAAAAAATTGAAAACAACTGGTTTAAGGTGTTAAGATGTAACTATGATCGCAGGTTCGAATCCTATGTTCATTGCTTCACCCAGGCTGTAATGAATTGGATAATCAATGTTGAATCAGAAAGATTCAGGTACTTACAAGGATGCTTGCGCAGATCTTTGTTCAGAGTAAAAAGGGTGATATATTGTAAAAGAAAAAAATTAGACAAACACTCAAATCAGATACCATTCATAAAAAATATAATAAAACGTAATAATAATAATCAAATAAAAATATGAAAAGAAGCATACTCATATTTTAAAGTATAAAGATCTTACCTTGTCCTCAGACACCCATACAGGCATATTTTGTTGGTCCTTGATAGTGGAATGCAATTTTCGGTACCAATCATCTGATACCGTTCCGAGCGGAATGCTATCTGTCGCAACATGGCTGTATCCCTTTTGCATTTTGATAGCTCTGTCATATAATTTTCCCGGTTTCTTTCGTTTCTCTTCTTCTGTGACTGCTAGTTTACTACGAAGCTCTTTAACAGCAGCTTTGCTTGTTGGTTTCAAGAAAACAACGATCGGATAAAGTTGTGCGTAATTCAACTTTTCAACTGCAGTAGGAGTGATATCCAGAATTGCGTGTTTATCCTTTGAAAAGAATATTGATAATTTACTTTGCAAAATTTCATACACATGAAATATTATTTTTGTTCTAAATGTGATGAGGACATTTTGGCATGTATGTCCAATCAAGCAAGTCCCATAAATGTAGTGGGAAATCGAGAATGCTTTATGCATATTTCAAACTTGTGCATATTTAAATATAAAGTTGTCTACCTAGCCTACATTCTTCAAATTGAAAAAAACACATACACGAACACACATAAAAATACAGAAACACATATGAATTAAAACACACCTTTTCAATGATGTCTTTAATCGTGTTGAGACGAATAATTCCTTTTCTGTTTGATTTTTGTCCACTGACAGTTCCATCATTGTCTAAATTGCAAAAAAATAATTATGTTGAGACAATGAAAATTTATTCAGATATCTGTTATAAATAACGCTACATACTTGCTATGTCGTAGCTGGGGGGATAATCCGATGCCAACCGTTGTCTAGCAATATCAGCCAAAGGTCCAAAAACAACAACTGGTCGTTTGAATCCCGCTAAAACAAGTGAAAGAGTAATTAAAAAACATGCAAGTTCATTATGAAATAAATTAGGTAATCATATAAAAATTAGACATATTACCTTCCCGAAAGAAAATGAAAAATGTGTAAGTTTAATATCAAAAAAATAGTTAATCATATTAAAATTTGACTAGATACCTTCTCTGAGGACCACTCTCTCATACGCAGGGAAATGCGGAGAATTAGAAGGTTGTTGTTTATCATTCTTTCCTTTTCCTTGATTTCCTTTCAATCTTCTTTTAATTCCACCTCTCTGAGATGCCTTGTCTTTAGATTGCTGAATCTTCTTATCCTGGACTTCCTTGAGTTGTTGGGCTCTGACAAATTCCAAAACAATGATAAATCCCAGGTGTAAAAAATCAGAACTAATCAAATGAACCCTTAGCCTGGATTCCAACACATCTAACTGCCAAGCATCTACATCCAACACATATGTCAAAATTTCAATCTGGGTAATAATAATTAATTCATGGGCGTGATGTTCTAGCTCAGTGCTTTTCAAACGTTGTGGCACTTTAGAGTTCCGCTAGTACAGATGGCGGTTCCATGAGTTTCCATTCAGATTCGAGAGTGAATTATATTATATACTTGGGATGTTGTTTAAATATGATTAAATATCCATTAGGTTTTCCACTATTATTGAACTTGCTACACTTTATTGAAGATTATTTTTGTTTTCCAGTTCAAGACTTGCATTTCCACTGGTCTAGGTGCTAAAGCGTTGGGCGTAATCATGTCGCAATCGCAGGTTAGACATCTCGGGTTCTAATCCCACACCCACCGATTAAACCCAGGGTATAATAAATTGGGTAAACAAAACCAAACATTGAGACTTCGGTTCTTTCAATGGTTGCTTACACAATGCCCTGTTTGGAGCACAAAAGATGCAAATAAGCACCATATGAAAATGATTTAGTTACTAACTCCACTACTAAGATCAATCATCAATTTCATGAATAATTTGAAAAAAAAACTAAACACTGACCTGCTTCCATTAGGTATGACACCTCTCTCAATTTCCATGTTACTGCGGCCAATACGAACTGCAAGCCAATATCCGACCATTCCTTGATACAAAGTATCGGAAATTCGGAATACAGATCCTTGTTTAAAACTCATTTCATGCTCGTTAGCTCGTTCGTACTTGAAATGGGTTCTAATGTAGAATGAATCACCAGTGCCGTGCTCAAGAATCTTTTGATAAACTGAAGAAAAGAAATATTTTTATGGAGAAAATATAATTAAAAAAAATTTTAGCTAGTTTTTTCATGTTTTAAAATATTAAATTAGACATAAAATAGATTAAAAAAACTATACAACAATCATGTCAATAATGTGTTAACATGAATAAAGTCAATAAAGCTGAATATAGGAGCAAACCAATTCTAAAAGTCAATAAAGTCGAATATAGGGCAGACCAAATATTTTAATAATTATTTTATAATATTTACGTTTGAATTTTATTGCATTATTTGAACGTGCAATAAAAAATTTTCTTCATATATCACATGGTGTTCATAAAATCCATTAACAACTTCAAAATTGAGTTATGAAGCCCGTTCTCAATAAATATTTTACCCAGGTTTGGTTTATTTTAATAACAGTTCATTCAATTTTTTTAACTTAATCTAAGACACTTTTATATGCCCGCTATTAGTTGCACAAAGCATGTCAAAGTTTTTTATTTATTTTATTAACACAGGACTTCATGAACACCCTACAAATTTTTCAAATTATTATCAGATTTCTCAAAAAGCAGTCTTACCATCAGGTTTAGGTTGTGCTACAATGGAGACTTCTTGTCCATCTGGTAATCCCATCAATGCTAAGACTGCTTCTTCACGAATAATATTTCGGAAGTTTTGATCATTTACCTGCATGTGAACAATATTTCAATCGAATACACTATGTAATTATTTCTAAGTGTTATACAGAATATAACTCTTTTCTTGGATTTGTTGTTTATCATTCAATTATTGGTTTATTTTGAGGATAATATTTTGCTTTCATTCAATTTTTCAATATGGCACATGCTTTTCCCTCCTATTTTTGGAGGGACCGAAATCTTTACTGACTGGAATTTCCCAATCCATTACAACATGCTGGGTCAGGCGCCAAGCATGAGATTCCTGTAATGACAACACACCTATACTGTTGAGTCTTGTGTTGCGATTGCAATGCCATCGTTTGCCATCATTAATTTGGAAAAAAAAATTATTTAGAAAATTGAGCGAAACAAAAACAATAAGCCACATGGAGTTTCAAATTGAAACCCTTTCATGGTTTACTGGGAAAACAATTGAGTTTTTGCATCAATTTATAATTTACATTGGCACTCACATTGCAGTAAATGAGAAATTTGAATTTCAAACAGAACAACTTACCAACTGCCAAATATTTTTAACATTTAAAATAGAGGAATTTGAAAAAAAAAATAAAACGTTGTACAATCTGAACAAGCTAAAAATTAATCACCAATAATTAAAGCTGAATTTTATGAAGTGTTGATTCACTGAGTAATAAAATCTTATAATATATCAATGTCAATATCCATATAGCCAGATCCTTTTTTTTTATAACCGGAATAAGCAATATTATTGTGAAATACAATAACGCAAAGCGTGGGAAATGCAGTAGTAAAGACATTCTAAACAGTAAACCAGAAACATGTTCATGTTTTATGTTAGTACTGGTTTAGAATAGCAAACTAGTATAGACTATTACTATTTTGCCTCGGGGCATAGCCACTGATGCCGCACAAAAACAATTTTGCATCTTTTAAAATTTGAAGTTGGAGATTATAATCTTGATTTGAAAATAACAGTCGGCCACACAAAAGCTGATATAAACGCAAGCCAATAAGCTATATTCATAACAGATCATATTAGATTTTATATAAAAATGTCTAGATTTTATATAAAAATGTCTCAAACTTGATAGGTCTTTTAAATAAAAATCCTTTATTGACGAACTATAATTTGACATACGCTTAATATTTGGTCTCCCATTTTTAATCCTTGTTGTGCCGCTGGACTGCCTTCTTGCACAGAAGCTACAAATATGCCAACATCGTTTCCACCAGCGAGTCGAATTCCAACATTTCGTCCTTTCACAAATTTGACAGTGTGTGCATTGGCCCTACGAATTAAAAAGGTAATAATAAACTTTGAAATTTACATCAAACTTTATTTAAAAGACCTAAACCACGTAAAATTGTTAAAAAAATAATATGTTTGTCTTCAAATCAACAATGTAGCCACCATTAAATTTGACACTATCATAGTGAATGGGAATAGTAACTGTGACATCACAGTCAATTTCGCAATGCAGTCCTTTGCAAGAAAGGTTTTCTTGCATAAAAAATCCATCCATGTATTAATGAAAATTGATGCAAAATCTTAATAAGAATATCATCTAAGGCTAATTAATCATCATATGAATAATATAACTAACATGAAAACTTTGGTGCTATCATTGAAGTACACTAATTCAAAATTTTATGTTTGATAATTTCTATGAACAGTTCCTACTCTGGAAATACAAGTATCAAAAATACAAAATAAATTCCACTTACGGTAAAATATTAAGTTCTTCGTCATCAGATCCAGGTGGTATATCGTACACAGGTTGCACAGCTTTCACTCTGGGTGCTGGTTCTGGAGTGCCACTATGACGGGAGCTTGATTTACTGGAATGAGACGACACTGATCTACGATCTTTCCTTGGTTTAGCTGCCGCGGCCTCAGCGAGACCAGCTGGCATTACAAGAACTCCGCCAACTGTCTTTTTATCAGGTTTTTTCTCTGCTTTTGGTTCACGTTGAGGAGTGCTGAAATAGGTCCACAAATGAATAGAATGCGGAATTTTTAAAATTTAAAAAAGTAAATTTATATATTCAGCATAGTAAGCAGTGCAACACAGGATTTGAATTTTCAGACCCCCTGACTTTAAATTTATTTAAAATAAAGAAATGTGACTCTTCTGGAAATATAATAAAAAATGACAACTAAAGGGGTTCATCAAGTCAAAGATACAGATGCCTCTTAAGCCGATATTCAATCATAGGTTGAAGCGATATTCACCGTAAGTAGTATTTCATTAAAAATTTTCTAAAAGATTTGAAAAATGGGAAATGAATTTTGATCATTTTCTCAATAAAAGCTTTTTCAAGATTCACCATTTTGGCTTGAAGACCTTGAATTTCGTGCGCAATTACTTACTCCGCATGTTTATCAATGGATCTCCCAGATTTCCTAGATCTTTCTGAATGTACTGAGCTACGAGACGGAGATGAATGACGAGAGCTTGATTTATCTAAAAACAAACCAAAGTGAAAACTACAGTTTGAAGTTGGTAAAAAATATAAGATAAACCATTCCTACCATCTGGTGGAGGTTTGGTAGGTCTTTTCTCTGTGGTGGGAGAAGCAAGACGAGCAGCTGGAATTGATACGGTACCACCTTCTTCTTTTTTGACTAGCATTGTTAGTTTGTCTTTTGATAATCCGATAATTTGTATAGCTTCATTGACTGTTTTGTTGTCAACGTTTCTTCCATTGATCTAATGAAATATCATCAAAAATTTTAATTTATTCCGAGGTAGGAGTAAAAAATGAAAATTTGCTAAAGCATGATTTAGCTTGAAAATAAAACAGAGAAAATAGGAATAGAAATGGTTAAATTTGAATGATCGAGGATTTTCAAAATATTCTTAGATGAAGATTCTATCTAATTTTTAACCATGGCTAAAATCGTAAGAATTTACATACGCAATCCTGAAGCACATAGATACAGAAATAAATCGGGACTTTTTGAAACGAAAATTTTTTGAAACTTTATTTTTTCAATATTTATTCTCAAATTTTAAAATTCTATAAAAAAGAAGATGTGCGAAAGTAAAAGTGTATAAACATTGAAAAAAAAAAATAATTTAAAAAATTTATTTAGCTGACCATAATCACAAAATGTAATTTCATCTCTCTCAATACAAATAATATTATATTTTCATTTAAATTTGATCTTTAAAATTAACAAAGAATAAAAATTCTACCATCATAATAGTATCTCCAGCTTTTAATTCGGGGTTTTTATCAGCGAGGCTGCCAGGTTGTATATCTTGAATATAAATACGAGTTCCCAACTTTAATCCGTACGAATCTGCAACGACATAACATAATAAATTATTAATAGAGATTCCATCGCGTTTTCCAAAAACTACAAATTTAATGTGATCGAAAATTTATATAGATCTTCGGTATATAAAACTTACTGTTCCATCTTGTTTTCTTCAACACAACCGCTCTATTTTCGCTAGGTTTGACTGGGAATACCATCATATCGTCACCGTGAACTGTGTTTGGTGGATCAGGGGAAAGTGGAGACATGGAACGCTGTTTAGTTTTCAAAAGAAAAAACATCATATACTGTAGTATGAATATTTGGCATTCAATACAAAGCCACGAGAACTCAGAAAAGCCTTGAGCACTTAATCAACAATATTATTCAAAATGTTTCGTTACTTGGTGGCCTGGTGGAGCATTAGACTTAACTATGAAGGCATCGCAGGTTAAAATCAAATGCACACCACCTCACCCAGGGTGTAATACATTGGGTGAGCATGGGCAATTGCGAACCGCAACAATTTGGCCCTTCCATACTATGGTGGCAGATGCTCAAGCAGAGCCTTGTTCTAAGCGGTAGGCAAATGGATACATCGTAAATAAAATCTTCAGAAATAATATCAATGTTTTTGGCAGGGATGTCCAAACTATTTTATTTATTGATAAAAAAAAATCTAATACATCATATTTTATTGGGGTGTAAACTATTTTTAATTTGATTCAAACAAAATATCAATCCCATTTTATAACAAGCAAGATGAATTAGTCATAACAAAAAATAGATCAATAATGGAACATTTTAAAACAAAAAGAAAAAACTTGAAATAAAAAAAAATAGCATACCAAATCGCCAACAGATTTATGCTTCATTGGAATAGGAGAAGCACTTCTAGAACTAGGTGTGAGACTTCTCGATCGTTCTCTACTATCGCTCCTGTGCCTGTGTACAAAAATACGATATTTTTAATTTCATTTTAACCAGTTGTGAAAATTTCCATTTTGTAGAATTCTCCGTCAAATATAATCCCTAACACAGATAATTGGTCATTTGCACTAATTTCAACCTTTTCAGAAAATTAGTTCTTTCTAATAAAAAATGTAGCACAGAGTAACCCCCCAAAAAAATGAAAAATAAATAATGAATTACCTCGACCTAGGGGGAGACTTTGATCGCGACCTTCCCCTCGATTGCGATCTTCTTCTTGGTGGTGTGCGAGAACGACTGCGACTAGAGCTAAATATAACAAAGACATTAGGTTGTTAATAAGAAATTGAATGATTATTGAAAACGAGTACCTTGTAACAACATGATCCTATTTTATATGTGGACATGCATTTTTTATTTTATGCATTTATAAATACATAGCATACATATACAATATTATATTCTAAAATCATATTTTTAAGTATGGAAAGATTATTATATTCTGAATTGAGTTTAAGCTTAATATTAAATGATACATAGATTTTGAATAGGGAAATACAAGAAAAATAGATATACATAGACTTTATTTTTTAATTTTTTATTTTTACAGATCACAGAAATCAAATTTTAAAATAGGACCTTTTCAGCGTTGCTGCTGTTTCCTTTAATTGCTCAAAATGACAGATTTGCAAATAAAACTATTCTATGTGATTCCTATTATTGTCAATATTTTAGCTTCCATCATTGGTATAAAGAATTTGAAATCTCAATACAACAAATTGTGGATATTGTTCTGTTTAGGTTTAAAGTGAATTTCTCAAATCTCAAAATATAAAAGGAGTATTTGAATGTGTATTTTGAATATGAAATGATATAAAATTTATTGTTATTCGTCGTTCTTGTTATTATGTATATATATATATACATGGAGATTGAAAAAATATTAAATTTTACTATTTGCCCATCCTTACATAAACACATACAACGCAGTTGAATGACTTTAAATAGTTCTACATAACATGATCGCATCGACGCCATTGTTGACACAAGATTTGAAAATCATAGAAAATTACTCATGTGGATCAATGTACCGTAAATAGGTGAGAGCCTATCGCCCGTCAAAAGTAATCAAGTGGTAAAAGTCAGTCAAGCGTGAAATGCTTGTCTGCAAGAGAGAGCTGTTCAGCGCTGAATGACCATACAAATCCTAATAATATTTATATTCAAATATTCAAGCTGATATTCAAGCAAATAGCTGGTTTTAAACTCAGAAGCGCATAAAATTAAAAATTATGAACAAAATTGATTACCTAACATAACATCTGGCCCTATATTGCCTGATGTTATTCGAGTAAAAGACAAAATTTTATAAATTTTATGACTAAGATAGGTGGATATGTTTGGTTTATTAGATTAAAAACGTTTGAATATAATGTTTACAAATTCTATTAGACATTTAGGTACTTTATATTCAATGTTTACCAACAAAATGCACCAGATTTTAAATCTAATTAGTGTCTATTACTCAATGTCCTTGTCTATATGAATCTAAAATGGGCTCTCCCCAAACAAGAGTTGCTGTGCAGAAAACTTGTTAGAATATTTATTTATTTATTAATAATGGCCCCAATTTACTAAATAAAATCGGCCAGTCAACAGTTGAAGAAAAATCAAGAACATTTCGACCCATGAGAGTTAAATTTAGAGGCCTTACATGAGTTAAATATAACTTATTACTGAATTTGAAAAATAATAGATAAATCGTACTATTTTTTACTCCTAATGGCACATTTTTTTTTGCGAAAAATGATCAATAGCAATAATAATTTTTCATCTAAAATTCTTTATTTCAACATTTATATATCTTAGATTGCAAATTCCACCTAAGGAAGCTTTGGAGAAGCAGTCATACAGGAACTACAAACTTGTAAAAGTGCCAAATCTTGAAAAGGTTCACTGGGTAAGAAGCTGGGTGAAAAGCATACTAGTAACATATCATATCATCTTTTCTTATCCATTGTTAGAACCTTTTTCAATGTCTACAATTACAGCATAGCCTAATCAAAATGCATAACCAACATTTATAAGACAAAAGGGTTGTTTTACAATGCCAAACTTGACCACCAAAACTGCTTATAACATTTTGTTTTTCTCTTTTTAAAATTGTAACTTTGTACCTGGAAGGCGATCTGTAGTTCCTACTGTGACGGCTTGACCTTGAACGTGAACGACTGTAACTTCTTCCACGACTCCTTAAAAATAAAGATCACAAATTTACGAAATAGGAATCAAATAACATTGATTTGATCAATGACGCATTTTGTAATCAATATTAAACCATGGCTTATTTCACCTGTCAATTACAGATCCTAATTATACAGACAATATTTGCCAAATGTGTAGCATAATTTTCAGCATGAGTGAATTTGCCATTCCATGTTATAAATAGGATATCTTCACACTGATTAGACTTAACACATACACATGTCAATTTATAAAACGATATTACTAATTACGAAAAAAAATGTAATGTCAATATAAATGCCTAAGTTATCATTTAGTGTTTAGTACCGCCCTATATAAGCGGCCACTAATATCTCACGCTATGTAAGAAGTCATTTATTTGGAAGGACTGGACTCTTTTTGGTTCAGCATTGCCTACTAATTTATTACACCCTGGATGGGGTGGGGGAATGAGATATGAACCTGAGATGCTTACCTGCTTCGACTTGTACCTCTCCCCCTTGATCTCCTTCTATTTCGTGATGAACTGTCTAAATCACGGCTATGTGATCGATGACGTCGTCGAGGTGATCTATCTCGACTTCTCGATCTGTGGCGTCCATATGATATATTGTCCAGATTTCTGCTTCTGCTACGATGTAAAGGACCAGGTGATGGTGTGTCGCGAGACTCAACACGCACAATAGCTTTCCTTTTGACGGTCTGGAAAAGTTTTGGTTGTATTGATGAATGAATTTTTTGTTTAAAAATGTTGTATATGATGTATAAAAAATTTCATAAATATTTCAGTAAATTCTGATTTTGTTCCACTAAATTATGTTCACATATCTATGACCATTACTATGCCATTGAAGTTTGAATCCTATATAATTACACTAGACTGCGAAGAACAGACAAGAATTATAAAAATAAATTTGTCATATATAAATTCGGTTACAAAATATTAGCAAAACATTCAGGAAAAATGAAAAATAATACCCTTTTGTCAGTTTGTATAACAATATTCACTATTTGAAAGTATATTCATATACACAAATTTATATATTCCAAAGATTTGTTGTCATATTATAAATTTAACTTCAGTCGAACTATAACAAAAATGATGTAACTAAACCCCTGTTTTGCCTGCGGGGCATTGACTGCCAGACATATAATTAGTTTTATGTGTAATTATTGTGCATCGTTGTGCTATAACATAGCAGTGAAAGTTGTTCGATCAAGCGGAAATTCTGTGATTCCGCATAAAGAAATCGTATTTATAAAACAAATACCAGTGTTTCAAAATCAAATAGCTATATTTACAATTTTGACTTTTTTTCCAGAATTTTTCAATTCTCTGACAGCTTGCTGGTGTGCCCATCCATAACAAATTTGATCATTTACTCGTGTCACTGTGTCATTAATCCTGTACAATAAAAGAATAATTTGGAAAAAAAATATTTAATTTTCTCACAAATCTACAAAAGGGCGATGCTTGAATATATGAACATGGAGGCTAAAATGAAGTATGCAATCTGTCACAATAAACCTGCAAAAATTCTAATTTTGATGACATCATCACACACAAAAATCGAATCCCATAAAGCCAACAGAGATTAATGAAATAAAGTAAGAGCGAAAAATATAATCTTCACCCATTGAACATTTATTCAACTTCAATATACATTTCATGATTGGTACACAGGGAATTGTTGTGTATAATTATCGACAACTTCTTTTGAACTATGATAAATTATTTTAATATACAAAGCGGTAAATACTTATTGATCAAGGTGAAGGGTTTTTAACATAGGTCAAGTACAATCATCTGTACTATCATAGCTTAAAAGAAAATGCAATTAACTAAGTGGTGAAGAGTCGATGTTAATTGATTCATATCCATCAAAGATCAAAACGATGTACGATATTAAAAATACTCATAGTTAAGCTGAGTAATTTTACATTGATAAACTAAAGTGTTAATAAGATATATAAGATATGAGACTAATACAGTAGAACAATTTTATGCCTTAATCATAAATAAACATCAAATATTATACTAACATAACTTAAGATAACACTACAGATGAATAACACAACATTTGGTAAATGCATCTCTTGTTAAAAAAATCATGCACTTTTTCATCGGATTGGATTTTTTCGTACGTTAGATATGCCTTCCGCTCTGAACAAGGCTCTGCAGAAGCAGGCAGGCTTTCTGTCCGACACTGCATACCGAATTTATTACACCCTGGGTAGGGTGGTGGTCATGGAATTAAAACCCATTATTTTAACCTGTGATGACCTTATAGTAAATCTAATGTATGATTAAACACTTGGCCACTATAGATACAGATTGTACTATAGATTGTATTTGTGAAAATCTATAAAACGGTATTATTAACCCTGAACCTTAAATATAGCATATATATATATATATATATATGTATGTGTGTGTGTATTCGAAAACTCTATTAAAAACACACGAAGATGAATATATCATAACAAGTTTGCTGTATCTTGAAACTCTGACTCGATGATTTCTCCACTTTAAAACGGATTTAAATAGAGTGTGTTCAATTTTAGAAAATATTCTATATCGGCAACTTGTCATAACAGTCTATTTATATTCATTTCAACCTTCTAAATTCAAGATTTCACAATTTAACCACACCAGGGTATAAATACAAGTCAAGAAATAACTTACTGTAGTCTATTGAAGGCAGGTCCATGTTTCACAACATCAGAAATAATGATTGCTGGATCACCAGTTGTCACTGCTGGATTATCACGCCCACCACTGATGGCAATTCCAAATCCTACATCCGATTGTTTTGCTATCTCATATGTGTGTTCTTGGAATATAACCTCTTCGCTCATTTTAAACTATTTGTATAAAAACTATTTGTATGTAAAGATATTTATAGTTTAAAAGATAGATAATGAAAAATATAATGCACATAAAGAGACTGAACCAAATGGCATTTTAGTGGTCGCCTTAACTTTGCCCAGAAATCAATCTCCTCGATTTCTGAGTGAGTTATAGTTTGAAGGGTGGTGGAATGAAACAACAACCACCAATGATGGCTGACGAGTTCTAACATTATGAACAGACCTTTTGGCTTCACGAACACGCCAATACCCATGACTATTATGCGATTAACAACTAAAGGGGCCTCCTTCGAAACGTGAGGCTTTTTGTTTCCTGCATGGAATTGTTTATCATGTTCTGTCTGTTCCGATTAATTGACCTTTGACCTACGCAAATGCATCGCCGCGGTCGTTTGGTAGACAGGACTCTGCGTCAAAGCACTAGTTGGGATGTTCCGTTCAGATAATTTTACACTTGTTTGTTCAATTTTCTGTTAGTTGCAAGCTAAGAATCAGGTTTTTGAGCGGTTTCGGTAGGCTTGTGCGCAGGCTCATTTACCTGTTTATTGGCATGTCGTGGTCACAGATTGCACTCCGAGATTTCTGGGTATGCACGCCGGGATCTGTGATTGCATGTCCGATTTTTCATGGAAAAAGGCCACTATTAGAAAAATCACACTGATCGTGATCAGAAAAAAAATATTGGATCATGTACTGGCAAGTAATGCTGTTTCCCATGTTTAGTCTAATCATAGCTGAATATTTATTGACTTGAGTAGTTAAAATCTGGGGTTTTGTGTATTTTGTACCACAATAACTTCTAGTGGGTGTGGCGCAACAATTTTTTCAAATGTCATTCCTAACCCCCACCTGACCACATCATTCAAAAATTACTTCACTACGAGTATACGACGTCACAGTGACATAATAAAGCCACCAAAATATATGGATGTTCGTCCAAAACACTCAGACGATTAACGGAAGTCGAGCAAGCCTTCTACTCGTCGTAACAATCGAGATATGAGAAAAGCTCGCTGGCTTTAGTGAGTTCGTTATCGCCGGCCCAGAAACCCTTTTGGGCGATCAGAGCTATACTTTGGCAAGCTATATGACGTGATTGTGACTTCGTAGTGAAAGAATTTTTGAATGGCGAGTCAGGTGGTGGGTTAGGAATAACATATGCAAAAATAGTTATGACAAGCCCACTAAAGGTACTTGTGGTACCAAACTACACGATTACATATTTATTCATTAGCCCTGTAACCCAAATACAGGAAATAATACACTATCCTTGAGCTCGTAGAGGAAGTAATAAAGCCAGAATTATAGTAAGCTATGGCTGTACGGATAAAATGTAATTCCAGAATTCAGGGAATTGCATGCAAACATTGTCTGGTTGTAGGTATGCAGTACTGAAAGGGCCAAATACAGAAATAGCAGGATAGGGAGTCTGGTAGTAGAACTGTAGAAAGAGGTTTTTTAGATGATGAAGAAGCATAGTTTAACAGACAGACAGAAGAACAGCTAGTAGTCGGTAAGTGGAGAAGATTTTTCTTATTTCTAAATCTAACTTCAGAACTTGCTAACCCCAATCCAGCCAATAAATGATAACCACAATCTGACACTCTCTTCACCCAGTCATCAGACATCAAACGATAGAGTCTAGGTGGCCCATATTAGCAGGTTAATTTGGATAACGTTTCGGTAGGAATCCTAAAATATATTTTACAGTCTCAGTCAGTTCTGCAGTTTCAATCTTTCGACCTAGGATCTGTTTGAAACTTCGAAAAACAAAACCAAGAATAAGAAACAGTGACATCTGGACATGTTAAGTCTATGAGTACATTGTTAAGGCAGTACAGAAAGTAGTGTTAACAATACCATCTACAAACCCAAAAGCACTTTACTACAATCCTGCAACACCGGTAGATGAGTACGGTAAATATGTAAATAAATTTGATTAGTCTCCCGTCTCCCTCAGTCTGCTGGTCTATGAATGCGCGTCTTCCTGCTGAGTGGCTGCCCGACTGCTGCAACCTCACATTCTCCCACATGACGTCATAAAGGATATAACTGTTGTTCAACCTTTATAACTAAATATCGCTCCTGGGATGTATATATATATATACTGTTTTATATAACATATGTAAAAACAAATACCTGTGAATTTCGCCACTGACAAAATGACACCATAGCACAAGATCACCATAAATTCACTATGCTGGGCGTGACGCATCTCGGAATTTCACGCTTGGGTCGGTTTATAATTTCCACAAGAAAACGGAGAAAGGTTTACGACAGCCGATCGCGACCTAGCGACGGGACGTTTCTACATCGTTAACTTCGGTCAGTAATTTCTTGCTGATTGGCTGATGTTGAAAGAAAACAGGAAATTGGTGGTTTGTGAATATCGGCAACTATTTGAGATATGTTCGATTTTTATTCAGAAATGAGGTATATATTCTAGTTCAAGTGTTATAAAGAGCTAAGATGGCCATCACATAGCAAACCGTGACCCCAATTATGACCAGTTGCTTGAAACTGACATAGGCATACCGAATCGGCATATCGTTGATGTTTAGAGCGAAAAGTGCAGTAGGATATAACCTTGTTAACAAAAATGTCTTGAACATTCTATTAGAATCTATTAACAAAAAGGCGCAACTTACTTCTGCTTTTCTAAATTTGGCTCGACATGAATATTTTCGCATTTTATTCCCACTAGGATTGAAGAAAGAAACTGCATTTCACTACCAATCATTAAATTCATATATGTCGAGTACATAATATGCAAGTGTTGAACCTGGATGGTTATCGACATCGTACCGGGGCTGCGGCTGAAGATGCCGAGCTCACTGGCATCCCGGGTATATGGCGTGACGAAGATTCTTTTCTGGTTTACTGCCAGTTTTATGTGTGTTCGGTAAATTACTAAATTCAATGGGTTAGTTTGGGCGAATATACTTAAAATTGGCTATATATACACAGTGGATCAAGGACAAAAATTATAATGTGATAAGAATGTGTCTGAATGTGAAAAATAATTAAATGCAACTCAGTGATACACAGTATTGAAAAAAAGTAACATACCAAGAATTTTATTCATAGGTTAGTCATAATCTGAAAATGTTTGAAAAATTTCATGGACTTAATGTATATGTTTGGCAATTTTACAATTTACATTCCAAAAATGTTAATACTTATAATAAGTATACTTATTAATAAGTTTTAGCAGATGAGTATTGAAAACGTTTCTGACTTAAACAAGAGAGCAGGTGGGGTTTGAAAACATTTCTGAATAAAACAGGAGGGTCAGGTTTTGAAAACATTTCTGACTTAGACAAGAGGAACGTTTCTGACTTAAACAAGAGAGCAGATGGGTTTTGAAAACATTTCTGACTAAAACAAGAACAACCGAGAAGTATTTTGCTATTTTTATAATTGGGACGGTTAACCGGATAATAAAGTAGCATAAATAATGCATATGCTCATGATTTTGAAATTTTTTGTTAAGTGACGGCTAACATCCCGAGAGCATATGATAACAACTTTTATTCAGACTTCTTTGCCTATATTATAGCCATTCGTGAGACGCTGGGGTAAAGTTCACTATCACATCACACAATACGCGAGAACAAATGAGATTATTAAGTGATAGAAGAGCGCATTCGTTTTATAAAGTTAGATTGGTTGGGGGTATAAGCAAGGCTGTAATCGAGTTAGTTGAAAAGATTTGAAGAGGTGAGGACGGGGCAGTCTAGAGCAGTGATTCCCAAAGTGGGCGATATCACCCCCCGGTGGGCGAAAACGATACAAAGGGGGGGGGGGGGGGGGCGCGATTTCGCGAAACCTGTTTTTGCCCGGCGCATCGTGCACTTGATTACTGTACTCTGTGTGCTTTCGTAGGTTTGAATCACGTGGGCGATGTCACATGCGAAAGGATTGCTCGACTTGTCTTCTCAGTAAGGTACGGTAGTTCGCGTATCCTAGTGGTCGGGAAATCTGTAGTAATCTGGCCCGGGGCGCTTCATTGAATGGGCCTTCCCCCGACCTTTGACTCCGGAAAATTCTTCCCAGTTCCCATACTTTACCATTCTAAAATTTTCGGTGCTTTTTTAAAAGTGGTTTGGCGAGTTGTTGCCTATAAAATGAAGTATTTGTTTCAAGCTATTATTCTAATCCATACCATTCAACAATTTGTTTTTCAAAAGTACTGGTGATGAATTTTAGCCTAGTCTATCACAGCTATTTCTACACTAATTTTTGATTACTGTAATTAAACTGAAACGCCTAGGAGAACAAGGTGATCATTACCTTATTTTATTCAAATTTCCGAAAAACAACTAAAAACTAACGAATATAATTCAAAATCGCGAAAATGAGGTAATGTTCACAACCACGTCTGAGTGAAGAATGTGTCTGTGTGGATGCGAAAGGGGCTATGTTACCTTTCTTTTTGCATCTTGCTGATTGGCCAATGTCACGAAGTAAACAAGGAAGTCTATGCCAGGGGAAACATCCAAACGGCGGTTTTAACGATGAATTTTTTTTTGTTTTGTTATCTACGCTCGAGGAGTAAATTACATTTTTTACGTAACAGAATTTATCGTGAGACACGTTTAGACTAAATTTTATTATATCTTAAAAATGATATTAAACAGCTACTCGTTTAACGAGCCTACAATTTAATTATAATTAGACAAATGGAAACGCGCGGAAAAGTTGATGCTGAGTGCAGGGGTACAATAGCGCAGTGAATATTCGAATATATTGCAAAGCAATGAGGAAAAAAATTTATATTCTATTCGAGAAATTAATCACTGCTTAATTTTTGTAAGAATGTATCTTCTTAAAGAAAATCTTTATCAAAATTTCACAAACCGTGCGAAAATATTCACCTCGATGTTTGGAAGTCCATATTCGTGCGAACGGTTCCATTACATTTGAACCCACGTACATTTGAACCCATGACAATTGCACCTGTATGCTATTGCACCTATGGAATTTTTTTTGTTTCACGGATAGTTAAACCCATACTAACC